TGAAGAAAACAAAGATGGTTGTGAGAAAAAGTGCCATAGTTGTGAAAGAAATTGAGATAATTGTGACAAAATTCAGCTGGTTGTGAAAGAATTAAAATGGTTGTGAAAAAAATTTAGAAAAGTGTAAAAAGTATTATTAGTATTAATAAAAAGATATAATTGTCAAGTTGTTGTGTGGCAGCCGGATCTTTAGATTCGGTCTCTATCCATTTTCCGGAATTCGACGCTTGTGCTCCTGAGACCCCTGGGGGTCTAACCCAGTCCCATATAAAAAGGCGTGGGATCCTTTCTACGTTCTTCTTTCTTATATACTTCTCTACCTTAATATATTATCATGGATTCGTTATAACATACGGCAATTGAATTGTTATTGTTGGACTTGAATCTGGAATTATGTAGGACCATCAAAGATCTCCGGCATAAGAAGCAAAATCATTAGAGAAAAAACAAAACACTCGCCTCTTGGGATAGCACTTCTTCATCATTTCGTATAATGAAAAATGCTGATCCGAATAATTACCTTGGATTAGAATGATTATTACTAGTAGTAAAACTATCATTATAATTATTGGTTTGTTTGATATTACAAATCATTATGTTGTTGAATCGCCATCTAATAAGGAACTAAAAATATTAGAGAATTGGCATCAACTCTTAAACCCAAATATTAAACGAATACCTCAATGTGGCCTTCCAATCAATAAACTTTTGTTAATTTAGTTTTCTTTATTGATTTTTTCTTAAAGAGTTATAGTTCAAGTTTCGTCAGCTTGGGATTCTTAATTCATCTTAAGTAAGAAAGGATTGACTTCTTCAATTTCCTTCTGAGAACACTTGCAAGATTCATGCTAACTCAGTTTTGGAAATTGCTGTCTAATGGTTGGGGTCGTGTTCTCGAAATTAAAGAATTGTGCAAGAGTATATCAATCATCTTGATTGATCAAGTAAAAACATTAAACCAGTTCAGAAGGCCCAGAACAGATCAAAAGCGATTCTCAGTGCCTATTTCTTTGGGCTCCAGCTCGAAGTGTAACTCCAACCAATCAGAGACGGGATCCAAATGGAGGAAGGGAGTGTGGACTAAACGGCTGTCGTTTTGAGAAAAGCAGATATAATGAACTTCGGATATGGTGACACAATCATCAAAAATGTCATGAAGGTTGCTTTGCAGAGGACTGGTTACTGGTGAAATTTATTGATGGTTTTCCTTTTTGGATATTCACTAGACAATCCGAGATGAAGAGTTTAGGGTTGCCTATATGATACCTGTTTGGTCATTTCATACGTCATTAAGATCTGGTTGTGAGTGCTAGAAGAGGTTGTGCTGTATTTTTGCTATAAGAATTAAATGTTGAACTGGGATTAGAAACTTTTCTCTTTTGTCGCTTTAACAAATTAACAATGGTTTAAAATTACCTGAATTTAACTAATTAATTCAAAAATTTATATCCACTTCAAACAAAAACTATAAAACTAGATGGATGGTGTAATATTCAATTGGGTAATACAACAGGTTAGTGTTTCTGGTGAATTCCAACTAATTGCTTAAAAAGGAGTTTAGAATGCAAAATAACTAACGACAAGCCAAGAGAGCTGAAATCAAGACCTACAATGTAATACATTAAACAAATTTATTTGATCACGTTCACGTAAATTAGGCTCATATAAAATTATAGTGGATAACAAATTTAATTTAAATGGAGACTAAAAACAAGTATCAATTTTTGTTGCTTCAAGCAGTGAAGAATTCAAAGTAAGTTTTCTAAGTATTCATTTTAAAGTGAGGCAAGGACAATAAATATCATAAATTGAATTAACAAAAAACCTAAACAAATTAGCATTGAATAATAAAACTGAATATTTAGTGTCTCCACATAAATTTTTCAAATCTACTTATTCATTAAGCATTAAGCACTTAGGTAAAAAATGAGCCGGATGGTACACTCAATCCATATATTGTGCAGCAAAAAAAACCAGCAGCAGACACGACAATGAAATATTTAAATTTGAAGAAGCAGGTATTAGAATAAAATGCAAAAGAAAGCTCGATGCTAAAGACATTTTAATAGAAAGCGGCCAGGTTTGAAACAAACAATGGAGTAAGGAAAAAATGTATTGTTTGAATAGTATAAAACTCAGACTACAAAATAAGTTCTCGTGATTATTCAGGGAGGTTTTCACTACTAGCAAATTCTTTTTTAATCAGCTTTAGGCAAATCCAATCAGGTTTTTTACCATCCATCCTATCTGGATTATATTGAGGTGAAACTCCTCCTCCAAAATCTATTATTTTAATTTGATCCTTATCATTAATCAGTATATTATCAGGATTCAAATCACCATGGAAAAAGCTATTTTTATGTAAATAATTGACATCCTTTTCAATTTGATCCAGTACGTGTTTGTTCATTCTATTCAAATTCTCTCCTTCAAAATATTTCAATCCCATTCCAACAATTATCATTTTGATCCAAAATTAATCCAATAAATTTAATGATGTTTTTGTGATTTTCATTATTTAGAATATTGATTTCTCTTTCAAATTCATGAACTGCCCCTCTTTTTGATAACTTACAGACAATATTCTGTTGAGAAATTGTTCCAAGATATATATCATTTATCAATTCTTTAATTTTGGTTATATCCCTTTCATAATATCTTTTTATATTTTAATCAAAAGAGTCTTCCATGCCATTAAACAATTCAAATTTTTTATGCTCTTGATAATATATTTTCCTGATGCCTTCCTTGTTTATTGATAAACTATCGCGATTGTCCACATTTATATATTTGCCACAATACTTGACACAAATACAGTCAACGGCTTTATCACAACTAACAGTTTTATCGCAGCTAACATCATCATCTTTAGAATTTTCATTATCATTATCACTATCAAAATCAACATTGATCATTTTTCGATTCTTAGTTTTCTTAAACCACGACTCGGCCACCTTCAGCTAATATGACCATGCATGGTGATGCAGATAAACGTCTGTATAAGCATATATTGAAACAAACACGTGAAACCGGTCACATGACGGTTATACTTTTTGAGGAACAACTCAACTGGTCTTTGAATGGAACACTGCGGATTTTATGTACTATTTTAGGGAATTAACTGCGTGTGGATGAAACACTTCTAAAAAGCGACTGCATAATTAATCTTTTGTGATCAAGTCATCAAAATCAATTTCTGATAACTGGGGCAATTGGGGTAGGTTTTTAATCTCGGTGATTCTGTTGTTGCTTAGATATAGCTCGTCCAACACAGAAAGATGGTCTAGTCCTTCAAGCTCAGTGATTTGATTATAAGATAGATCTAAAAATGTTATCTTTGTTTGTTTAGTTAAATTTTCGATTTTCTTAATAAAACAGCGAGAAATGTCCAAAAATGTGAGCTCAGTTAATTCATCCAAATTTTCAATTTGGGATATTTTTGTTTGTGATAGTGCCAACTCTTGAAGGCTTCTTAGATGTTTTAAATTTTCAATTTTTTTCAATGGATTTCCAGAAAGGTTTAAATAAACCAAATGTTTTAAATTGTTTAAATTTTCTATTGTTTTTATATTATTCTCTCTCAAACTTAAGGAAACCAACTCATTTAAGCTTGATAAATTTTCAATTTTTATAATTTTATTGAAATCCAAATTTAAATGCATTAAATTGACAAAGTAAGATAATCTGTTGATTTTTCTTAATCTGTTTAAAGATAAATTTAATCTGGTGAGATTTAACAAAGAGTCCATAACAGGAATTTCTCCCAATCTATTTTTCTTCATTCCAAGAGATATTAAATTCCAAAAATTGCGTCCAGTGAAAGGTTCCAAAATTATGTTAGACACTTTAAAATATAATAAATTAAAGCAGAATTCTGGATCCAAGTTGGTTATGTAAAGTATTCCTGGAACACAGTTTGAAAAAAACAATCCTAACCTTCTCAAATTTTTATATTGAGATAAAACATTTAAAACACCCAAATCGTTAGAAGTATCTTTATTTGAAATGAAAATAAGTTTGAACTCATGCAAATTTTCTTTCATTGAAGTTCGAGATAATATTTGTAACAATGAATCCTTAAATTGATTTGTTAAATTATTCACCAATAGTTGGGATTGAAAGGAGTTTTCAGATTGTGATGAGAGTAATTCACCATCTCTATCATCATCAATATAAAATTGATTGATTTCATTGATCTCATTGCCTTCATGGTCTTCATTGTCTTCATTGCCTTCAAAAGAAGAGAGTTGATCAGTATCAGCCAACATAACTTCATCTTGGTCTTGATCGTGATTATGAGTTTCAAAACTCATTGCTTCATCTATGTCTGATTCGAAACCAATTTCCATAGTGTTATCTTGGTAAGCTAAAGCTGAATAATTAAAATTGGGACTTGCATTCAATCTAATAACCAATGCTTTTAAAAATTTAATATCAGATATTAGATTTTTTAATGAAATGATTTGTTCTGTGGTAATGGATAATAAACTTAGATTTAATTTTAAATGCTCATTTAAATCAATAATTTTATCGGTAAAAAATTTGATATCCTCAACATTGATTGTCAACCTATCAAATTCAATGCCCTGGTTAATTATACTGATTGAAGAAAAAAGATTTTTAGATGATAAAACGCCAATTATTTCATCGTTTGAATAAGAAATAGAATAAAGACTGTTGTAATCCAAATAACCAAAAATCTTATCAACAAAGTTATGAGGTAGTTGATTTAATTGTTCAATCATTGTAGAACTTCGACTCATTTTCGAATGAATATATTAAATAATGCAAAGAAATTTATTTGTCTAAAGAAGAAAACAAAAAAACACTGAAGAACTTGGAACTTTAACAAAAATTCGGATCATTTTGGTCATTTCTGTTCCTTTTTAACTTTTTTTTTAATTTCGAGAGAGAAACTACACAAAAGCCAATTTGGCCCTGCTTTTAGCACCACAAAGAAAGACCAAAGACTAAAGAGGAAATATCGCATTTCCGGAGGGAATCAGCTAGATGTATACTCTCTTTGTTCTTATTTCTCTGTATCTGCTCACTTTCAACGGGGCTTCTTTATATATTTTAATTTATTAAACTGTCTATAAAGAAGAATTTTTATTGCACTTCAATTTGGAATAATAGTGAAAAATGCTGCTTATTTTTTAAGCTTGTTCATGAGCTTCAAACGAGAAGGATGAACAGCGCTGGTTTGGAGATTATCAGTTGCAGACTTCTTTTCTGTGGATTGAGAGTTGGTTGTGCTATTTTTCTTCTTTTCTCTAGATTTTATGTCTTCCTCTATGATTTGTTGTCTTCTTTCTTCCATCAATTTCCCATTTTTGGCTTTGATCTTTTCTAATCTAGCCTTTGTATTCCCACCACCACCAGCAGTTAATTCGACGTTGATCTTTCTGGTTGTAGTTAAAAAGTTATGTCTATGCTGTTTTAAAGCAATGTCCATTCTCTGTTTAATGTTATCACCTTTGAATTCTAAAAATGCAATTCCCTTGTCTTTTCTTATTCTAATTTCATCAGGTTTACTTTTACTAAAATTTTCTGAGATTTCCTTTTCAGTGACTTCATATGGTAAATTTCCAACAAATAGCAAAAACCTTGGAGCAGCTGAGTCTTCTTTATCTCTATTTTTCTTGCCTCTTCGTGTTTTCCTTTTCTTTTTAGTAGGTTCTTCGCTTTTCAAATCATCTTTTATTTCAGCATTTACAATTTTGTCTTTTTTCTCATCTTTTGGATCATCATCTGAGGTTAATTTTCGCTTTTTATTATCAGTTTTTAAACGAAAGTTTAATGTTTTCAACTGTTTCTTTGTGAGTTTTTTCTTTTCTGTCAGTACAAGGGAATTTTTCTCGCCACTCATCTTCAATATACTGGTATTTTGAGGTTTATTATTTGTATTGTAAACTGCTTCGATTACTTTCAATCAATCACTAGTGAATTTTTCACGTCCCAAAACGGCCAAATTGAAAAAAAAAAAAACCCACCCGGACTGTCCCAAAAGCCTTTTCTAATTTCTGACCCCCTAGCGCACACCTGTCACCCCTCTGGAAACGGATTAGGATTTGTGAGGGGAGCATCGCTTTCAGAGGTTGCCCAGAACCTAAAATTGGTATATAAAGAGGGAGTCTCCATAACAGATCAAATATTTCATCCACTTTTCTATTCAATTCTTTATTTTGTTGTTTGTTTAATTGTTTATTCAAGTGCTTATTTTAGAATTTGAAGCAGTACTAACGAACTTATTAAGAGACTTGCTCACGAGATAATCAAAGTTATCAAATTTCAAAGTTCTACTAAAAGGAAATGAATATTGTTAGATGAAATAATGTCAACTGAGGATTCAATGAATTTAGTTATTCAATCTTATAAAGCTCATCATATATCCAGTGATTCTTATGAAAATGAGACTGAAAATGAAACTGAAAATGACAACCAAATTAACAAACATACAAGCAAAGGTACCAACAGCATTATAAACACTAATACTGACACCAAAAGCAGTCATCGCCATCTTACCAATGACAATATATGTTGTGATAATAATGCTGCGAACCACGATGGTAATCACAGTGATAGTTCTAACAATGAAAATCATAATGATACAGGTACCAGTGATAACTTTTTTCATTTTGATGATGAAAACAAGATAAAAATGTCTAAGAAATTGGATGTTGTTTTGAATTTAAGAATTGGAATAATCCACGCTACATGGAATAGAACCATTATCGATTTAATCGTCAATGGAACTATTAAGAAGTTGATTGGTTTGGGCATCCTGGAGAGAAATATAATAATCCAGAGTGTTCCAGCCTATATTGAATTGCCTGTTGGCACAAAAATATTTGTGAGCAACCAAAAGAGGATTCACAAAGATTTAGATATTGTTATACCAATTGGGGTTTTATTAATTAAAGGAGATTCGATGCAGGTGGACTATTCTGAATTGGTCACGAAGGAGTTAACCATTGTCCAGCGATTAATCGATGTTCCCATCATCTTTGGGCTTTTGACTCTCACCAATGAGCAATACCAAAACGACAACAATGACAGCAATATAGACCCCAGCGCTCTTTCCTACTACGAAGAATGGGGTGCAGCTGCTGCTGAAATGGGCGTGAAAGTGGCTCTTGAAAGATTCTACATTAATCTTACTGCTAACAATGATACTACACAGCTTCCTTCGCCAGAATCACTATCTGATTCATCGCTTTAATTCCACATAAAGACCACTACATATCTCTATATACATTCTCGTTCATTCTCATTTATTTTCACTCACTTTCATCTTCTCATTTCTCTTCTTTGGTCTTTTTGCTCTTTCCGACCATTGGCACGTGGCTCTTGGTCACAAATCGTCTTTTTGATCATCTTTTAAAGGCATTTCTTTTGTAAAGCTTCTTTGGAAACAAAGTAATATATTTTGTGAGTTTTTAGAGACAAACAATGGCTGAAATTAAAGGAATTGGTGGTTTGGATCAGGCCTATGATGGTATGTGTTGCTCATACGAGCTCAATTCCAGCAATGACAAACACATCCATAACTAACAGATGTTAATGTCTATTTCTTTCTAGGATCAAATTTGAAAATTGGTATTATTTATGCTCGTTGGAACAAAGAGATTATAGATTCGTTAGTCTCTGGTGCAATTAAAAACCTAAAGAAATTAAATGTCAAAAAAGAAAATATTCTCATTGAATCCGTTCCTGGTTCTTTTGAATTGCCTTTCGCCACTAAAAAATTCTTCAACAACAATAGCGACTTAAATGCAATTATCTCCATTGGGGTCCTTATCAAGGGTTCGACTATGCATTTTGAATACATTTCAAATGCTGTTACATTGGAATTAATGAGCTTGCAAAAAATTATTGATATTCCGATTATTTTTGGCTTATTAACCTGCCTTACTGAAGATCAAGCAAAAATTAGAAGTGGATTAGTATTACCCAATGATAAAAATCATGCTACTCATAATCATGGCGAGGATTGGGGTTCAGCTGCTGTTGAAATGGCAATCAAATTTGCTCCAAAAATCAATAAAGTTGATGATATTATCGAAATTTAAATAGATTTACAATTGAAAAAAAAATATTAGTATTCATTTTACTCTTTTCTATTCTTTTCCCCTTTTGTGAGAAAATCAACCCAATAAATCCATCGATTAATAACGTAATATTTATTAATCATCTTCCATTTTTTCTTTTTTAATAAATAGTTCTTTGTTTTTGCCAAAGTTTGCTGATTGTCATTGCAATTATATTAGAAATCTCTTCATCTGCACAATTAGAGAGAATGTTCTCTATTCCTGTTCGAAGATTTCCATCTTTAACCAATTTTTCTCCAAATTTTTTATCTTGATAGCTTTCAACAAAGTTATAAATAACATAGGTAGCTCTTTGAATAAACTCTTCATTGTACTCTTCATTGTATTTTCGAAAAATAATATCACAAAGTTTTAATCCTAATCGTTCTCTGGTTAACCTTTCGCTAATAATATCAAAATCACTAATAATAGCAAATATATTGATTGCTGCGATGCCCACATTAATATTAACATGATCAACTATATTCACTAAAATTTCCAATTTATTAACTGATTTTCTGTTGTCTAAATCAAAATATTTTTCTGCAGTGGAAGGACTAGTGATTAAATTTCCTATTAATTCTAGCGCTCTCTGAGCAATTAAATCATCATCTGAAATAATAAAATCGTGAATAGTCTCGAAATTTTCAGCACAAATTTTATTCTTCAATTTATTATCTTCAATCGAGGCTAGATTTGTTAGCGATAGCAATGCCTCAAAGATATCCAACTTATTAGAATCCACCTGATTCGTTAACAATTCACTTAAATAAGGTATAACAATCACATTTGAATATTTTTGAAAAATCAAATTGGGATCAACTGAAATCAATATTTTATTTAAACCTCTTAATGCATAATTTCGAAATTCAATATTAATATATTCTCTACCTTTGCTTTTAATAACATTATCTAATTGAATTAAATATTTGAGTATAAAATTAAGTGCCCCATTTTTAACCAAAATCTTTCTAAAAGATCTTTCCAATGATATATTATAAAAAATTTTAATTATTTGATTTAAACAATTTGAGGAAATTTTATCAAATTGAATTTTCTTATCCGAAAAAATTGAAATTAAATTCCCTTTAGAGTTTCCAATAAATGGTGTCGTTTCATTTAATAATAAATTGATTAATTTTCTTATATTTTTATCATTCTTTAAATAATATTTTTCTTCATTTAACATTAAGGCAGATTTTTTAATATTATTATGTTTCAATGAATTTAATAATTGAGTTTTTTCATCTTTGGATTTATAGATATCATTAAACGAAATTAAATTCGAAAAAAATAAAATTAATCCAAAAATTTTTTCGTTGTGATGTAACAAATTATCAATTGTAAAATTAGCAACTAAAGTCTTATAAAGCACTTTAATAATCATGTAAAAATTATACTTAGCTTCACTTTTAACTTCAATTTTAGTTCCAGTTTCAGCTTGGACTTCAACCTCAATTTTTGGTTTTTCAAATTCAAATAGTTTAGATTTCACTGAATTAATCAATGATAAATATGCAAATGATTCAATTAAAATCGAAGTGTTGAAGTCATTGATATTCATTAAAGTACCAACTTTATTTATTTTTAATAATTCATTGCATAATTTATCGAAAATTTGAGAAATATCAATATTCTCATTAGTTATATTGTAGTTGTTTGAATCATTTGAAGAAATACTGGATAAAATATTATAAACTTTAATCAAAATTAAATTTGATAATAAAAAAATTGATTCATTTGATTTATCTAATATATTCTCTTTATTTTTAAAATTTGGATTATGAAAATTAGAAAAATTCAGTAAAATTGAAAATAAATCATTAATGATTAAATATTTTGAATTTTGATCAATCAATATTAAATCATTTAATAAGATTAAAATGTTAACATGTGAATAAGATTCCTTTATAATATTTTCATTCTTTTCACTATCTTCGTTATTTTGAATAGGATTGTATTTACCAATGACTTTATTGTAATTATTCAATAAATCAATCAAATAAGTTTTATAATTTAATAGAATTTTAGGAATTAAAGAATTTAAAACCGGAATAACTAAAATCAAAAACTTGAGTAGCATGATTAAATTTAAATTAGAATTGATGTTAAAAGATAGCTGAGTATTTAAACTTTTAATAATTAAATTAGTTAAATCATTAATTGATAAAGAGTTCATTTCATTTTGATAATTATTGATTAAATTGATTAAAATAAAGAAATTTAATGAGTTTATCTGATTAATAATGTTTGATTGAAAATCAAAATTCCGAAATATTGAAAGATGAATCATGATTTTAATTAGTTGTTTTAAGAAATCTAAATTAGGTATGATGTAAGAATTTAAAAGATAATTCTCTTGAAAAGATATTAAATGATATAGAATCAACAAATCAAATTTAATCTTATTCAACAAAATTTGATTAGATCCATTAATAAACTTTTCAGTAATCAAAAGAAATAGGTTCCTATCATTGATAAAAGATAGACTATTCGAGAGATTGTTTAAAGAATAATTTAAAAAAGCATGCAAAAACTTCAATTTTAAAGGCGTAAATTGACTTGATGATAGATTTTTGATTAAAATTAAAATTGAATTCACTAAATAATTCTCAATATTATATTTATGGTTAAAATTATTTATATCAATACTAGTATCCTCATTTTCATTGTCACTATCTTCAAAAAAAAGACTGAAATCAATTTTCAATAAGAGTTTCTTTGAAACTTGGAAATTCAGTATTAAATCGTATTTCAAAACATTAAAAATCAAAAAAACAGAGTCTTTTTCATCAACTATTTTTTGAATGTTTTGAAAAAAGAGATTTAATTTATCAAGATTTTCCTCTATGAGCCGATCAACTTTAGATTCATCAACGATATTTGTATTGTTTGGCTGTAACTCCTGTGTTTTTTTGTCTGTATATATGCTATCAAGCTGAGTTTTGAGAGTGTTTTCAAGATCTTCGGCAATACCATTATTAACTCTTGCAACTTCTTCGCTGTCTGCATTTTTTTTATATGGATACTTGGAACAATACAACTGTTCAAAAAACTCAATTTCAGCATCTTTCAACTCGTAGGACCTGAAGTTCTCCATAATCACCAGATTTATATCGTAACAATACGTCCGGTGCAGCAACTGTTAATTATCAGCTATCAATTTTCATTCAATAATGGCAAAGAATTCTCTTCTCTTCTCTTCTTTTCTCAGGCTCCGAAAGACGTTTTGGATTGTTGTTTTCTCAAGCCACTACATTCCTAAAACAGTTTTTCTGTTTTAGTCACGTGCTAAAGAATACTTAGCGAGCATTTTTATTTTTATTGACGAACACCAGTGTTCTTTGTGGCGTATCACTGAAAATCAACCAAACTTCTCCGGCATTACCCGCTAATCAAAAATTGTATATTCCGGCCGTTCTGCGGCGGTCAGTTTTATGTTACTTAATTACGGATTTGGCTCAACAACGTTGAATATTTTCCAGCTGCAGCTTTATCTTGTTTTCACAATAATTTTATACTACATTTTGCTGTCTTGATGGTCTCGAAACAATTTCAATTATATAAATTAGATTTACATAAGCCAGATAGTCTTCAGTAAAAGATCAAATCGTGACTTAATTTTTCTGTGTATTTATTTTACGCGATTCTAGGGTTCATTAATTCTCAATAGCCCTATTCTAGATTTACATCAAAAAAGTCCCGCAGCTTTTAACACACCAAAACAAAACAAAATGATCTGTTCTAATGAATCGAAGTATTTTCAAAGTCAGGAAAGAAACAAAGCGCAATGACTCCAAGAAAACTAGCAGCAATGATTTGAATTTTATTTGCAGCTTTACAGAGTATAATAACTTTGCTAATAAATTGCTACCTGTAATTTCACCTGATGGGAAATTTTTAACGTATGTTTCAACTAATTTAAAATTATTCATAATATCATTGATTGATTATACAAACGTTAGAATAATTGATTTGATTGATATAAACCTACTTGGCGATGATAATACTGATAGAGTATTTAATAGAACAAATTTTTCTGTTAAATTCCATGTTCATTCAATAAAATTCCAGCCATTAAAATCTAATAATAAGAAATTTTCAATGAAATTTGGAGTTTTTTTTGATAATTTAAATTTAATTAAAATTTATGATATTTTTAATAAAGATTATTTAAATTTTGTGTATCAAAAGCAAATTTCAGGTATTAGTTTAATTATTGAAAAATTCTATTGGTTATTTAATAATGATAATAAGAATTTGATACTTTTTTACAAAAACAAAGCTACAACCAAATTAATATCACTTGATAACAATAGTCATGATAATGGTAATAAAAATATTATAATTTTCAACTCAATTCACTCCTTGAGTTTCAATCATGTTTTTAAAAAAAATTTTTCCTTCAATAATAATATTTCATCACTATTGTCAGTTATTGATGGTAAAAATGTTTTATCAAATTTAGTATCTAACAATAATAATAATAATAATGATGATGATGATAATGATAATGATAATGATAATGATAATGGCAATGGCAATGGCAATGGCAATGGCAATGGCAATGGAAATGGAAATGGAAATAATAATAGTTGTACCATTCAATTATACAATGAAATGAATCTATCAACTTTATTAATGAATAATATTTTGTATTTAAATTGGTCATTCGATGGTTTATTTTTATCTTGTATTGATTTAAATTTCAGAAAAATTTATTTAAAGATTGTTGATTTATTTGGTAATTTAATATATCAAAAACTTCTCAATTTTCATTATGATTTAAATTTCAAGTGGTGTCTAGCAAATAATTTAAATAATTTATTAGTATTATTTGAATTATGTTTTGATAAACTAAACTATAAAAAAATTTTTGTTTTAAATATTTCAAATGGTTTTAAACTACTGAAAGTTTTCAAAATTTCTTTGATTTATAATTTATCTAGTTTATCTAACCTAAATTTAAGGTATTGGAAAATGGATAAAAAAGTTGAGTTAAAAGATATTTTTTCAAATAACTTTTTAAATTTGGATACAAATCTTGTCAATTTTTATATTAGATCCCAGAATGCTTCTTTTTTTAATTATAACAATGTCAATATTAACGGTATATTGAACGAAGGTGATAGTGACCATAATGATAGTTGTACTGATTTTGATAAGACTATAAATAGAGATTTAGTTGAATTTAATTTGGTTGATAATTTATCATTATTTTTCGATATTAACTATGATTATGATCATTTTATGAGCTTGAGGATGCATTTAATTGACTATAATAATTTGATTGCAATAAAATACAATTTGTTTGACAATTTTTTATTTATCTTTGATATCAATCATAATGAAATTTATAATGAAAATAATAATGAAAATAATAATAGTGATAGTGATATAAATAACTTGCCTATAGCCATTATTAAAACCAATTCAAAGATAATATCGATTAAATGGCATAAAAACCCCTTTTTAAAAAATTTATTGTTGATTACAACATTATCTGATTTAATTATTTGGTGTTTAAACTGGCCTAAACCAATTTTAATTAAACCAATATTCAATATCAATCCAGTGACAATTAATCTTGATAATAAAGATAAATCAAAAGCTAACAATAAGAAAAATTACAATTACAATTATAAAATAGTTGGTACTAATTGGATATTTGATATAAACAATCATTTACACTTGAATTTAAATTATTTAAAGGTTGCAGTTTATAACAATTTAAATGAATTTACGATAATTAAGATAAATTTGACAACAGACTTAATAAATTCATTGAAAAAAAATGGCAACAAGCTATTTGAATTTTATTTAGATGAAAGAAAAAAGGGAAAATACGTTTTTAATGCCAACTTGGATAGTAAAAATGAGGAAGTTGGTGATGATTTCAATATGGTAAGTTATATTAATGATGTTCAACAGATGGAGAAGTTGTTTGATGATAAATATCAAGTAGAAGACACCTTTCAGTTTAAAAAGTAAAGCAAAATCTGAAGGTTATTTTGCAAAACTTTGTTTTTTAGTGAATATTAGAACAAGGGTTATAGGTTTTTTTTTCTTTTTCTGCTTCTTCTGCTTCTTCTGCTTCTTTTGGTGAACTTGGTGAATTTTGTATTGAGATTGAAATGGGAGCTTTTTATCTGGGCCCTTTTTGGAAGAAGGAAATTCCGAATTATCTCTGTGTGCTTTGAGCTTGGAGAAACTTTTAGTGACTGAAAGAGGTTTTTACATAGTAAATTTCGCCGGGTTGAGTCTTTTTCCCAAAAAAGCGGCGATCCTCTGGATTATTGTTGAAGTGAATCCGGCTGCGGGCGGTCGCAGGAATTTTGGGAAATTTTATAATTATTTTTTTCTTTGTAGATTTGAAATCAAAAGCTATTACAAGTTCTTAAAAACCAGAAGTTACGAGAAGATAATAGATATATCAATCGATATCATTAGGTTGTTGTAATTAGTATAGAGAGTATTTGTTTTTGTATTCAAGATGGCTGATAATAAGAGTAAGTAATTTTATAGTGGGTGAGGATTTCATTCTGCTCTGCAATGAGTTGATTTGGAGTCTATGAAGATGTTTGAAATGTTTGAAATATTTTTTTGAGATTTATCAAGATTGTTTTAATACTAACATGATGGGATAATTAATTTGATTTAATTATATTAAATTTGAATAGAAGTTATTAAGAATACCGATATGGTTGAAGAAATGCAAACATTTGTGCTAAAGTTGTCTGATCAAGCTATAACCGAATACAAGTTAGAAAAGGATATTGCAGCATTTTTGAAGAAAGAGATGGATAAGACATATGGAACTACATGGCATTGTATTGTTGGTAAGAATTTTGGCAGTTATGTTACACATGAGATGGGCAATTTTATTTATTTTTACGTTGATGCATTAGCAATTTTATTATTCAAGACTTCATAATTTTTGAATGGTTTAAGATAGTTCAAAATAAATCAATGAATCAATGACTCATAAGAGAAATGGATTAAACAATTTATTTTTAATGAATTATTTCTATAGTATAAATATTATTTAAAATAACAATAATATCAGAAGCTGTTTTTTGTTTTCTACACTATTCATAGTTTCATAGTTTATCATCATTGAAATATATATTAATATATTTTTATAAATGTAATTTAGATTATAAATAAAGAATTGAAGATTATTAGAAGAAAAAAAACGATAAAAATAAAAAATGAAAGATTTAACTTCGACAAATTAAATTAAAAAGATATTAACAACAAATGTTAATGAGAATTAAAAAAAAAAAAAAAATATTCATGAAAAGATCAAAAAAAACCAAATGTGAGTATTATCAAGATCGGCATCAAGATATGTATAGAATATTAAACATAGTCTGTATGATTGACAACGAATCTATGAATAGTTTTAGTAATAGTTTAAGCATAATTAAGGCGTAAGCATCGAGAAACAAGAATTGAACAAGCAGCAGGAATCGTCAAAATATCAGAATTTAAATGGCTTAAAGCAGTTCGCCATTTGAGCCTATTTTGGATTTGGATTCAACATCACTGGGGCTTGAAACATCATCTTGAGTAGTATCCTTTAGTTCTGATTTAAGCTTCTTTAACAAGTCCCTTTCATGTTTCTTGATGTAGAAATTCTCCTTGGATTGTTCTCTTTCCTGGAAAACCTTGGGGTTGAAAGAGTCTTCAAAGGAAAAATCACTAGAGTTGTTTGAAAAGGGTCTGAGCTGTTGTTGCTTCATATAGCACACAATTGACTTTGAGGTGATTGAGATAAGGGGAATTACGATAGCCGGTTGGGCTGGGAGAGAAAGAATAGGAACTAAAAAAGCAGACATTGTGGTTGGAAATAAAAGCAGGTTTGGTAGGAATTGAGTTTGGCAAGAAAACAGCAGAAAACAATTGCAGGTATTCCGAAAGAACAGTAGGCAAATAAGAAGAGTAAGTATGAGAAATAAGATGGATAAGATGAAGAGAAGCAAGAAAAGATCGGGAACCAAAGGAAGAAACACTCCTTATATATGGCACTTTTGACACATTGGCCGAAGAAAAGAAAACTGCGGGGCCAGATCACGACTATGCCCTTACAAATAGCGCCAGCAGCAGTGCGTTTAGAGAATAGATTCCATTTGAGAAGGTCATTCATGCAGCCCAGCGCAGTCCGATGCGTGTTCCAACCGCTGTCATTACCGACCCACTGGGCTGGTGCAGAGGGCCTCTGCTGTTTCTGCTGTTTCTGCTGCTTCTGCTTCTGCTGCCTCATCCTCTGAGTCCTCCAGCACGTCTGAGGACTCAAGTACCGGAACTTGCTCAAATCTCTGGAGGCTCTGTTCGATTTCTTCCTGCAACCTGATTGCTTTCTCCCTCACAATGCTCATCCCATCACAGAACGAGGTTAGATATGACAATACATGACTGTTATTATTGGTGCTTCTGCCTCCATCTTTCGTTTTTTTGTTGGGCTGCCCATACTCACTGTCCCATATCTGTCTCAGGATTATATTGAGATTATTCCCCAAGCTGCAGTTTTCTGACTTGAGGTTGTGGATTTCGTTTATCAAGATCCTGTTCTTCACCTGTTCTGCCACCAATCTTTCGTCATAGAAACTCATGAACTTTTGGTAATTTTTAATATAATTTTCCGTATAAATTGTACTCTTCTGGCTTTCGTTCTCATTTTTTTTAGAACTATTCTTATGTTCACTATTATTAATACCATTAGAGTTTCTATGATTTTCTAATTCCAACTCTAATGAACTGATTTTTTCTCTCATTGCCATAATTTCTTGGTTTAATCTCATCGTCTCTATTATTGATTTCATCTGTATCGTTATTAATTTTTGCCTCAGTTTTTATCATTTTAACATTATTTGCATATCGTAATGTTGATAATGTTTCATCATAATCGCAAGGACTAACACACGCTATCATTGCGGTTTTAGAATTTCCCCCCTCCCCCAAGCTTTCTTTTAATATCCATGTTAATGTAGAATCTCGATATGGAACCACGATATTCAAAGTATTACTGTTATTACTGATATTATTGGTGGTGTTAGCAGTAGCATAATCATTGATAACATTATTGGTGCTCAAAATACTTAACGAATTTATAACCCTACCTAAATGCGTCAATGATTTATTAATATTTGAACCCTCTTTTAATCTTTCACCACTTGATCCTGTGGAATTGACTCGTTCTGATCCTGCTAAATCAACTAACCGAATCTTTGATTTTTTTATGTTTTTAATTATATCATTATAAATATCCAAGTATTCAATTTGTTTAATGGATATGGTAAAAATAGCATGGGATCTGGAAGAATTATTATTCATTTTTGTCTTTGCTGTCTTTCTATTTTGATTTCCCAATTTAAAGTAGTTCTCAATTTCTCCATAATTTGTGACTGCAAAATTTGACAAATTTTTAACAAAAGGCCCACTTTTAGGATCTTCTCTTATTCTTAATTTATTATTGTTATTATTACTATTCGTTAATAAATCATAAACATTTTCATTATATATTTCAAAATATGAAATTTTAATTGATACAGAGATCTTCTCTATTTTAATCAAATTATCAGCTTTATCAAATAAATCTCGACAAAGTCTTGGAATTAATCCACTTTTACATTCATTGACTAATTATTATTATTATTATTATTATCATTGAAATAATCTTGTTGGTACTTGCTATTATAATTGTTATTAATTCTATTATAATTCAAAAGATTTGAAGTTTTTAATGGAGATTTTGATCTGGGGGAGAATTTCTTAACATTTGTTTCTAACACTAAAGTTGAATTATTTACATTTTGTTTCAAAGGCGATTGTGACTGGGATCTTGATCTTAAATGTTTTGACTCCAATGACTCCAATGAAGCTGTTGAAATATTGGAGTTGGTTCTTGTAATTGGAAAGAAATTGGACCCACTACTAATAGGCCGAGGTGGTCTTGAGTTGTTGCGTTTGGATGGACTTTTTATATTTTGCTGTCTGGATGAAGTTCTCGACAAGGAATTCATTTTCAATAAGGAAGATTTAGCGTTTATGGACGAGGTCGACAATGGCGTCTGTAAAGTCATAGCTGTTGATAGCTAGCAACCAGTAGGACAAAGGATCGTGGAAACAGCAGCTCGCAAAATACCACGATGAGCACCTCCTACCAGATCAAACCAAACCAAAACTGAACCACTTACATCAACCCACAGCTTTATATTTATTCTCAAAGCGGCAAAACGTAAGCAATAATGCTGATGAGACCACTAATACGGATTGTTTTCGATTTGGATTTAACTTGTATCTATTTTTTCGCGTTTCTGTGCTTTTACTCAAAACAGTAATATCCGACATCTCAAACAAGATTTTCTCAGTTGTGACACAATGTCCTCTTGGAAACAGCACGTTGATTTACTAAAGCTCTGCTTTTTTATTATTTGTGTGTGTTTTCCCTCTCTGTATCGCAATAGCTCCTATTCTCCAGATGATGAGTCAGTTTCAGACAAAAAGGTCAAGATTGATTATTATCAGTTTTCTTCACATTGATTGAATTCTATCAAACAAAAAACACATATAAGGACTCAAATTTAATGCCACATTTTGATTAATGATGCAATAATAGTAAGATAGTGCTTTTTTAGTCTTGATTCATACTTTCTCATCAAATGTCAGAATATTTCAATACTTCGGATTCTTCCAATTTTACAAATAGTCTTGATCAAAAAGGTTCAAAAGACCAGGTTGATTTAGATGATTTTTTATATAAACCAATTCCAAAGATTTTATCAATTCAATCCCACGTTACTCATGGGTATGTTGGAAATAGAGCTGCGTGTTTCCCTTTACAAATCAACGGATGGGATGTTGATATATTTAATACTGTAAACTATTCAAATCATACAGGCTATGGGTTAGTCAAGGGTTCAATAACTGAAAAGGTTGATTTGGAAAATATATTTCAAAATTTATTAGATCTAGATTTGGTTAATTATAATGGTATATTAACTGGCTATATACCAAACGATAAATCTTTATCTCTAATAAGTCAATTTTCGCAAAAGATTAAAGATTTGAATAGGGAGAAAAAAAAGGATCTTTTATGGTTACTAGATCCTGTAATGGGTGATGAAGGAATTTTATATGTTGATGAAAGTGTTGTCCCAATTTATAGAGATATTATATTGGTAAATGATATTGACATTATAACACCAAATCAGTTTGAAGCTGAGTTATTATTAGATTATTCAATAAGTTCATTTGATGATCTAAAAAAAGCCTTTAGTGATTTTCACAATAACTTTAATCTAAAATACGTGATAATAACTTCAATCAAGTTGAATGATAAACTATATTGTGCATGTTCATCATTGCAAAATGGTGATGGTGATGGTAATAATAATGATAATGATAATGATAATGATAATAATAATGATAATGATAATGATAATGGCAAAGAAAAGTCCGTTGTTTTATTTGAGATCAAGACTATAAATTCTTATTTCACTGGTGTTGGTGATTTATTCAGTGCCTTGGTTATTGATAAAATTTATAATCAAAAGGATAATTTGATTGGTTGCGTCAATGAAGTTTTGACTATCATGTACAAAGTCTTAAATTTGACTGCAATATTATCTAAAAAGGATATTGAATTACATAATGATAACAATTCTATAGATGGTGGTAAAATTGGCGATTCAGATTCCATGAAATATTATGAATTACGAATCATTGAATCAAGAAGCTTTTATACCCAATCGGAGAAGATGTATAAAGCAATTTATATATAATTTATATGTAATCTACTAAATTACTAAATTACTAGATAAAATAGATAAAATAGATAAAATAGATAAGATAGATAAGATAGATAAAATGAAATATTATATTGATTTAGACCCGGTTAGGAAAAGGAATGAGATGAATTAGTTCAATAAAATAAATACACAAAACACAAAAAATTATTAAAGGACATTAAATGAAACTTGAAAAAACAAAATAAATTCAATCGAATTCAATTGAATTGAGATGTAGTGAATCGAAGTAAATCAAAGTAAATCAAAGTAAATTGAAGTGAATTGAAGTGAATTGAAGTGAATTGAAGTGAAGTAAGATAAAGTGAAATGAATTTATTAATTAGAATTCTCTTTTGTAACAATATTTAAGATTTGTTTCACAAAAAAATAATGAAGATAAGATTCAAAGATTAAAAAAACAACTAAAAAAAGATATAAATTATTTTGTTTCAAAGAAAATTGATTTAAATCAAATTTAATGTTTGAGCTTATTGATTATAATAAACCTAATAAAATTGTAGAGATTGAAAATAATACTACATTGAATGATTGAAATACACTGAAACTAGCAGCTCCATCTGTAGAGGATTCGGAATTTGTTGAAGTAACTGTGGAGGTATCTGTTTCCTGTGCAATTTCGACATCCTCATTTGAACTTGAACTTGAACTTGAACTGGTTATTGAAACTGATCTTGAGCTAGATTCTGAGCTTGAACTTGAATCGGAGATTGAATCAGAGGCTATGGTAGAATTGGAAGTAGAATCGGAAGTAGAATTAGAAGTGGAAGTTGAATTTGAGCTTACATCTAAACCAATAGCTTGACAATATTGGACCTTGGTCTCTTCGATAGTATCATCGTCAACAGAATCGACACAGAACCCACATAAGTAGTAGACTTCCCAAAAGTCGTTCTCCAAACCACATAGACAAACCGAGTAATCTATGAACTCCTGGGTAGTATAATCATCGGGAATAGTACAATTAGCTTGTTCAGTCAAGTTAGGGAACTCGACACAGGCGTCAGAAGTAGGACAATCTCGTTTGGATAAATGAAGAGCAGCGATAGGGCTGGAGGCGAGCACAGAAGCAGAGGCGAGTGAAAGGGGGATCAAAGAGGATAAAAGCTTCATTGTGAGATTGTAGAAAGTTACCATAGGTTTGTTAATTGGTATATATACTCTGTGGCTATAGTGCCAAAACTAAAAACAGCAGGATTGCAGCACTTATATACCTTCTGAGCTGGATGGTTATCAAGCTCTTGACTGGGTTTTTTGTTGTGTGACGATGAAAGAAAAGCAGCACGAGAATGAGTGAAAAAGCCTCTTTGGGATTAAAAATAGATCTGAAGGTATTGGAGGTTCTGTTTAAACAGGCTTCGGCAAATGAGGCACCAGCTGTACACTTCTGATATGGAATTACAGCTGTGCTATCGGGAAGAGAGAAGAGAGAAGAGATGGAAGAGAGAAAATGTAAATTAAAATCAACTAAATGAAACTAAATGTCAACTACTAATAAATGAAAATTGGATAAAAAAATCTATGTAAAGCCTTGCACAAGAGCAAGCATCTGCGCTGTTGGTATAGCTTATTGGGCTTTAGCAGAGTGTTCAGCATCCCATTGCTCGACGTCTTTGATAGGAACTTTGACAATAGTGTTTCCCAATTCACCATTGTCCAACTTGTAAATAATTTCTCTATGAACATAATTTCCAGCCTTTGGTAAGACAAATCTCCACACAACGTAGTAGAGAACACATAGCAAGAGAATACCAAAGACAACAAGAGGATAAGTAGCGTAAAAAAAGGTAACATCACTTCCAATCAAAGTACCATCTGCTGGAGGAACAAATGTGACAGCAAGAACAAACAATTGAAAAAACATTGCAACAAATAAGAAAACGGTTGGAACTTTAAACTCACCTCTACCCAATCCTCTCCTTTTTCTTTCCTTTCTAACTTTAAGTAAACCAACAATCAATGCAAAACTGAAAATAGTACTTGAGTAACTACCTAAATCAACAATGAAATTATAAGCTGAGCCAGCTGGAGGACCGACAATCATGATAGAATTAACCAACCAAATAATGAAAATTGGACCGACTGGAGTGCCAAATGGTCTAATTTGTGTCCAAAATCTAGGGAATGGTAAAACACCTTGACGCCCACACTCTCTGAGAGATCTTGAATGTGATAACACAACAGTGATTAAATGACCAAAGGCAGATAATGAAACCATAACATTTAAGAATTTTGTGGCATGCTTGTTTTCAAATGCATTTCTAAATAACAATGCAGCAATAGAATTGGAAGAAGCTTTAATTTCTTCGATTGATGAGCCCGTGTAATAACTGGTTAATATCAATATATATAAAACAAAAATGATTGAGACAGATAATGGGACAAAAAATGTGAATGTCTTTACCAAGGATTTACCTCCATTAGAATGTTCAGCTGCCACACCAAAGGCATAAGCGTAACCACCATATGAGAAAGTAACTTTAATAATTGCATTAGCAATTGCATTACCATCAGTGGTAGTGCCATCCCAGGTATCATGGAAATTTTGTCTTGGATTTTCAATATGGGTATGTTTTCCCAATGCAACCCATCCTAAGATAACAATAAAAAGCATAAAGAATAATTTGACATAACCCAATACATTTTGCAATCTCAAACTCCATTTTGTGCTAATAGAAACAAATATACAGGCAAAAGTCAAGCAACCCAAGGCGATACCTCTATAATTCCAATCAGTTTGTTCAATGTCAGAGGCTTCTAAGATATATCTACCAAATGCCAAAGCACTACTAGTAATAAAAGATAAGACAACTTGGACAGCAGCAAAAGTGGTTGGAATTAAATATTGGGGTTTTGGATAAGCTTGTTCAAGATATGCAACATCACCACCATTTCTTTTCTTATAGTAAGTGACAAATTCGATATAGACAAAAACATTGAACAACTGGATGAAAAAACAACCAATCCAAAGACAATAAGTTGAACCAATACTACCCATTGATTTTAAAATCGAACCTGGGGTAGCAAAGATACCTGTTCCAACAATACCTTGAAGAATAAAAACAACAGTTGAAATAGCATTGACATTGTAGCCCAAAGGATTTGAGGATTCAAGAGGAGCACCACCGTCTTTTAAATCAACTTCTTCAGTATCACTTGAATGATTATTATCCACTTCAGAGATTGAATGAACCAATTCGACATCTTTACCTCTACTAGAGGAATCACCAAGAATTTTAGAAACAATAGAGCTCATGTTTGAAATACAAATAGTATTTGTATTTGTATTCGTCTTAGTCCTGTAGATTTTTTTTTATTTCAAAAACCGGAAATTTACATGCCTATTTATTCAATTTTCTTTTTTATTTTCTCACGAGAAGACTAAAACACCATAAAAAAAAAGGAAAGGATATGATTTGGAGAACACTTTTTAGAATCCATATTATAGAATACCCAATTCACAAAGTGTTTATGACTTTGCATTAAAATAATAGATCAAATGGTACCTGTCGGTAAAATGAATACAGTTGAAAAAGGCTGTCAGTACCAAATGCCACAATTCTTTAGAAAAAACTGTAGAGAATTACAATCAAATCAACCAAACCAAACATTGCCATTCATTTTGAACCTTAAAAGACAAGGTATCGAGTTGGAGAGTAGTGTATTCTGAGAAGTTGAGCTTTGTCTCAAATATAATAAGCTAGTAATGTTTTTAGGTGGAGATGAAGTGAGGGCACACTTTGCTGGCAAGTAGATTACTAAAAGTCGTTATAAATGAGACAATCCTTAGAAAAGCTTCTTTCTGGCCCTTAGGACCAATCTTAAAACAGGTCAGATCCCCTTAGAAGAAAAAGCAGTGAGCTGGTGGAAGAATTGTCTGGCAATTGTGGCCATTTTCTCGACAGGTGCCTTTCACACCAGTACAATTCTAAGATACACAGAACGCAGATTCTGCAACACCATGTGATATTCGGATAATCTGCAAGGCCTGAGAAGGAGAAGAACAAAAAGAAAGTTTGGAGAAAGAGCAAGACAACAAGAAAAGTGCTCCAGTCTCTCCCATGTTGCAGGTTGTGATCCAATAGAGGCTCTTGTAGCAGATTATGTTCCATGAGAAAAGAGGGAGAACTTGCAGTGTTTCCAGAAACTAGCAACAAATGGTCCGAATACCAGATTGCGAATATACTTTAATTACCAAATCACACATGGATTGATTTAAGAACATTGACCATTACCAAAAGCTATTGCTGCTGATAGTGGAATAATTTAGGCTAAACAACTTTAGTTTTTCTCAGGAAAATTGTCGATTGAAAGCTTAATTTTTGGCAAGAAATGCAAAAGAACCCGAAAAACATCACAACCGCCAGAGAGCTATTCTTTATCTAACCAATGGTCTTGCACTGCTGAATTAACTTTTTGAATTATTAATATAGTAAATAAGAGATAATAAATTTTTTCTGTTTTTGTATTTGTCTCACAATTTCCCGAATAAATTGAACAGGAAATCCAAGCCCACAGAAAAAAAAGGGAAAATAAAAGAAACAAATTGTTTTAACAGTTTCTATTATTTAAAAATATAAAAATTACCAAAAAAGCTGCAATATATGAAACCTTCTCCTGAAAGAGAGACCCTGAGTAAAAAGATTAGCAACAGCGGCTAATACCCTAATAATAATAGGTTTCTTGTCTGTTTTCTTTTTCGATGAAAAAAAGTAAATTAATATTCGGTTATAGAGCAAAAGAAAACATGAGATTCAATACCGTATAAAAAGTAAATAGTTTCTGTACTGAATTGGATGAAAGAAAGCCAGGCAAGCGGAATAATTATGCTATTGTCTATAAAGATGGCAATTATTGAATGGATTTTCGTGATCAGTGTTTAATGTTCAATGGTTGATTAATGATTAAGTAGGTTACTTAAAGAGGACATGAGGAAGAAATAAAAGGAGCCTGTTTCTGGTTTTGGATTGACGTAATTTGAGATGGGTCTTTTAGAGTTAGAGCCCTAATGAAGAATTTCATAAACAGTTGGGAGGGAGTTGAGAGCATTGAGATTTTATTTAAATTTTTATTAAATTTTTATTAAAAACGTATTAAAACAGTATAAAAACAATATTAAAGGTATAAAAACGGTCATAGAAGGTAGAATTAGGAGAAATTGGGTAAAAGAATAACATAATTTTAGAAAACACAATTATTTTCTTATAGAATACTAATTAAAACAGCGGAAACCAAAGAAAATGAAGAAAGAATAAAAGATCTGGATTCTAAGAATTGGTTAGCAGCAATGGCAGAGCTTGAGCTTGATTCTGATTCTGATTCTGATTCTGTGCTTTCACTTGATCCAGAAATTTCCTCATTGTCAACAATACTAGATGAGGAGGACCCAGACACTGTGGTTGATCCAGTTGATATAATCAGTGAACCCGATGAAGACTCTGTATTAATCAAAAAGGAACAAAGGTCATCTTTAAACGAACTTACTTGATTATCCAGGAAATCGTCAGAACAAAGATAACATTCAAGTTCATAATTCCAGTATTCGTCATTGGATAAACCACACACACATTCAACGTATTCTGAAGTTTCATCAGGGAGGCCACAAGTACTATTGGCTAAGTCTGTAAGTTCATAACAAACATCAGTATATCGGTTACAAAGAGTGTTATTGGTATAGGTGGAATTTGAAAGATCTATATCACTGGAATTTGAATAATAACCAGAACATAAATGGCTTTTGACAATATTCACAGAATCCTCATCTGCAGTTTCAACACAAAAGGTGCACATATAACTTGAATCCCAAAAATCATCAGAGAGATCACAAACACAAGTATAAAAGTTGGCTAACTCGGCATCATCATAATCTTCGGAAATGTCACAACCAGAACTAAAAAGAGCGTTTTCGTAGTGCCTACAGGCATCAGAGTCTGAGCACTCAGGAAAATTTTCTGATTCCTCTCTTTTTTCCAAGGCTTTAATCTTCGAATACAAGAAATCACCGTTGTAGGTTGTTGGATCTTCTCTTTTGAACAAAGACCGAATTTTGGAAACTAGATTAACCAGAGGGTCATTGTCAGCAGATGCGCAGGCTAAGGCCAAAGGTATAAAGGGTATAACTGAAAGGTAATTGACAAGCTTCATTGTGTGTTGTTTGATAGTGATAAAGTATCTGAACCGGTGAAGGCATATTAAAAAAATTGAGGATCTGAGAGATTTTTATATGTGGAAATTTTCAGGTTTAGAGAAAAAATGGAACCGTCCTAGTGTCTGAAACATTGGAGCTACACTTTTCCGATCAGCCACAGAACCCTGCATGTGTCCCATTCGGGCAACTGTGCTGATCAAATGGAGCTGGCTCCAGGTCCTCGCAGCAAATATGCAGAAACGGCAGTGTTGAGGGCGAGGGGACCTTAGAGAAACCACCAAAAGCACCATCCAAAGATCCGAACTGCCAGGTGGAGGCGGGATCTTTATTTTCAGCTGAAAATATTGTTGCTTTATTGGTTTTCTTCCAATAATTTTCTTTTTTTCTCCTTTTGCTGCTCAAATGCTATGAGATCTCTCAAACAAGGCCTGAGCTGGATACCGCAGATAAACATTTGGGCAGCACTCCATATCTCACCAATCAGTTTCAGAGTAACAACAGGAAATCCAGAAGAAGGGAGGGAAGATCAGCGAGGCCATGCTCCGAAACAACTTTGCCTCGATTTAAATCAAGTCTGAATTCATTCTTTTGTTCGAAACCTGGTCGATTGCTGTGCACAACCAAATTTTTTGCAAGCGATGTCTGCTAATTTGGGAGATCAAAGAATCCAACTACTGAAAATAGATAAAGCACTTTCTGAAGACGATTTTATGGTTCAGCTACGAATATCCGAACTATTCTGTGGATTTGGACACTCGATATATTAATAGCAACAGCTGCAGGGAAACAGACCCTGCATACACCTTCGTGTTTAAGGTGGCGTCTCAGGAAGCGCGCCGAACAGGTTTTTTTGGCGCTCTCTAAACACTCGTGAAAAGCGCATTTAAGCACCGATCGTTTCCCATGATTTCTATGACAGAATTTGGCGGTTTTTTGGCGGTGCAATGCGGCGGTGCTTTGCACGTGTGGGCGACCGGTGCAAACCTTAAGGGTGCTTCAAATTTTGCTTCTGTTTGGAGTTTGGTTCCTATCTCAGATTTGATTACATTTTGGACTCGAGTTTGTTGGATATGGCTGATGTTGACAGAAGAAAACAGATTGATGAATTGATTTTGTGGGGGAAAAATAATGGTGCTTTGATTGACCCCAAAATTGGTTTTGACTATTCTCAAGATAAAGGAGTTTTCGCTTTTTGCTCCTCAAAAGAATCTGTTGATCATGTTGGTCCCTTATTTAACGACTATCAAATAGCCATACCTGAAAATATAATCATAAATTCAACTTTGCCATCTCAGTTTTTCAATTCAATAGGCTTTACTAACTTGAACTATAATGACAACAATATCTTAAAATTATACTTGGCTAAACTAAAATTCGACACTTATCCTCATAACCAAAATGATAATAGTTCAACTTTGATTTTTCTAAATCATCAATCGTTTTTTAAAAAATATATCAACAATTTACCTTCAAAGTTATATGATTTAAATTCTTTTCCTTTAATTTACAATAATTTCGAAAAAAAAAATTATTTGGTCAATACAAACCTTAACGAAAAATTTTTAAATGAAAAATTATTGTACTTAATTAACGAATGGTTTCAATCAATTTCAATCCTAATTGATCTTGACAAAAAGAATAATTTAAATAATTCCATTAATTATCACCCTGATGACATCAAATTTTATACTGATAATTTTGCTAATAATAATGTTAATAACGATAATCATGAACATTCTTTAAACTTTATCTCATCTGATTCATTTCAAGAATACCTAAATAAACCAATAACCTCTTGGTCAAGTTTTAACGCTTATCTATGGTCCCATTTAATTTTTACTTCAAGAAGTTTTTCCTATCATAATTTGAATCCACTGGCTCATCAAAATCAGCTAATGCTAGTTCCAATCCTCGATTTTTTAAATCATAAATCAAAGGAAAAGTTATTATGGTCTTTTATCACTAAAAATAAAAACTCAAATAAAAACAACAATAAAAACAACAATAACAATAAAAACAACAATAACAATAACAATAACAATAACAATAACAATAACAATAACAATAATAATAATAATAATAATAATAATAATAATAATAATAATAATAATAATAATAATAATAATAATAATAATAATAATAATAATAATAATAATAANAATAATAATAATAATAATAATAATAATAATAATAATAATAATAATAATAATAATAATAATAATAATAATAATAATAATAATAATAATAATAATAATGATAATGATAATGATAACTCAAATATTTCCTTTTTCACTTTAAAAATTCAAAATTTTAATAATACTCCTCAAAATCAAGAGCTATTTAATAACTACGGTTGTAAAAATAACGAAGAACTCTTACTAGGTTATGGCTTTCTTTTCAAGGATAACGAATTTGACTCAATCGCTTTAAAATTAAAACTATCCAATAACCAAATAAATCAAATTAAACTATTTGATAATTCAATATCTCTACCAGATATCTCAAATTATACCAATCACCCCAACTACCAATCTATTATTTCTTCCGATGATACAGAGTTATTATTCTACATTGCCAATTACGACATGGACGAAAAAATTAACTCTCTAATTAATATATTTGCAATCTTATCTAAAAACGATTACGATGATTATTCAATCCAAAAAAAAATATCAAATGCTAATGAAAATCAAAATGGAAATGGAAATGGAAATCAAAATCAAAATCAAAATAAAAAAAAAAAAAGCATCTACACTTTGAGAATGAAACTATTAGGTCTTAAAAACTTAAAAGTCGCAATCGACTCAAAACTAAACAATCTAAACATCTCCATCAATGGAAATTCAAACTATATTAACCAAGAAATAATACTTAAAAACCACTCCAATCTCAAAAATTATCAAAATTGCCAGCTATATAAAACTCAACAAAAAAAATTATACGAAAAAATATCCTCAATATTAAAAGAATCTGAAAAGAATTTAATTCGAATTAACCAACCCTTGGGCAAACTTCTAACTCTAAAAAAGGCCTTCAAATCAGATTTAAAATTTCAATACTCTTTAAGAATTATCTTTGGCTTTAAAAATTACGATAAATTATCACAATCTGAATCGGAAGATCAAATCTTAATATTATGGTTGGTTAGATGTTGCAATAAAAATTATTATATAAATGAACTGAAAAATAATCCAACAAACACCTATAAATTACCAGAATGGATCTTTCAATTATTCAATTGGTATAAGATTAACTATTTAAAGTCATTTCAAATCACTTTAGAAGAAAAACAATATTATGAATCCTTATATAAATATTTTATCCCTGACATTATTTCCAAATGTCCTGAAATTTATTCAAAGGGTTCATGGGGATTAATTGAGTTTATTTTAGCAGGAAAAATATTGGAATTAATTAGTTATGAGAGAACTGCAAAAAATGAAACTATTTTGGTCAATAATGATTAATATCCTTCAAAAAAATTCTAGTTTATTACTGTATATAAATTTAAATCTCTATTAACTGATAGAAAAAGTATAAAAATATATAAAGACTAAAATCTCAAAAAACTTTATAAAACTTTATAAGACTATGATATCATGATTCGTTATGATTATTTAAAATAAAGAATTTATATGAAAGAAGTAGATTTTCCAAGTAACCCAAGTATGACTCGTTTAAACTATAAGTAAAAAAAATAAATATTGGAGTATTAAGATAATTGCTTTTGTTTTTTTCTTGGAAAAAATAAAATAAAGAAGATATTATAAAACATAATTGATGAAAAGTTGATTAGCAACTTTCACATATACCTATCGATATAGCTATTGCTAGCAGTATATGAAAATCCTTGAAATAACTCATCTTGATTGCTAGTATTATGATTATTTTTATTATAATTGATTGTTATTCCTTTATTTTTAGTAAGATCGGCACTGAGTGATTTTCCGTAATTACTTAGCTTCATACTTGTGAACTCCTCAGAAAAATTTTCGGCCAAAGCAGGGTCCGTTATAATTGGAATAATGGGAGCTTCAATTTCAGTGTATTTTGATTCATTTGATAAAGTTTTCCAGTCAATATCTCTGAAAAATCGATGCAGTTTAAATTTTTCAACATCATCATCAATGTTCCATCTTTTTTCAGGATTTTTGTTTAAAAGTTTGTTTAACATATCCTTTGCATAACTAGACAAGTAAAATGGCATTTTTGGTTTTTTTTCAAGAATTTTCTTGACAATGACTTTGTTATTACTACCAGTAAAGGGAGGCTTACCGGTTAACATGTCAAATAAAATAGTACCAAGGCTCCACCAATCAACTGGGTAGGAATAAGTTTCACCTTTCAAAATCTCTGGGGCCATATATTCAGGAGTTCCAATGATTGAATTGCAATTGTCAGAAAATTTTGATAAACCAAAGTCAGTTAATATGATGTGGCCATTTGAATCTAACAAGCAATTTTCAGGTTTTAAATCTCTGTAAACAATGCCAATTTTATGCAAATGTAATAAAGCGATTGTAATTTCAGCAATATAGAAGGCAGCAATTTTCTCGTTGAAAATGTTGCTTAAAGACAATTGCATAAAAATTTCACCTCCTGGAACATATTGTAAAATAAAGTACAAATTGTTATTATCTTGTAAAGTGTAAAACAATTTGACAATAAAATGGTGATTGATTTTTGATAATATGTCCTTTTCAGAAAATGTTCTATTTAAAGTTGATAAATTTTTTGAACGATCGATTAAAATTGAGGCCTTTTTCAACTGTTTTTGTGCAAACAATTTATCGGTTTTTAAATCGCGAACTAAGATGACTTTGCCATAAGCACCTTGGCCTAAAACGGTTATTTGATCAAAATCACTAACTGTAACTCTTGGTTTTTCAGGAACAGGTTTTGAAATGGTGAATGCATTATGAGCTTCAAGATAATCTGTTTGATTATTGTTGATATTGTTTTCTTGATTTTGAATTTGACCAGTAATATTAAGAGCATCATTATTAGTATCATTACTATTACTATTATCCCTATCGTTTTCATAATCATAGATAACTTGACTCGATTCTTTATTCAAGTCTATTTTGATCATATCATTGTTAAAACTTGCAACTGAGATTCTTCTAATCAAAGAGCTCCTTCTTCTTTTTTTGACAGGTAAAGAAGAGTGGGAAACTGGCGATGTTGAAAGTAACATTTGTGGTTTCTGAGGCTTATTAATGGAATTATTGAGATCGACACTTAAGTTTAGATTATTGAAATTAACAAAAAGGTCATTGTCCTCAATGTCATTGATATTATCATTCATCATATTATTATAGGTATTATAGTTTTCATTGTAATAAAAATTTTCATCAAATTCATCATCTTCATCTAATAAAGCAGAGGTATTTAAATCGTTATAATCATCAAAAGCATCAGCTTGGTGAACATTAATGTTTTGCTGAGGTAGTTGATTTTGATTGTGATTTTGATTTTGGTATTTCAAATGACGATACTTATTGTAATCATGCAAGGGATTTAAAACGTCATTTAGCTCAGCTCTAGTAACAGTATCATTGGTTTCTGATCTTTCCATGAATATGCCAGAATAATCGAGCTGTTTGCCATCGTTGTTATTGACCTTCGGAATAGTCTGCTGGGGATCAGCATTATTATTAATATCCGGCATGTTATTGGTTTTGAAGCTATCGTCTGGAGCCGTCATTTTTATGCTATGCTAATTTTCTAATTTTGAATGAATTTGAATAAAAAAGTAATAAGGTGTTCAGAAAGCACAACTGCTGCATATGAGTCAAAACAGTCTGAAAAACAACAATAGTGGGCGATATATACTGGTCCTTTACATCGAACAGGTCTTCTTGAGCTGATAGCCAAAAGGAAGAAGAAATCAAAAGCAAAAAAAATCATAAAAATAGAAAAATATGAAATGAGTTTCCCAAAGCGGAAGACGCTCCACTCCACTGGCGACGGGCCCGGGCTGAGCAGTCCAAATATGTACATCCGATATAAACAGCTTTGGGATAAAACAGCTCTGAAATAAAACAGCTTTGCAAATGTTTGCTTACAAGAACCTCTACTCCACGAACTTTGATATGAGCAACGAGGAAGCAACACTGACGTTCAACGAGTCGATGGAAGAGCTGCCATCAAGAACCTCTGGTCTGGGGCTGCGGATTTGCACCTTGTAGTCGCTTCTTTGAACCAACGACTTTCTCACACCTTTGCTTTCAGAGCCCAAAACCAACACACATGGACTCGAGTCCAATAGTGGCGACAAGTCTGCTGTTTCAATACTAGGAACAGTGATTTTGCTGCCTTTGGTGTTTTCGTTGTTTTCAAAGACTGCAGTAGAAATGAAGGTCCATCCGTTTTGTCTGCACTCATCAAAGAACTTCAATGGTGTGTCGGTTGAAAAGATATTCATGAACTCCACAGCTCCAGAAGAGGACTTTGATACTGATGCACTTAAGGACGCACAGTTTTTGGCTGTCATCACTATAAAATCAACCCCTAAAAAGTATGCTGATCTGATTATTGCACCCATGTTATGAGAGTCTGTTATTTCGTCCAAAAATAATGCTAGAGGATATTTTGAATCGTCAAAGCTATCGCTTCCCTTTTTGTTAATTGTTTTAAATGTGAGAGTGTTTTCCTCGAGCTCATCTTGATAAATCGAATTTCTTATTATTGAATATTCATGATTATTTTCGCTATTATCAATTAAATTTAATGATCTAATGCTTGTCGGTGTTATTTTGTTACATTCTAGAATGACCCCATTATGGACATTATTATTCGAATAAGAGATCAATTGTTGTTTAGAGTCTAATACTTCAATCGGAATTTCTTTTTCTTTGCACATTTTTATTATTTTTGAATAAGAACCAGTTTTAGATAATTCAGGTTTATAAACTAAGATTCTTGAAAATATTGTTCTTTTATTGGAGTTCAATGCTGCATAAACTGCGTTGGTTCCATATATGTAATCACTAAGTGGGTTTGAAAATCTTCCAAAGAATTTTCTTTTATTCGAGAATTTACGTGATTCATCTTCTTGCTCGTCTTCCTCGTAATTGCTCTTTGTATTTGACGTGCTCTCGTCAATTTCAAAAGGGCTTTTATCTGAATATGGATTTAAATTTGTCTCTCCATTACTCTCAATCTCTTTTTCGTTTTTGTATTTGCTATACGCTGATCCATTCATACTAAATCCAGCTTTTGATATTCTTGGATCTTTAAATTTTCCTGCTGAATCGCCATATTTTTCTCTAATTCTTTCTCTTTTTTCTTTGAAATTACCTAATCTTTTTTGCTTTGCATGAATATGAGCAAAATTTTTACCAAAATATTCGTCTTTGCTCATTCCTGCTCTGACCCATGCCTTTTCTCTCAGTTCACCAGATTTTTTATTTCCAGTACTCCACTCGCTTCCTGGAAAATTTCTCTCAAATGATTGGGACTTCCTATCAAATTTCCTATCCACGCTCTGGCCGAACTCTTTAATGGGCTTGATGTCGCCATTGTATCTATCTTGTAAAGTACCAGCACTGGAAAACTGTCTTGCTAGCAATACGACATTGCTCACCACCGATTTTTTCTCTATTCTCAACATCTCACCAAAAAAACACAAGCTGCAAGATAATCAGTTCTCCTCAAAATCAATACAATGAAAAATCAAAATCAAAAACCCAAAGATTTTTCAAAATCAGATGTGGCGCACGAATCCTATCCGGGAAGGCGTGGCACATTGCACTGCCGCATTATTTTTAAAGCTTCACGTGGCCTCACTAACAAAAAGCAGCAGAAGCAGCAGAGGAGGAAGAAGAAAAAGAAGAAAAAGAAGAAGAAGAGGAGGAAGTAGACTCTTTTCTAGAAGCTCATTCTATTCACTCGCTTTTTACCTATTACTTTCTTTCTTACTTTTTTTTCTATTGTTACCATTGCTTCAAAATGACAAAGGACAAACAGCAGCATTTCTCAAACACTAACACTGATAACACCGATAACACTGATAATCAGGTTACACTTTATGACTCTAGAATTTGGGTTGATGGGTGTTTTGATTTCACTCACCATGGCCATGCTGGTGCCATGTTGCAAGCTAAACGATTGGGCACTGAGTTGTATGTTGGGATTCATTCTGACGAGGACATCTTGTTGAATAAAGGGCCCACTGTCATGAGCTTAGATGAAAGAATCACTGCTGTTAATTGTTGTAAATGGTGCAACCAGATCGTTCCCTATGCTCCCTATGTAACTGATCCAAAGGTTCTAGATGAATACCATTGTAAATATGTGGTTCATGGGGACGACATAACAACTGATGCTAATGGTAAAGACTGTTATCAGGTTTGTAAAGATCTAGGTCGTTTCTTGGTTGTTAAAAGAACTCCAAATATTTCAACGACCGATCTAGTTGGTAGAATGTTATTGTTCTCAAAATCCCACTTTATTTCAACTTTGACTTCAAATGACTTGATTTCTTTTCATAATAATAATAATAAGAAAAATATCACCAATTCAATCACTAATCAGCTTTTAACCCAGGAAAGTTACTTGAAATTCAAAGATTATGCTACTTGCGAAAATGGCTTGGATCCTGGTTCCTTAGTATATATATATACAAATGACAATAAAAAAATTAATGATTTCATTGATCCATCTCTGGAAATCCAAAGCAAAATCAACAATAATGGAATTTATTATATTGATGGCGGCTTTGATTTATTTCAATCTGGTCAGATTGAAGCCTTGAAAATCGTTTATAATCAGGCTAGTTCTCTCAATATCCCAGTAATTGTTGGAATTAATGATGACACCTCAATTAATAAAAACAAGGGTTTAAATTATCCAATTATGAATTTGTTTGAAAGATCTCTATGCGTTTTACAATGCAAATACATTAATGGTATCATATTAGGAGCCCCTTATATTCCAAATTCTGCTTTTATCAATCTTTTATCACAAAAGATCAACAACAAAGTCTGGAAAGTGTTCCATGGACCTACCAGTGAATTTGCTTTGTCTAATAATGAAAGCTCGGAAAACCTTGATAAAAAGGTTTTGCTCAGCAATGATCCATATTATGATTGTAAAAAAATGGGTATTTATCAAAACATCGGTAGTCATAAATATGACAATGTTTCAACCGAAGCAATTGTTAAAAGAGTCTTGGACAATAGATTAGCATATGAAGAAAGACAAAGGAAAAAAGGTTGGAAAAGTGAAATTGAGAGAAAATTAGAATCCGATGAGAAAAATAAGCTTAATCAAGCTAGTAAATATTAATTTATTTAACATTGTAATATCTTAATATCTCGCCATCTCAATGATTTTTGTTTGCTTCTGATTCAGTTTGATTTTTTGATTTTTTTGAGATTTATATTTCTTTTGTGTTTAATTAATTTTTGAATTTTTTGAATTTTTGTGTGAATTTTTCTATTTTATAAATAATGTTTGTTATTTATATTTATTAGTATTTATTATAGAAAAGATACTAGAAATAAAATTAAACTATATAATAAAATTTAATTGCAATTAAATTGCAATTATTATTAGTTGTTTTTTTTATAATTTTGATTTCTTTAAATTTTAGTGATAAATTAGTTAATATTTATCATAATACATTTAATATTTATCATAATACATTTAATATTTATCATAATACATTTTTCTTTTAAAGTCGTTATAACTAAAACTGTTTTTCTTTAATAAAGTTGGTTTGTCGATACTATTCAAGTCAATTAAATGGTTTTTCTTGATATCCTTATTATCAAAACTACTATTATCGCATAACAAAATGTTATTAGAAGATAGCGGAACTGGTGAAATTATTGACGAAGACATACCAGATACTATAAAGCTTTTATCATTTTCTTGAAAATTAGTATCGAATGAAGTGTTCAAATTGTTGTCATTACCTTTTTTATTGTTATAAAAATTGTTATTATACTTGTAGTTGTCCAAGTGGTTTTTATTGACTTGATCGTTGTCAGTGCCAAAAGAAATTCCATTGATTTGAGTAGTTATTATTTCTTCGTCATTTTGTTTTTGATTTTGATTCTTTTCATTGTTTTTATAGAAGGAATTTGAATTCGATCTGTACTTGTTGTAGCCCACATTCATTTGGTAGGATATATTATCTGATTTATCGGTTTGGTTATCAGCATCTTCATCGGGAAGTATTCTCTCATCGTTAACAGCGATGGCAGCGCCATTGACGCTTTCTTTGATTGATTTGTTCTTTAGCAAAGCATCTTTGTAGAAAGTGGATGATCTTCTTTTCAATAGAAATGGTTTTTGAGGAGGATTGTTAATGACAGAGGCGTCGTCCTCGTTATCTGGGTAGTTTTGAAAGATATCTGGAGTTCGAATTGGTTCGGGAGGAACTTCGTCAGCAGCAGTTAGGTAATCGTGAGACATGTCAATGGGGAGAGGGAATGAATGCGAATTGAAGATAAAATGAGCTGGATATAATGGAATAGTCAAGTTGAAGTGAGTGTTGAGGGACGGGATAAGAATATATACAAAAGTGGGTTTGCACTTTGAGACGTTAGCAACTCTGCAGATCTATTCTTTGTTGAAAGCTTAGTGACGTGAAGGCCAAAGAAAGAACACCCATCCTCTACAAAGCAAACACCAACCTACAAAGAGCATATATCGATAGCAGATATCCTCTAACTCAACTGCCTCAGGCTGTTCTTTCCCACAGCAAGGAATCATTCACAGAGACCTACGCACTTTAATCAGCACAGAGTTTGGATTTGTATGCGAATATGATCATAGAATATAATGACAGGTATAGGACATATGGGTATATGGGCATGCTGAACAGAATAGTTTATATAAAGTGTTTTCTCCCTTAGAGCTTTGGCTTGAAAGCTGGGAGCTTCAATGGCTCATAGACCTGCTGGAATAGCTGGTCGCCACTGCTGAAACGATTGTGCAAGTTCAACAAGTCGAGATAGTTCTCGTTGAGCTCGCCTACAGTGTTGACACCCAACAACCTCATGTTCATCGTCAACTCGTCCTTCAATATTCGCATGGCCTTCACCACCCCATCGTCACCATAGGCACTCATGGCGTACAAGAAAGGTCTGCCAATTCCAACACCTTTGGCACCTAGAGCAATGGCCTTGAGAATATCCGAAGCTCGTCTAACACCACCATCGATAAAGATTTCGATTTTTTTATCTAGTTTTTTTTGTTTCAAGATTGGCATCAAGTCTGCAAGAACTTCGATTGAAGATCTCGCAAACTCCAACTGTCTCCCACCATGATTCGACAAGACTATTCCCTCGACACCATATTCAATTGCTAATAATGCGTCATCGACACATTGGATGCCCTTTAGAATTATCGGCAATTTGGTTATCTTTTTGAACCATTTAATGTCCTCCCAATTCAAGCCCGTATCAATAAAGGAAGAGATTGCTCTTGCGGCGCCTTGAGATCTATCAATGCCCTCGTCTTCTTCAACATCATTTTGAATATTTGAGGCATCTAGGGTGTATTTTGACCGCATATCCTTTTCTCTTCTACCCAATTGAGGAGCATCTACTGTTATAAATAACGCCTTTATGTTATTTTTTTCGCAGTTTTCAACGATTTTTTGAGTAATCTTGCGGTCAGAATTGACATACAATTGAAAAAATTGAGTCTGGTCTTTTTCTTTATTTCTTTCATCGACAATTTCTTGAAAGGAACAACTTGACAAAGTTGGAACCATCTGAATAACGTTTTCTTTAAAGCAAGCTCTTGTTAAACATTTTTCGCCATCAGGATGGCCAAGTTTCCCTAAAGCTGTTGCAGTAACATAAAACGGAACAGAAGATTTAAAGCCCAATATTTCCGTTGAAAAATCTATATTTGTAACGTTTCTAAGAACTCTAGGTTTGAAAAAAATCCTTTGATATGCAAAATGGTTTTCTCTTAAAGTAATCTCGTCGTCACATCCCGATGAATAATAAGCCCAAGCTTGTTTTTCCATGACTTTTGAAGCAACATATTCAAAATCATTCAAGTTATAAATTTGAGATAATGGTGGTTTTCTTTCAATTAATTCCAATCTTTGTTTCTCTTCTTCATCTAATTCTTCTTCTTCTTCTTCTTCTCCTTCGTCTTCTTCATCACTGTTTTGTTCAACCTCGCCTAGATACTTTTCAGGGGCTAGATATTTGTCTAGAGTGTCAGGGGGATGGATTTGTTCAAATTTTTTTGTGCAATCCTTGCCAGCAAATTTTAAAATGATCTTTTGACCACCAGGATGTTCAGGTAAAAATTCGGTAACATCATAGATTTTATTGTTGACTATTACCCAACAGTCATTGGCGTTGTCGTGTTTTTTGACTTCAGAAATGGAAGGCATTTTCTTTTCAGTCAGTAAATCAATATTTATCAGTATTTATCAGTATTGTTAGGAAATGAAACAGAGACTTTTGTAGGTTTTCAGCAAGTAGAGGCTCCCTTTAATAACTAAATATTCAAAGCAAATATTAGGTTAAATCAATTGTCGATAGACAAACAGTGGATAAATGTGTTATTCCTTATTATCCAACTTGGACGAGAACCTGCTATCAAAAGCAAGCAAAACCTCTCTATCAGCGAATCACAGTTCGAGGATTCGTAAACAACCGCCAAACTTCGGTTGGAGCTCTACCCCACATCATTTAAAGATATTCGAAACCATTGATGTGGATGCCGCAATACCATGTTTCTGGACGTGAAATGACAGAGAACCGTAGCGGTGGCTCAAACACCGAACGGTATCGTGATCCGTCTGCAGTGTTGCACCAATGACATTAGGAACAAGCTTTTCCAGCCATGTTAAAAGCTTCTTTGGAGAGCACCCACATCACACGTTTTGTTGACCCGCAGTAGTTTCCGTTTCCGGTCTGCCAAGGGGGCCTGGCACAAGGAGAGCCCTCGTCCAAAGTCCAGATATTGGCTGTGTTGAGAAAGAGGCAGAAACACTTAATGACATGTTCATGATGTTGATAGCCATGTCAATCATTTCTCGCTGCTAAACAAATCGCAGAACGTCTATCTCTGTTTCATGTTTTGTGAATATTCCAGCCAAGTGCGAAGCTGAAGAGCACCGGACCGGTACGGCTTGTGAGCGGAGAACAGCACAGACCATGTGTCTGGAAGCGCTGCTGGTGGTTCTGCACCAAATCCAGCGCGCCAAACAGCCACTGCGACGCACCAATCGAACGCCAACGGCCGCTGTTGTCGCTGCTTCCAATTCTCTTCCCGAACAATCTTCCTTGGCCGCTGCGCTCAATTGGGCCAAACACCCTCGTATTGGTATCTCAGGCTTAGGCTACGCGCTTTACGTGCCCCTTTCTACAGTGGCTGCGCGATAAGCATCTGTGCTTGTTCCCGAACACTGGTCCATTTGTGGCTTTGTCTTGATTTGATTCTTTTCCACCAGTGTTGGAATGGAATTACACTAACATAATCTTGGCCATGAAGTCTGGTTTTAGTTTTTCATTATATAAATTCCCTACACTTCCTTTCATCTTTCTACTTTTCTATTCCACTATCTTTCTACACTTTCTCACATTCTTCCATTCTTCTGCTCTCTCTTTTCTCTCTCTCCTTTCTCTCTCTCCTTTCAACTACAATTTTGTAACTCTCTTTTCTATCCTACTTCTATAATCTTAAATCAATAATGAGTTATCCACCACCAGGTCAATACGGTCCACCACCAGGTCAATACGGTTACCCCCAACCTCAACCTGTCTATGTCCAGCAAGCTCCTCCAGAAAAAGAGGATGAAGGCTGTTGTTGCAAAATGATTAAATGTTTGTTATGTTTCTGGTTATGTACGGAAATCTGCGATTTTTGTTGTTAGTTTTAAAAAAAAATCCCCCGGAAATCATTTGATTCAATCAATCAACATAATAATATATCAATTAATAGTCCTTGGTTTTTTGGTTCTTTAGTTTCTGTCCTAGATTCTTTATAAAGAGAGCAATTTTTTTGGATTTTTTTGTCTTGTTTTGTTTTTTATTTACGGTCCCTGTTTTCAATTTTTCAGTTGTTTTTTTTCAATTTAATGTTCATAAAGTTTTTTATTCTCCAAACTCTTTTTTATCTTGCTTGAAAATATCTGGTTTTAAGATATTTATATTTGTTGATAATTCTTTTTAATCAAATTATTACAATAAAACAATCTTAAGCTTAATGATTAATACAATCTGGAATTTAATCTTTCTCTTTTATCTTTTTCTAAGAAAAAATCTACAATTATTACTCACTTGTATTTTATTCCATATCATCAATAAACAAATACATATTTTCAATTTAAAATTAGAGGTATTAGAGGTTAATTTTCCGCTCCATAGGAATTTAGAGTTTATTTAGCTAGGAAATATCCTTCCCAAAGAGGTAATTCTTGTTTCTTTTTTTTATTGTTTTTATTTACCTAATAATTTGGTTCCAATTTGGTTTAAATATGTCAAATAAATATACCAATATTAATCTATAAATTGTTATTCAACTTGTATTATATTCATATTCATATTCATATTCAAATTATTTGTGAAATATTTATTAAAGTCATGTTGATCACCCCCTAAAGCGTTTCAAGTCATTAGCCAAAAAACAATTCTTGACAGCTATTGTCTTTCATTTATCACTACTCGATTTGCATTTTCTATTATTCAGGTTAATCTTGTTCCATTTTAAACTTTCATTAAATAATTAATTACCCCATACATCATCATCTTCCAACCTCTCAACATGTTGCTAACCTGGGTTCTTTTATTTCATTTCAATTAATTTCACACGAATTTATAGCACTCAAAAATCAAAGCCCCAAATACAATTCAAGTTACTCATAGCCAAAAAGGAGACCTACAAAAATACACTCTTATATCAAAAAGAGCTGAAATATGAATAATTATAATGCAATCAGGTCAATAATGACCCAATCTCAGAAGAGTAAGCAAGCGGTTTTAGCTCAGTCGGGAGAGCGTCAGACTGAAGATCTGAAGGTCCTGTGTTCGATCCACAGAAATCGCATGATTGTTTTTATCATTTATTCAATAAATTAAACTTTGTGTTATATATCACCTGTCAGGTTTTTTGTAATTTTTGAACACATCCGAAAACAACACGTATTACGAACAAACGGGTTTGGCTTTCGGAGAAGTTTGACGAAGTTATTTTGTTATTGCGTATCTTCACAGCTTATTACATGCTTTCTATTGTTTACATGCATATATACAAAAGGATCCACCACTCTCCAAAAAAATGTACGTTATCCTTTTTGTCATAAGAAACTACAAATCAAATCATTAGATTTTAAATTTTTGATTGTATTATTTGACTTTAATGTTTCTACTGAGTTTATTGTTAATTTCTTTTAAATACACCATAAGTTTAATAAATAAATTTCAATTTACTCTTAACCTTAACCTTATTTACTCATTTACTCTTATTGAAGCTTTTATTTGGGAAATTTATCAATTTAGAAAAGGTAAAGGTTTATTCTTTAACAATAACCTCTCTTAATATTACTTTATTTTACTAGATATTTTTTCTAGTTTTTGGACAAAATTCTGGCAAAGGTTTTATTAATTTATCTTTATATTGTTATTATTTATTTGAATATCTCTAAAATTAGTATTTTGACAAAGTAATGGTAATCTAAAATTGATTCATTTTATAAATCATTTCTTAATTTTAAAATTCTTTTTTTTGGATGTCGAAGTGACCATTTATGTATGAATATGTATATATATCTATACATATTTATATATATTTATATCAAGTTTGTTCATCAAAACTACTTTATTTTATCTTCTTCCTTTTTAAGTATCTTAATAGTTCAATAAAAAATTTATTGCATTAAAATAAACATATTATAATTGTTTTATAAATGAGTCATACAGATGATGATGATGATGATGATGATGAGCTTTTACGCTTTTTGTTACAATGTTTTTGTATCTTATTTTGTGGAAATTGTTTTTGATTCCCACCAAATATCTTTTCTGTTGGTTCCTTTTCCTCTCCAAATTAAAAATAAACAAAAAAAAAGTGAAAAAGTTTCAATCAATCAAAGAATTAAAAACAGTTATCTATTTATTTTTTTATTTTTTTAATTAATTAGAAGGCTCTGATAAATTAATTATCGTATATTTTATGAAATTATTTCACGTTCATTATTTCCTCATTGTATTCTAATTTCTATTAAATAAAATCCCAACATAATCCCTAAAATAAACAAAGTTTCCTGACTTTAAATTGGATTGTAGTCTTTAAAAAAATATTTTAAAATGCAACCATATCAATTCCTGGAAAACATATATTTCTTATTCAAAATATATTTTCTTATTTATTCTACTTTCAATTAATGTTAAACTCCTGTTAATACACTGCTTTTTTCACGTTGTCAAGTGTTTATTATTATCAATATCCACATTTTAACATGCATGAGAGTACATATTGATATAATTCATCATTATCAGGAAACATTTTAAAGAAATATTTATTCTTTTTTGTTTAGAATCTACAACCTTTACTATAAACCTATTATCTTTCTGTAAATCATAGTCTAAGGTTATTGCTTGTCAAAGGTCCATTTTCTTTTTTCTCCTCACCATACACATCTGTTTTCTCGCCCTTCTTACCAATCACAGTAACATTAGCCTTTTTAAGTGTCTGAATAACATCATTTTTATCATTTTTCTTAAACTTCTTATTTTCAACTTTGCTCTTGAGCATCTTAGATCTCTTCCTTTTATTTGCTCTACGTAGCCTGTTTTTATCATCTCTCGATAATTCATTTTTGGAGATGATCAACCCACTCTTGAGTTTAACTTCTTTACTATCTATACCAACAGTAGGCTTATAGATTTCTTGTGGTGCTAGTGTAGTTTCATTCGACATTGATAACGGTTGAGCATCTTCCATTGTTATCGTTGAAGTATTGACTTTAATATCAATTTCCTTTTGAGCAGGTTTTGGAATGAAGTGAGCAGAACATAAAGCGTCTAATTTATGTGATAATAATTGATACATTGATTCGATTTCTTTATGAGATTTTTCCAATTCTTTAGTTATATTAGTATTCGAACTCTCATCATCATTTTTTTTAAGCCCATATTCCTCTTCATATATTTCAGCTAAGGATTTTGATGATTTATATTCGCTAACATCCATTTGATTTCTGTTTTTTATTAGATTTTGTGAATTTTTCATAGGCAATCTTTTGGGTATATCATCAAAATTGGCTTCCTTGATACGACGACGAATCATATCTTCGATTGATTCAGTAACTTCTTGAGTGATTATTGGAACAGGTTTGGAAGTCCTTTCAAATTCTAATTCTTCTTCTAGTAAAGAGTCTGCTGGTCTATTCTTAACTGAAGATTCACCTCCAAGTGTCCATTTTTTTTTCTCTAAAGCTTCCTCTTCTAATTGTTCAATTTGAGCCTGAATCAATTTTTGTTGCTTTTCAAAAGTCGAAAGGTTTTCTTCTTGAATATCGTTTCCAGCATTATTATTATTGTCCTCAAACAAATCCAATTTAGTAATCTTCATTAATTCATCGTCATCATTATCAAATCTTACTTTTTTATTAGAATGATCATTGCCATTGAGTTTTTTATTTATTTCAAAGTTGTCGTCTTTTCGATTATTCTTCTTGGACTTTTTGTTTTTGTAACTATACTTATTATTTTTTCTGTTACCAAAAAAGTCATCATAATAAAGAATTTCTTCGTCATCACTCTCCTCTTCTGAATCACCTATATCAGCCAAATAATTAAGTTTACAAGTAATATATCAGAAGCTACATAACCAAAAATCATACTGCCCCCAAATTTGATAGGTCAATACTTTCTTTTGGGTGATAATATTATCGTTTGAAACTGAAGACTTTTTGAAATTAAACGCCTTACGTAAATCGTTGATGTCTTTTAGCTTCATTATTATGCTCTCTTTAAGGTCATGTTTAGTTCCCAAAATTTTTGCGATCATTTTTTTGCTTTTCATATATCTAGAAAAGCCAAAGTCAACAAGAACCTAATCATATTACCATCATAATCCAAATTGATAATGGTATTTGATGTCTTTAAATCTTCATGGATAATGCCATTATTATGAAAGATTTGCGAGACTCACAAACCTTTCAAAACTTTTTTTCGCCATTTATCTTTCATCAAGTGCTTATCGTCTTGGAAATATTCCATCAATAAAAATAGCCCAACTAGTGAAAAGTTACCATCAGCAGTGGCATAAGAACCATCCAAAAAACCATGACAAAAAAGTGTGAAGAGGTATTGTGATTGATATTTTCTCATTGCATTAAAAACACTTATTTCAATCACAAATTGATGAATAACTTTTGAATAAAAGTTGTTTGAGTGGGAGATTATGGATTCGAGCTAGATGTCATATTGATATGCCCAACATAAGAGGGATCAAAGATCTTGATAAGCATCTTAATGTCACTGTTTAATCCAAACTGGGCATTAAACATAGGGTCTGTTTGAAATATTCGGCGCCAATATAGTTTTTCAATAGAAAACTGTATTGGTTTAGCATTTTGAAAATAAATACTGTTAAATCTTGTGAGGTTCAATTTCAAATTTTGGTTGTACTGGAAATTCGCAAAATGATATGAGTTCTGCTTGGTTGTGACTATCCAGTCATCAACGTTTTTATTCTGCAAGTTGTCTTGCAAGTCCATAAAATTAACTTGATTACTACCTGAGCAAGTAAAAGACCAAAATAATATCATTGAATGATAGTTCAGGTATCGCAGTGAGCACCAACTAGTTAAAGGGTATAGCTTTATATTTGGAAAAGTCTGGAATTTTGTTCATTTCCATTATGGCGTATTCTGGAGTTAGCTGAAGAAACATTGTCTCATACAAATCAATCATGATAATGTTTTTGCATTTGCAATTAATTAAGTTTGCAATTGCTTGTTTGAGAAGGTTGGAGATTATTTGATGGGCAATGTAGCTATTTCTATTTTGTTTAGTTTTAAATTGGGTATCATTATTATTATTATTATTATTATTTAGCAAATACTGACCTAGTCTACAGGTTGATCTCCATTTTTGCTTGAATGACTGCTTTTTGTTTATCATGATATATATTGTTAAAAAAGCATTCATAAACTCCGAAGTTTCTACCAGGAATCATTTTGAAATGAGACTGGTATTGAACTTCTTGACACAAGTACGTTGCTGGATTGAAATACAACTTATTTAATAATTCCATTAGATCATCTTCTCTTATGATGGATCGATTTTCAAATTGACACCAATCACCCCAGGTTCTCAAGTTACTTTCGGCAATCTGTGATCATAGCTGTGCCTTTAATTGATTGTCTATGCTTTCAATTATGCCAGGAATATTAATTTGTGCTGAGTCTGACAAAGGAAGGAGTTTGTAAAATTGATTTATCATTTTATTATATCAATATGTAGAAGATAATAGGGTAGTGAAGCTTACCACCGATGATGACTGAGAAGCTGAGACAACAATTGGGTTCAAGACATTGATGGGTGTCTCTAAATCTGTTGGTGGGACTTGAGGATTCTCTTCATTTGTGATGGTATTAGAATTGATTATTTGCTGTGGGTTTGGAAACAACAAAAATAGTGGGATATTAGCAACAGCATCTGTGTCTGAAGTTGTTATTGAGCTTAAAATTGGGGCATTCAGAAAAACATTTCTGTTTGCTTTGACTTTTGGCTCTAGCCTGATGAAATCAATAATCGTAGCAGCTTCATCCTTTCTAATATTGTTGATTTCATTCATGCTATCTGATTGGGTCAGAAAGATTTTCCTCCAACCTGGAATTGATATCAGTTATTTTTGGTGAATTTGTTAAAATGGATCAAACGAATATTAGCTAGATTTTCGATTTCAACAGACCATCGAGAGATGAGCAGGTGGTTACAGACAGTGAATTTCTTGCATATTAATAGGATTTATCAAAGATCGTCAAAATAAAAGAAGTAAGTGTCAATTGGAGATAAGAAATTAAAACTAAAAAGTAATCATTAAAAATTGAGGGTTAATTAAAAAAGATTAAAAATCAGGTTAAAAACTAGAGTGAAAACTAGAGTGAAAAAAAATTAAACTAAAGCAAAAGCTGAGCATAAAAATTTTAATGATCAATCTTATTATAATATAAAGCATAAGAAAAGTTCAAAAAAAATATTTTACATATAAATAAGTGTCAAAAGAAAACAAAAAAGCAGGAAAAGTGAAATGAAAACCAAATTTTTGGTCTTCGTTGTAAAAGGTTGAAAATTATTTGCTTTTGCCCCCTCCAAATAACTTCTTCAACTTCTTAAACTTACTTTGTTTATCTGGTTTATCAAAACCTTTGGAATGATGTTTAGATTTTGATCTACTTTTAGACTTTGAAGTGAGTTTAATTTTAGAAGCTTTAATAAATTTGGGACTAGAATCTGCATGGTATCCATTTTCAGAACTATTATTATTATTTGAGGTAGAATTTGGATTTGGAGTTTTTGAAATTCGAGGTGGTTGATTAGAATATATGTCCAGCTCATCATCAGAATCTGCAAACCTGGATCTGAAATTATTAGGAACATTAAAATCATTATCATAATTATCATTGCCAGCATAATTATATGAATCATAATATTCGTTATTTTGATTTGTTGGTTGAGCATCCCTTAAAGACATTCTTTTAAAAGCAATGTTTTTCTCCGTAGGTCTCAATTTTTCAAAACTTGAAGATCTGATGAAAGTCATTCTTTCGGCAGCAGTTGGAGAAGTAATCAGTGTTCCTCTTTTTGTTTTTTCTTGTTCTTTAGTTGAAATTTGAGGCATTTGAACATGTTTTTGAGAATTCGACGTATTTATCAAGTTATTTGAGTTTGTTGAAGCATTTGGTTGTGAAAAATTCGAAAAGTTAATTTTGGGTTTGATCTGCTCTGCGGTTTGAAAAGAAGAATCTAATGCTATTTTTTTCTGAGAAGATAATGGGTTTCTTTGAATCCTTGATGGTTTGTCTTTATTCACTGAATTTTTTCTTAGAGAAACAAGCTTGGAACTAGAAGATTGAGGTTCACTTTTTCTTAAGGTTGTTAAAATATGAATATTTGGATTGTGTGGAGTTATAATACTATTTGGAGAAGTTTCTTCCCTCAATGTAGTTCGAAAGGATGGAGAATGAGATGTGTTTCTTTTAATCTGAGTTTTAGAAGAACTGGATAATTGTGCATTTAGTCTTGTATTTTCTGCAGTAGTAAGAGAAAGATATGCCTGCTCTGCTGGGTTTATAACTGGGTTTAAAGCTGGTTTTAGTACACCAATCGATGATTGTTGCGAAGTAATTGAAGCAGATGATTTTTTTAAAGCCGATTTTCTTCGTGCAGGAATTGGATTTGAAGTATTATCATTAGTGGTTGAACTTGATAAATTATTATTATTATTATTATTATTATTATTATTTATTGGTAAATTCAATAAACTCGAGCGAATCTGTTGAGCCATGGGCTGTGGTTTTTGCTCATCAATATCTGAAATATGGATTTGTATCGGAGAAGAAGGGACCTGGTTATTTTCTTCAATTGAAGATGAAGAAAACATCACACTTGATCTAGAAACAGTCGAGAGGTCTTCAGATGATGAGACCATCTTGTTATGAGTTTTCGAAAAAGCGTCAGCAGGAATTTCTTTCTTTGGTAATGTAATTGATGGTTTAGGAGAATGATTCAGAGACAATATTTGGGAATCTTCTTTTGGAAATTGCTGGTTTTTTTCATTTTCAATTTGATTTTTTTCATTTTCAGTTTGGTTTTCAGATATTTGAGCTAGTTCAGGCACTTTTTTATTTTGAGAGTCAATAGGAGAGGTTGGATTGATTGAAGGAAGAGGTTCAATGTTATCCTTAGTTTTTACTGTTTGGTGCTCGTTATTTTGTTGAATATTATCTTGAATATTTTGTTGAATATCATCTTTAATATCTTGTTTAATATTTTGCTTAATATCTTTGCTGTGAATATCTTGGTTTTCTTTTTCTTTTTCCTCAAGTTTTTTCTGCATATCTTCTTTTTCTATTTCTTTTTGATTTACTTTTTGATGGATTAAATCCTTGGATGGGAGTTCCTTGGATGGGAGCGTAGAATGAATTTTAATTTGTGGAGGATGAGAAGGGAAAGTTGAAGGCTGTTGTGAATCCGAGTTTTGAAATTTTGAGGGAATTTCATGTTTAGAAGAAGAAAAAGAGGAAAAAAAAGTAGTTTGTTCTTTTTCGTTAATTATTGGTTGGGATATAGATAGTTTTTTTTTGTGTTTTGATAGAGAAGAGAGGGAGTTTAGTCTTGAGCTTTGATTTGAGGAGTTGATTCTGCTTGCATTTATGATTGAATAAGTCCTTTCAATTTTTTTTTTATATTCAGCTTCGGGGATTTCGATCAACTGTAAGCCTGTGGGGGTGGGGACATATTTCTTAATCATTTTTTGGTTTTGAGTAGGGTTTTGAGTATTATTGAATTTGATTTGTGCTGAAGAGGTTCTTTTATGTTTATAAACTGGTTTTATGAAAGCGCCATTATTGTTATTGTTATTATTATTGTTATTCGTTTGATTATTATTGTATTGAGGTTGAATTTGAGATAGATCTTTATCACTTAATTCAGAAGAGGTATCACTGAATGAGACTTTATGTTTTGGCAATTTGAGTTGATGTTCTTTAATTAAAGCGGATTTGATTTTCGAATTATTATTTGTATTATTTTGGATAATATTAGCATTGAGCAAGGTATCAACATTAGACGTATTATGTAAATCTTCTTCTTGTATGTTATCTAGTTCAGAGTCTATTGATAAAGTCAAGGAATTTAGTCTTCTAGAGATATGAAAGTCGTTAGGGGAGGATAGCCTTGGAGAAGAGGGAGCAGAAAATCTTTTATGGACTTTCGTATGATGATTGATAAACTGGGGATTGATATTATTATTATTATTATTATGAGCAAAAGTAGAAGGAGAAGTAGAAGAAGAAGGAGAAGTATGAGCAGTGTTAATATTGGGATTTGCATTGATTTGAGACTGTATTTTTATTTGGTTTGATAAGGATGAATTTGGTAAACTGTTGTATCTTTTATGAGATACAGGTGGGAGATTGTGGGTATTGTGGATATTTGAAGCAGGGGTCGAGGAGAACTTGCGCCCAATAGCATTAGCAGCAGCTACAGCATTACTGCTGGCCTTTAGAGAAGTATCGATGAGGTTTTTGTTGACACCAGTGTAAGCTTGTTGTTGGTTGGTGCTGTGCCTTCTGCCAAAAGTGAAAACGCCCATTTTGGATTGAGTTATCAGCAGGGAAAACAAAGTTCTAAGCAGGTTTCAACGACAAACAAGCAGTGCAGTTTGAATCAAAGATTAATGCTACTGACGAGAATAACAAACGGTTCCATAAAACAAGCTGGAACCAGACAATAAAAAAGAAATTAGCAGAGGAGACACCCAAAATACAAAGCAGAAAAAAAAAGGAAGTGTGGGCAGCAGCTGGACAGGGCTGGAGGATGGACAATATAAGCAACTGAAATCAATCCAGGTGAGTGAAACAGCCAGGGCCAACGACTTTTACTCTGGACTTGACGAGAGGTTGCTTCATGGGGGCTGAAAGAAGAAGCAGCAGAGGAGTGGGCATTTCATGAAGGTGGAAGAGGAGGAATTGCTGCTGCAGGTGGGAGATAAGGTTTGGCCCAGCAGTGCGGGAGCGGAGGGCGGTTCGAGTCTTGGAGAAGGAAAGCGTTAATTAGAGAAGAGAAGAAGAGAGAGAAAAGAGAAGAAACTGAGAAAAGATGCTGTAGCGCTACGTAGCGAGGTCTATAGTCTATAAAAGGGCGAAGAGGGAGCCACCAACTAGCAAAGCAAGGCCAGCCGAGGCCTTGTAAGCACCATTGGCAGTGTTTTGAGAGATTTCTGTGTCATTGGATCCAGCAGCGCTTCCAGAGACGACAGAGGTGGCCAAGGTAGAGGAGCTTTCAGAGTGGTCGTGGTCGTGGTCAGAGTGGTCGTCAGAGGATTCAGATGCAGCGCTTGAGCTTGTAATTGTATTAGCAACAGTGTTTGAAGTGGTATCTGGAGAAGAAGATGGAGCTATAGTGGTGACAGTGGTTTCAGCGGTAGTTTCAGTAACAGTTTCAGCAGTGGTTTGAGCAACAGAACTTTCACTGTGGTCATGGTCATGGTCATGATCGTCATGAGATTCGGATTCAGTAGCAACAGTTGAAGTGACAGTTTCTTCACCGTGGTCATGGCCTTCATGGGATTCAGATTCAGTGGCAACAGCAGCAACAGTTTCACTGGTAGTTTCTTCGCCATGATCGTGTCCATCATGTCTTTTATATTGGAAAGCATTGGAAACTGTCAATGAAGCAGCGATTAATAAAACAACAGAGTTAGAGAAGTGCATTTTCAATTATGTTTTGACTAATCAATGATTAAGAATTAAAAAATTATAATTGGCAATTTATGAATTATGAATTATGAATTATGGCAGATAGTAGGTATAAGCAACGATTATCTCTTTTATGAATAATTGAATACTGAAGACATTTCAAATCACCAAATTCAATGGAAATCCATCTTTTTATATTCAATGTCTAATAAATTTAAGATTAACTTACAAAATTAAATTAAAAGAGATAATTTCTTTTTGAAATTGACTGACAATATATCGCCAAATAAAAAAACAAGAGACTTTCCATGATTTGATCTCAAAAATTAAACTTCACTTATTTATTTAATTTAAGACTCAATTTTGAAATATTAAACATTAAATTCAAATCTTCATGAAATTTTCTATTCTTTAACGTCTTGTAATCCATATAAAGTAATTAATTGGATTTTCACCTTACTGGTTACATATCATAATGCCCTTTATGAAATCTAATTTGTCAAAGTAATTTTATTATGCACTTTTTTTTTTCTGAATTCAATTTTATGCTCTTCTCCATTTTTATTCATTATTTATCCAATATTCAATTGATTTCCAATTAATTGGTTGACAATTTGCACTATGAACTCAAAGGTATAGTATTTGTCTGTTAGCAGGTTCAAGAGCTAATTTTACTCACTTTGGCTCATCTCGCTTATTACAAGCCAAAACACACAGCAGACCAATCACAACACGGTTTGGCAGCTCAAACTCTATTTCACCACTAAACTAATTACCTGAATGGTTATTATTTCTGTAAAGGTTGATAAATGCTCATTGTGAGAATATTATTTCACGCCATGCTGTTTGATATTTCGCAATCCTCTGCCGTAAAAATACTTTACTTTGGGCCCTTCTTTCATCAATTGTTCAATTTCCAAGCACAAATTAAGCCCCAAAGCAGTTGTTCAAGCTTCACAGCCAGAGAAAAACCCTTGAATTGTTAGTTTCGCTGTTCAATATGTCGCTTTGCAAACCCGTGACTTGTGAATTCTACAGCACGTGGTTGATCGGTCATAACTCCGGATCTTACCGAGCTTCTAGAACTTGTTTTGTGTTCGCTTAGCAGATTGGCTGTTGGCTGGGCGGATCTTGGCTATTAATTGGACAAAAAGTGCTCTGAAGGTTACGACTTAAGTACCAGCAATGTGGAAGCAAAAAGCCGTGTGGGAACATGCACCATCACACAACTGTAACAGGTTTTAGAGAAAACACAATTTGGGCGTGTAGCGCAGTTGGTAGCGCGCTTGCCTTGCAAGCAAGAGGTCTTGGGTTCGATTCCCAACTCGTCCAATTATTTTCTTTTTGCTTTATCTTTGCTGGTTTTGCTGCTCCTTCATCAAAAGACAAAGAAATGAAGACATTGTTTGTGCTTTGCTGTTGCTGTTTTCTTATCATCACTTATTGATGCACAATGGATCCCATTGAAGAGCAAAAGGAGGAACTCGAGATACTACAGTCTATCTATCCTGACGAGCTATCCATTGCCAGTGATACAGACTTCACCATCGACTTGTTGTTGGAAACACCCAGTGAAAAGAAACATCTGCTAGTGTTACATGTTCATTATACTCCCAAATATCCTAACGAGCTTCCCGATCTAGATGTATCCATTGCTGATCCTGCTGACAATTCTGATTACGACTCTGACGAATATCAGGACTCTGAAGACGATTCCGATGATGATGGTGATATTGATGGCTCAGGAGCAACCAGAAAACCAGTTATAATCTCAGAATTGGTGCAGTTCGATTCAAGTGATTTGAAATCTTTATTGAACAAATTATATGACGAAGCCAATGAGAACTTGGGCATGCCCTTAGTCTTCACTTTAACCTCCTATTTAAAAGAAACAGCTGAATCTTTGTTCCAAGATAAATTGAAAATCGAAGAGAAAAAACACGAAAAACAACAATATGAAAGAGAATTGGAAGAAAATAAAAAATTTATGGGTACTAAAATAACAAAAGAAAATTTTCAAGCTTGGAGATTAGATTTTAGAAAAAGAATGAACTTAGATCGAAGAGAACAAAAGAGATTGGATTTATTACATAGAGATAAATTAACTGGCAAACAATTTTTCCAAAATAATCTCAACACTATAAATTTAAATGATTTAAATGAAAACATATCATCACTAACTGTTAATTAATGTAAACATTATATATCAATTTTACTAGCTTTCTCACTTTTAATAAACTCTTGTTTCTGCCATTTTTTCCATTTTTAAAAACAAACATTTCACTAAAATATTTCACTAAAAATAACTTTTATTGAAAATAAATTATCTCCTGAATATGAAACTTAATATATCTTACACAAATAAAACAAGATCAAAAATTAAAATCAAAAATTAAAAAAAAATTAAAAATATATATCAGTTTATTATTTTCATCTCTTTAACGTAATTTATTATCAATTGACGTTTATCGTTTCTCTTTGTAGAATCTCTTCATCATTTAACTCACTATTATCAACTTCAATTTCAATTTCAATTTCATCAATTTCGTTAACTCTATCAACTTCATTGCTACTATTATCTTCATCACTCTCAGTTATCACTTTATTGTTTTCATTCTCATCTTTTTCTTTATTCTCACTTTTATTTTCCGTTAGTTTTTCCTCTTCTACTTCAATTTCCATTTCTTCAGTATTGTTTTTATTTACACTTGATAAATTATTAGTTTTGTTTTCTGCGTTTTCATTTTTATTCAGATTTGAACTTTTCAAAGCCTCCTCGCTATTTCCATTCGTATTTTTTTCATTTTTTTCATTTTTTTCGGCCTCTTTATTGTCTTTTTGATCTACATGGAAATTTTCAATTGATGTTTCATTAACTTTTTCAATTTTCTCATTATTCTCATTATTATTATTGTTTTCTTCCTGTTGAATTTCCTGTTGGCTTTTTTTAGTATTTTCCAGACTTGATTTCTCTGTATCGTTTTTACTCTTCTCGTCAGTCTCCCCAGTTAATCTCCTAACCGCCTCATCATCTATTTTGTCTTTCATTTGAATATCAAAATCTTCTTCCAATTGGTTTCCCAGGCTTTCATTTGATTTTGCAATAGTATTTTTGTTCTTGGTATTTTCGTTCTCAGTATTTTCGCTTTCAGTATTTTCATTCCCAGTAGTTTCTTTTTCAATTTTTTCAGCTGATTCTACAGCTGATTCTTTAAGGGAATTTTGATCCAAAGGATTATTTACTGTTGTTTTATTTACAGTTTCATTTACTAGAGTAGTTTTTTGAATTGAATTTTCAAATTTTAAATCATCATTGTTAGTGTTAATATTAATATTAATATTTTCATTATCTACTTTTAAAGTTATATTTTCTGGTATATTAATGCTATTTTTAATTTTAATTTTATTTTGATTTTGATTTTGATTGATTTTATCAACTTTTCTAATTTCATTGTTACTGATGTTATTAATATGATTTAAGTTATGTTTCAATTCTGCTATTTTAGGCATATCATTCATAATCACGTCTTCGCTTTCGTTATTAATTTGATTGAAACTCGAATTATTATTTTGATTGTTATTATTAAAGTTATTTTGAGCATTAATATTGGGCATATTCATTGGGTTTAATATAGAAATATTATTGTTGATAATACTATTGTTGTTGATAATACTATTGCTGTTGATAATACTATTGCTGTTGATAATACTATTATTGTTATTATTCAAGGTTTTATTAACATTGTTATTAACGTTGTTGGTGATATTGGAGATTTGATTTGAAATGTCAGGTATATTGAGATTATTATCGTTGTTTTTTTTCAATTGTTCCTCTTGTAATTTTTTCTGCTTTTCTCTTTCTATGATTTCAGCAGCAGTTAGGAATCTCCCACCTTGACCTCTTGGTCTTCTCATTGCATGTTTGTGTCTTGATTCGTGTAAATAAGGTCTTCTACCTCTTTGAACTTTTAAATTTTCTTCCAATTTGGCTCGAGCAATTCTTCTTTTTAAAATTCGATGATATTGTTTCGCATTGACATAAAAAGGCTGTTCTTGTGAGGGAGGTGGTGGTTGTGGAATAGGAACCTGAACAGGAACAGGAATTGGAACCTGGACTCCTGGAGGAACACCAGGAACTTGGACAGGCAATTGTAGTTGGTTTTGTTGGGGAGAGGGTGGTTGCATCTGAGGCTGTTGCAAATGATGCTCGATGGGCAGTGTTTGGTATGGAGACATGGGTTCGTTATTGTTGGTGTTGGAGCTGTTTGCAATTGAAGATGTTTGGTTTTGATTAGAGGAGTTTTGTTGTTGTTGTTGTTGCATGTACTGGGAATAAAACTCGTGGTTTTGTTGGTTACCATTAGTGTTATTGATATTGTTGCTATTATTGTTGTTGTGAATATTGCTAGGATTGTTATTATTATTATTATTATTGTTGTTGTTGTTGTTGTTGTTACCGGTATTGTTCATTAGAGATATGGAAAAGGTGTCATCGTGGTAGTAGTTCTGAGTATTAGGATTGTTATTGCTGTTGCTGTTATTGTTGAGGCCAGCGGTAGCATTAGGATTCAGACTAGCAGATGCCAAAGCAGGATTAGGGAGATTGGAATTCAAAACATTGGCATTAGTTGGTGAAGGTTGAGGATCGGATAGAGAGTAGTTGGAATACTGGGACATCTTAGCAGCAATGTGTTGGACATAGATTGGACATGAAAGCTGGATGAGCTGGCGGTGGAACAAGACGCTGCAAAGAGGCTGGAGGAGCACCTGGATATAAAGGTGGTTATGGTGGTGGTTATGGTAGTGATTATCGATCTGATAAGAACAATATTTACAATGATGATATTATCAAATTAGCATCTCAAAACAAAAAAAAGACGAAACTCGCAGAAAAACCCCCAGTTCCAGTGGCTCGGGAAAAACGTGATCCGTGCTCATGCGCGGTACCATGCGGGAGAACGCACTGCAATGCTAGACGCGTGTGAATGTCTTATTGCGTGCGGATGTTGCAACCTACATCATCCAGCGTCTGTCTGCGCGCGAGCTCTGTTTGTTTACTTTTTGTGTTTATTTACCTTTGCACCTTTATGGTTTGGGGTTTTCTGTGTATTTTGCGAAAAAACGTACGAAATTGCAAACATTTCAATATTTGGAGAAAACTGAAAGGGGACAAAAATAAAACAAACTTCGAATTGAAAAGAACACTGGAAAACACTGATTAGGAAACAATCAACGGCAGGCAGAGGTATTAATTAATTAGGCAACAAAAAGGGATGAAAATGTCAGTTCATAAGGAAACTAGGGATAACAAAATAGTTAAAAAGTAAAATATCAAGTCAAAATGGGATAATAGAAATAGTAAAAGTAAATAGGTAGATAAATAGATAGGTAAATAGACAAATAAAAAAACAAAATTAAATGAGAATCTAAAAACAAGAAAAGAATGAGAAAAAAGTAAAACTTCATAAAATTTGATAACAATACAACAAAAAAAAGAAACAAAGAACAAATCATAGAAAAAATATACTTGGAAATAAATAGTAGATTAATGTAAATTGCTGATACGAATTAAAAGATTAATGATATCCAATTTAAATTGAAATGGTAAATTAGACATTAGATGAAGGTCTTAATTAAGATCTTAAATTGTTCAATTTTTTGGTTAGGTTTTTTAATTTTCGTTTTGTAGGACTCATGCTTTCTTCTGGAACATTTTTATCGATATTATCTTGCTTGATGTTTTTATTATATTCGTAGTCATCAATCCATCCCTCATTATCGGCTTCATCGGTTGAATAATCGATATCGACTTGATCATCCACTGAGTGAATCAATTTGTTCTCAAAATCATTTGTAATGACGGGGTTATTAAGAATGTTGCGATTGTTGTTATTAGCGTTATCGTTATTATTGGATGACATGTTTAAACTGTTGATTCTATTATTTGGGTTATAATTGAAGTTAAAATTAAACTTAAAATTTGAATTCAATATGAGATCACTAGCACTAGATCTGGAGCCACTTAGTCTATTGTTATAAGTATTTGTATTTGAGTTGGAGTTGGAATTATTTTTCATGTGGAAAATGTCAGGAACTGGTTTTAAATCAGTTGAATCGATTTGTAGATCTGAAGTTTCAGATTCTAGACTTGTTAATGAAAAATCATTTGGTAATTTATTAGAGTTAGTTTTTATAAGGTCTGGTTTATCATTGTTATGAATATTATTGGTAATAATTTCGATTGGGTGTTGATTTTGGTTTTGGTTTTGGTTTTGGGTATTTTGAGTATTTTGATTGATTTGAGATTGATTCTGATTATCATTAATTATATTATTAGTATTATTGTTGTTATTATTGTTATTATTGTTATTATTGTTATTATTGTTATTGTTATTATTGTTATTGTTATTATTGTTATTATTGTTATTATCATTATTGTTATTATTGTTATTGTCATAATCGTCATAATCGTCATCATCATCTTTTTCATCTTCCTCCTCTTCTTCTACTATTAGCTGAACATATTGTTCAGGTACTAAACCCGTTTTTCCAGTGGTTGGGTCCTGAGCTACTAGCCAACCTTGGCCATGTCTGTAAACGATGTAAATAAATTGGCCAGTTTTGAGTTGAATTTCGTTATCGTTTTCGGGTACGAAATCGTAGAGGGCATACGCTTGAATTGGGCTATCATTATGGTTTGAGTTTGAAATTCTGTTATTGAAATTATAGTTATAATTAGAACTATTGGTGGATACAGTGGAGAGGTTGGAATAACGATTGTTTGGATTACTGCTTCTGTTTCTGCTTCTGTTTCTGTTTGTATTTTTATTTTTGTTTTTATTGTTTCTGTGAAATTTGTCATCGTCATCTTCCTCTTCTTCCTCGTGTAGATCTTCAGTGAGTTGATTGTATTTGTAATTTGATCCATAGTTGCTGTTATAGTTGTAGTTATTGTTATTGTTATTGTTATTGTTATTGTTATTGTTATTATTATCATCATCGTCCATTATCTCGTCAATATTAGGGTTATGAGAAGCGGATGTATTGGATGGGATATTTGAATTTGAATTTGGATTTGGACTTGAATTTGAAATGTTGTTATTGTTTGATTGAAAATAGTTTAGTTGTGAGTTGGTTAGTTGGTTATTCAAATACAATTCGTAGTTGCTTAGACCGTAATGTAGTGGGTCGTCTTCATTGTAACCAAAGTCTTTAACACTGATTAGGTCGTAAATCTTAATTATTGAAGAAATGTTTTCGTTGAATTTGGAGTCTAGAATATAAGAGTTTCTCAACGAAGGAATCAAATTTGAGGAGGTGGTAGAGTAGTTTGAGTAGTTTGAAATGGTGGAAATGGTGGAAATGGTTTTGCTCTTTCTCTTGTTGTTGGAGGTTGATGTGGCAGAGGGATTGTTGGACGAAGAAAGGGAGGCATTTGTGTTGTTGTTGTTGGCGCTATTATTAGCAGTGTTTGCAGTGTCGCCAGGAGCTGTGCTGGAGTCAAGCACTAGAGAAGACATTGAAGGAGAGGTGGCAGAAGAAGCAAGTGAGAGAACAAATAGAGAACCTGGAGGCTGTGCTGGCGACAGAGGTGCTGGAGAGTTGTGAAGTAGCCTGAAGCTGGAGCTGGAGCCAACTCTGGATACTTTGGAGAAGTGCTTCCTTATATATCTGGGCGAGGAGCCGGCCCGTCTCAGCGGAAAATGCCGCCAGCGCCAACGGACGCGCACACATGCCCGCCGTTTTCAACGGACAGCACCCGGCGTTGAAGACCGACAGCTGACTGCAGTGATGTGCGTTTGTCCGGCCTGTTTTGTGTTGACGGAAACCTTTTGGGAAAAGCAGATATAATCACCCAGAAAGGGCAGCTGTGTTGAAGCACTGTTTCTCACTCGTCGCGATGCTAGCCACCTTCCTTCTCGTCACAGCTGTGCTCTGGTTGTTTCCGTACTTGGGGCCTCTTCTCCAGAATGTTCCCTTTCACTACCTTCCCCAGGCGTCTTTTCCTCTCTCGCTTCCCTTTCCCATCCCGGTAGCAACCAACAACAACCCACGCCATTATCTGAGCTATGTTGACTGGCTTGCCAGGAGCAGGCTCCTTAATGCTTCTTCGCAGGACCAATTCCTCGATCCAAATGGCGATTTGTCTCAGTCCTTGGACTTGATGGAGAGAAATATCATTGTATTCAACAAGTTCTACAAAGAAAATTACGTGCTTGCTCAAAACTACTCCAATTTTTTTAATCGCTTGAATTCTCTTCTTGTTGATAACTTGAAGTGTTTAGACAACTACTTGGACAGCTTTGGGAACTACTATGACACCATAATACTCAGTTTTCTTTACAAAAAACTAGGTCGTTTTTTTAGCGACAGTTTACTGAATAACCAAATGTTCATTAACAAATTAATTAAAAATGATTTGTTTACCTTGAATAACTTACTAGTATTGCTATCAATAGTATTTATTTTATACTATAAAACCTATATCTTATCAAAACTAAATAATACACTAAAATACCTACTAAATGATTTAAATGAGTTTATTACTTCCTACCAAAATATCTATAAATCTACTTCTGTTACTAATATTAAAAGTAATATTAAAAACAGTATCATTGAAAGAGAATTTTTAAACAAAGAAATCATCAATAAAATTACTCTTATTGAATCAACTGATGATATAGATACCAATACAAATCAAGGACTGGATGAAAGTACCAATCAAACTATCGCACAAAACACTCAAAACATTCAAAACACTCAAACTCAAATAAACACTCCAAAAAGACAAAACACAAATTTTATTAAAAATAACATTAAAAACGTCAGCACAAAGAAATCAAATTTTAACAAAATCTCCACCACTAATGTATCAAATAGTAACAATAATAAAAAAATCAAGAAAATTAAAAAAATTAATCTGAACATTGACTTAATAAATGACCAACCTAGCGTTAGCCAAACTAATTCAAATCCTTCAGTCAAATCACTCAACTCAACCACTTCAATAAGCTCTACAAATTCATTCAGATCAACCACTTCTACTTATCCCACTACCTCTGTGAGCTCTGCCAGCTCCAGTCCTATCACCAAGAATAGGAATAACAAAGTATTCGCCAACTCTCGATCCAATTCTCGATCCAACTCTCGTTCTAATACTCGTCCCAACACTCCAGTTAATAAAACCAAAAACATAGGTAATCTTAATAACAATATTGGCATCAAAAACCTGACTTCAACACTGCCCTCGAAACTGATCTTTTCAAACAATGGCAACGGAATTCTGGCCAGTCTGTCCTTGCTTTCGACCATAAACCAAGAAGCAGTTCCTCCAAACAGAATATCCTCAATCAAAAGATTCAACACTCTCCCCATAAAACTAGCCAGCAGTGGCACTGGGAGCGACGATGGCCACCAACAAAACAGAAACAGGAACCAAAGTCGAAACACAACTCGTCCCAATAGCGCCAGTCAAAAGAAACACAGCAGCAGCAGCAGTAGCAGCAGCAGTAGCAGTACCAACCTCGACGACGAGTATGATGAGCATTACTCTACCATTAGCAGTGGTCTCTCAGAGACTCTCAAAGACATTTTGGATCAAAATAGCAACGACCTGGTGTCTGGCAGTGTGTAGCATATGTATTAGTATTTAGATTCTTTTTGTTTTCTCTGACTTTGGTATCTCTGTTCAATTAACGATGTTATGTGCTTTTTCAGCTTCTGCTTCTTCTCTTTCTTCTGTTCCTTCTGCTTCTTCTCCTTCTTCTCACTGTAAATCGTAAGTTCCATTTTAAACACACTGATTGGCCGCCTTAGAAAAAATATTCGATAACAAAATTAAAATTCAACATTAATAAATTCCAGTCTCTGTTTACAAACTTCCACAACTGTTCATCGATAAATATTCCCTTAACTGAAACTGCTGCTTCTTCTGCTGCTTCAGTTACAATCACTACGCTGGGGGTCTCCAATACTCCAACAACTTCTCGTAATCGCACTTGGTTTCAACTGGCTTCGACCATCTTAAACAATCATTCAACTACTGCTTACACCTTCTGTTCCTGAAAGACTGTTTCTTTGTTCCAAAATTGATTTAAAGTTACTTTGATTATTTAGATTGCCATCTTGAGCTAGACCATAGACAAATTTTGCTTTTTTTTTCCTCTTGTTTTGCATGTACCCAAACAGTCATTAGCCACCAACAACACAATCTACAAGTATATCAATAAGCAAAAATGACTACTGATTTAGATGCATCGAACAATAATACTGTGCCTGCTATTCCAGATGTGCAAGATATCCCAGACACTCAAGTTGCCCAGGACACTCAATCTACACAGGAGACACATCAAAAACAAGACATAGACCAAACAAATAACTTGAACAATAAAGAGAACCTAGACCTAGACCAAGAGGATACTCTATCCACTGCTAATATTGATAAGACAACCACCTCTCCAGAAGATCCATTCCAAAACCCATCTCAAATTCAAATATCAAAATCCAACTCAATCTCAAATTCATATTCAAATTTAAACCCCAACTCACTCAACAAGAAATTAAGAATCTTATCAACCTCTTCATTGATAAACTCTCAACCACTACCAAATTCAAACGCTAACTCCATTAGCAATATTAATCAGTCACCTCAAAAACAAAAACCCTACATAAACAACAATAATATCTCCATCAACCAACCAAATAACTTTAGCTCTACCTTGAAAAACAAAAGCACCATAATGTCCTTAAAACCAGATGCTCCTCTAATAGTTTCTCCTCTAGATTCTGTTTATTCAATATCAGAAAAAATGTCCAAACAAAAAATTCATTGTGTAATGGTCAAAGCGACCATCGCCGAAAAAATTATTGGGATTTTCACAACAAAAGATTTAGCCTTCAGAGTAATCGCAAAAGGTTTACACCCAAAATTACTTAAAGTTAAAGACATTATGACTAAAAATCCCTACTGTTCTCCCTCAAACCTATCTGCTAGTGATGCACTAAATTTAATGGTAAAGAGAAACTTCAGACACTTACCAATAAGGGATGATACAAATCCAAACAAGATCATTGGTATACTAGACATAACAAAATGCTTCAACCAAGTTATGTTAAAACTAGAAAAAATCGCTAAATCAACTCACAATTTAAATAATGTTTTGAAAGAAGTTTCTCAAAATGAAAACTCAATGCACAACGATTATTTGAACATGAACATGAACATGCATTTAAATGAGAACATTGATAATTTAAGTGAGGGCTCTTCACTCATTAATCCTGATTTGGTTGACGAAATTAAGAATTTAATAAGTTCAATGAAATCTCCAACTTTAGATGATGTTCTCAATGAGCCCAACCATCCTGCTCCTGTTTTCATCGATTCCAACCAAACAATCAGATTTGCTGCAGAGCAAATGAGAAAAAATAAATGCACTGCAGTTCTAGTCAAAGACAGTGCTACTAATAAAATTCCTGCCTCAATTAATTTAGCCAATGGAACCTTGACCAAAAATAACTCAAATGTCATTGGTATATTTACCTCAAAGGATATTGTTTTCAGAGTATTAGCAAATGACTTGGATCCTGAGTCTTGTACAATTGCAAGATGCATGACAACTCAGCCAAAATTAGCTGATAGAGATCTAACTGTTCAATCGGCCTTAAAATTAATGTATGATGGTCATTTTTTGAATCTACCGGTTATTGATGACGACAAAAATATCATTGGAATTGTTGACGTTTTACAATTGACTTGCATGGCACTTAATCAATTGAATAAGGCTATATCAAAGGACGAAAGTTTGAACACCCACCAGCAGTTTTTGTTAAATATTGATCGAAATCAAGAGTACTTAACAACAGATGACGTGCACTCTGAAAGTAGTTTTGATTCGAGAAATCAGTTTTTCCCACCAAACTTCAACAGACAAAGAACAGCCTCCCAACCTTTATCACCAATTCATCAAGGTTACTTGAAAAATCATTTTGACACTCCTTCTACCTCAATGACTTCCTCTGGTCCTGCTTGGGATCGATTTTGGAGGTCTGTTGACCGAACCTTTGAAGATACAGCTTCATCTGTCTCCGATATAAGTTATACATCTGGAGGCCCATTGTTTGCAAATTCCAACACACCTTCAATGAGAAACAGTAACGGAAAATTTTTGAAAACCCCAATAACTGTCAGAAGCACAAAATCCATTGGTTCCATTAGAAGAATTGACGAGTTTAATGATTTTTCAATGGATGATGAAATGATAAATGGTATCGGATCAGCAACTGAGAACTATGATCATGAAACCGATCGTGCAGACCAGGTTCCGCCACTAATACCTCAAACTAGTCATGGTAACTATAATAGAAGAACATCATTTGATGTTTTGCCAGAAGATTCGATTTCTTTTCAAATGGCTCCTTCTGAAGTTGGGTCAACTTTTTCTAATCCTTATCACAGACCAATGTCCCAAGTTTCATTTACAAGGGAAGCCCCAAAGACAGAGACTTACATTTTTAAAATAAGAGATCTCGATAATCCCTCAACATCAATTCATAAAATCAAATTTGTCGAACCTGTTAACAAAAAGTTGATGATCCATAATGATTCATCTTCCAAGACCTTTGAAGGAGACGATGATAAGAAGGAAGAGAGTTTATTTGACCGATTGAAAGACAAAATTGAAGAAAAAGTTCATGTTAAATTAACTAAAAAGAATATTGTATATATTGATGATGAAGACGATGAAATCATAATCGAAACCAATAATGATTTGAGTGAAGCAATTGATTTCAACAAAAAGATGGAAAATAAATATATTGAGTTGATTTTAATGGGCAAAAGCAATCCGAAGAAACGTGTTAATAGTGATGATGAAAGTGAGAATTCAGACTCAGATGACGACCGCGGATTAAACTATGCTCTTTCCAAGTATCCTGCTGAAAAACTGTCTCTAATATTAAAAGACAAAAGAAACATTGCAAAATTAATTGCCAAAAGAAAGGCTCAGGCTCAATCGCTGCACTACCAAAAAAATAAAAACCTCAAAATGTTGACTTTAAACGATGATGGATTTTACGATGATGAGTCCAAAGGTTTTTTTTCATTTGAAAAGGAGATATTGTTTGCAAGCGCTGCAGTGGTATTGTCTTTGGGAATATTGGTAGGCTTTACTATTAGCAGAAGCAAATAAGACTAAACTGATTGGATATAAAAATATATTGGGTTAATTTTTTTTTTTAGGGAAAGGGTAAATCAATAAATTGAGATCGGTGGTAATTTGAAAAACACTCATTATATTATTTTTTGTGGATATTTTTGTTTTGTCGTTTTATCATGATGGTTTTTATCTTTACATCAAGACTAGTATTGTTCAGGTTTATCTTAATATTTTTATAATCAATTGTTTTTCATTATTTTGTATTGTTTTCTATTCTTGAAAAACAGTAACAAAACATTATTTTTAATATTTCAACTTATTGTTATTTTTTTATTAATTTTACTCTATATATTATTTATAAAATCCTAATTTACTATTCTAATTTAATCTATTCTTGTAAATACACTGATTTAGATTTTAGAAAAATAAATATTATTCAACACAGATTTCAAGATCGGTAAACATATTTCTAACCATTTAGTTGTCACCTTTCTGAAAGAAACAGCTCAAAATTTGAAATACTCATTTTCCAAAAACAAAACCCGAATTAAAGAATTTTGATTATTACCCAATCAACCAAAAATATCCGATTCCAAAAGAGCTTACTATAAAAGTTTCAAAAAAAATTCAGAAATGTCAAAAAAAAAATGATTTCTGTCTAAGTTAATTAGTTTTCGCTCAAAATACTTGCTACTGGTTTTCCTCTAGGTATTGTCTCTGGAGCATTAATAGGTCCAGTATCATTGTTATCCTGCCCAAAAGGTTGAAACAACCCAATTGCAATATCAGAAGGCAAATGCTTTGAAAAGTCTGGGACAAATCTTGCCATAAACACCGGCACAATAAAAAGAGCCAAAAATATACAAAGAATAGTGAAATATAGTATCGAATAACGAGTAACAGTTTTGGATATTTTTTTCTTTCCTCTTTTTGTTAGGATTGGACTTTTAAAGTCCCCAGCTTTTAACCAGAATAGGAGAACAGAGTGAACAGTGTCTGTCCAAGGAATCATCACTAATGGTAGTTGAATAAATAGTAAACAATGACCCAAAACAAAATCTCTAGCAAATAGCGTCGCCTCTATTGTTTTTACGAAAAATTCCCTGAATGGTGATATTGGTGCTGTCCATCCCAAGCTTTTTCTATACCAATTTCCAGTCCACCAAGCATTATTGACATCGTCAAATTTGAATTCTCTGGTCAAAAATAAAATAATAAAAAAATGCATACACACTTTTTGAAGACAACAGCAACATATGAAACCAATTAGAGTTCTCGAAAAATTCATTCCTTCTAAATACCATAAAACTTCCCATGAAAAAATATGTGCAACAACAGATATTCCATGGACAATAGCAGCAGCCACTGCGGCAGTTTTTTTAAAAAACATATTACACAAAGTTCCCAAAGTGCATGATATAACAAATACAATGAGTAAAACCGCCATGTTAACAACAATTGGTGAAAATGTCACTATTAACAATCGCAACACACAATTAGTGGGAGATGTATCTTTCACTCCATTTTGGGAATTGACAAAGGAGTATCCAAAAAAAGTAAAAATTAAGAATATTGACGGAACAAACACTTCTCCAAAAAATGTGTTTCTTTTTTTTGCTTTGATTATTTTGGTCGCTTCCTTTTCAGATTCCACACCAATTTCCTTCTTCTTATAACCAGTGTACTTGCCTCTCGTTGAACGAATATATCCTATCCATGAATTTTGATGCCATTTAGAATTACCTCTTGATAGCCAGCGAATGTACTGCCCGTAATCAACAAAAAAATCGCTCCAACAAAACTGATGAGGATTGAAAATAAAAGGAGCCAAGCACATTGAAATCATTGTTAGCCAAAACCATAGCAATGCAGGTTGCCACATAGTTATTGATCCAAATAATAATCCCAAAAACAATAAAGCACCTGAATAAATTGAAGTGACGGTAAATCTTGAATATAAAACATGAAATGGATTACGAGTAGTTGCGAAACCCCTCCCTGTTGAGATATACTGTGCCCCACCAAATGTCACATTTGTGATCAATGCCTTCGCGTATATTTGACAAACAAAAACCTCAAACAATGGGGACAATGATATTAAATGATGGAAAAACCTAGTCCATGCTCTCCAAACACCTCTCTCCGTAAGTTCTTGTAACAACAATGGCAAAAACGATATAAAAAAACAAATAAAAATGGAAAGAATGAAGATTGTAACCCAATCCAAAACCGGTTGAATATTATAACACCCAATGGGTAATTGCAAATCAGTAATAGGCACGTTCTTGTCATACATACAAAGTATGGACTCATTGGACAAAGAACCCAAATTAAGCACAACGAGCAAAAATAATTGCATTGAAAGAATAATGAACATATTATTGATGTGAAACCCCGGATGAGCATAGTAAAATGATAAAAACCTATCAATTGGCAATTGTGTTCCTAGGTAGTAATATTCTCTACTAAGCATTTGTTCACCCATTCCAGCACCAATTTTAGTAGTGAAATTTAATATTGATCCAAAACCAAGATCTCTACCTTTTCCACATTGAAAATAATCACAGTGTTTAATACGTCCACCTCGACAAATAGCTGTCATCCCTGCATATATGTCTTCATTCAAATGCAAACTCTTTTGTGCTTTTGATATTCCTCCCCTTGTTGTCATAAAAATAGCATTCAAAAAATCAGGGTGCCCATAATGTAGTTTTCCTCCAATCTCTGCAAGGGTTCTGGCAAACAATGTTCCAAACGTCTGCTCTTTTCCAGCAGCAACGTCTCCCAAAGCACCTGAATTCTCTGAAAATATGTATTCTCTCGCACCAATTATAGCAACAGGATTTTTTGTTTCATAAGCCTCAAAACGATTATACGGGTTTTTAACGGGAAAGTCGTATTCCTCGAATTCAGCTAGTACTGCTCTGATCTTCAAACACTCTTCAAGGTAATTATCTTGGTTTGCATCAATTACCTGTATATACTCTCCACGATAAAAGATTATAGAATGGTTCTGATTATCTGATTTTCCATCTCCAAGGATAGGATTTCCTGATAGCTTAATACGATAAATTGGAATCACATTGCCTTGATTATCCATACCACAATAACCGTTGATTAAAACAGAATAAAATTCAACTTCATCATCTGCTGTTTCCGGTTTGACTTCTTCTAAATACGAAATATACAAATCAGGATATGCTCCTAACAAAAAGGAAGCAGCTTGAGCTTCTTCCTCGTTAAATGATTTATATCTTTGCATTGAAACAACTATTCTAAACTTCCTACACGCCATTTTTCGTAGTTCCTCATCAATATTTCGAATAGCAAACGTGAATTCTTCAATCAACTCTGGGTTCTCAACTCGGTATAGTAATTTTAAAGCCTTTTGATAATTCATAAAACCAGAAATGGTTCGGTATAATGTTTGTGATCGAAGCGAGGCCCAGATTCTTGTCCTTAGAGTGAATTCAGGATTAGCATCTTTGAATCCTATACAATAAAATGGGACATCATTGATTTTTCTCTTAATAAGATCTTTTTCGCTTAAAGCACTAACTGGAGTATAAGTTGGTTCTGTCTTTTCGCCCATATCACATAAAACCTTTGTGTCTTTAACAAAACATTCCCATTCAACTGGATGTAATCTTTTCAAATACTCTAACAATGATATTTTGGAATTCTTATCTTCTCGGATGATTTCTTTTAATGAAAGAAGAATTTTTTCTCCATAGTGAGGAATCAAAACAGTGAATGTGGGCATGGCGGCAATTGATAGTGTTTCTGGTAAGGTGGTTGATAATGATTGAGCAAAATAAGATAAGCGTCTAGAAGCTTCTGATCTTGCAGGAAAAAACTCATCTGTGTTAACCTTTTTGTCATCTTCGGAAACAAAAAATGTTGGAGTCTTCAATGTTCTTTTATTTAGGTTTTCTGAGGGTTGTTGATGATATAATAGTCTTTCCACATTCTCAAGTGGAAGCAAATGCTCTCTGTACATTGAAATAATAATTGCATTCCAGACCTGAGAAACTAAAACTTTTGGTTTGTATTTCACTTCCATATCTTTGGTTGCAAGTATTTTTGTGTAAATTCTTTTTGGCAAACGAACGTAAATATTTTTCCAAGGACTTAAAATAGAAATACCAAGGTTGAAGGATAAACCAACAGAAAAAAAACAATTGCAAATGATATACCAGAGGTATGTATCCAAAAAGAATAATACCAAATCAGCAAGATACATAAGAAACAACACTATTCTTGCCTGTTGACGGCATAAAAATGAACCCAACCATATATCACCAACACACCTCGTCATTTCCATAATAGATAAATTTCTTATTGGATCACGAAGTGATAAAGTTAAAAAAAAATATGATTCAGTAAATTTAGCACCAAAAACGGAAATCCATAAAAGGTATGAAAACCATCTACCTCTTCCAGTTAATTTTGGAAAAGCAGCAGTAAATTCTCGTGAAGCATAATACTGAAGAGGTTTCTTTTTATCAAATAAATAAGAGGAAAATAACCCACCTAGTGGTCTAATTGAAAACACAAAATAGGTTATGATTGCTATAATAAACTGAATAATTGAAATCACAAAGGCAACCTTTGAATAAACATCTACTGGAATCATTCCTAAAACATAGATTGATGGAGTGATATTGACAATCAGCATGAATGTGATAAACAATATTCTATTAAATACACTTTGAGCACCAGGCCATTGTCTAGGAACAAAGAACAATTCAGCTATTGTTGCAATCAATTCTAAGATACAGGCAATAGTTCCACCAAGAGAAACAACTGATAATGTGGCTTGAGCTGTTGGTTGATTATTTGCTGTTTGGTCATAATTTTTCGTATATAGAGTTGGTGAATTGAAAGATGTATAGAACCAAAACATGCAGAAATGGATGATCCAAATCCTATTAAAATTGGTCAAAACATGAGCCCAAGTTCTTGTTTCCCAATATGTTTTATAAAAGACTTTATTCCATTTAACTTGATGTAAATTTAAAAACCTTGTTTCTTTACTTAGACTCATGAGTTTTGTTTTTTCATCGCCAACGATTTTAATTCTTTCTAAGCCACCTTTATACCAAAACAATTGATTTACATCATCATATCCAATAATTTTATTGTGGTCCTTTTCTCTTCTAATAAATTTTCCATTTTCGGGATTTATTTTATAAACCTGGTCTCTAAGAAATTTATAAATTGGAGTTATGATTTGGCTTAAAAAATAGTATTCTTTTAGAGGCTCACTTTCCTTGCAAAGATTTGAAATGTAATAATCATAGGATAATTTGTAAAGAAAACAAAGACATTCCGGCATAAATCTAATTTGGTTGGCCTCACCCCAAACCAATAAATAAACAGCGATTTGAGTGATATAGTCTTCATAACTGTATAAATTCATTCTTAATCTCCATCTGTATTCTAATTCTTTTAATTTTTGGAATTTTATCTCAGATTCAATTAAATCTATTGAGTTTATGTTAATATCGGAGATGTTAAATTTTAGGTCAGCAGAAGGCTCAACTGGAGCAGTAGGGGGTTCTTTGGGGTTATCGTAGTCAGGTAAGATTAAATCTTCAAGACCGTCAAATTCTAGCATTGAAGCAAAATACCATTTTCTAAAATTGGCATTGGTTCCACCAATAAAATCAGCATGAATAGAGATTAAAGCAGTTTTTGAATCAATTCTACTTGATCTGGAGTCCCATAGCATCAAAAAATGGTTTAGCATGTTTTTACAGTTGCCGGTTTGAAAACCTAGCTTTTTTGTTATATCATTGAAAATTGATTCAACTTTAGTTAAAGGCACTGGTAGCAAGTTTTCGTCGTTTAGAGTTGGAAAGGGATCATCATAATCAATTACTGTTTGATTGATTTGATTTGGATCATAGTTATTCTTATGAGTTGGCAATTCCTTTTGTTGAACTGGATAAGTTGTACTTGGATATCTGTGATTTGGATGTTCTTCAGTCACAAAAGTTTTTTTAATTTCAGATTCACTAATGGAAGGAAATTTTTGTTGAGATGTTGGAATCATTTGAGGCATTTGAGGAATTTGAGGCATTGGAGGCATTGGAGGCATTGGAGGCATTGGAGGCATCTGAAGGACCTGCTGCGTTGTTGGAACATAATTCACGACATTGTTATTATTATTGTTATTGTTATTGAAATTGTTGTTAACATTAATGTTGGAGTTATCATTATTTAATTCAGTAGTGTCAAATCGCTGGTCACCTTGGTAATCATCATCCAGATCAGACAAGTCGTTAATAGCATCGTTTTCAGGTACCTGGTTCCCAATTACGTTGCTCGAGTCCCCGAAAGACATATTAATAATGGTATCAACTAAGGCCTCGACGAATTATTAAAAAAAGCTTTAAATTTGTCCAGTCGATAAAATAAATCTTTATAGCTTTTGAGTTAGCTTGGAGCAAAACAAACCAGCAGTGTCGAGTATAACATAAGAGCTGTCTTCAGCCCAGGAAAAAGTAGCAGCACCATCATTGCAGACCACGAATATAGTAACATATTTTTGTGTCACACTGTGAAGAAGATGTTTTTGCTGTTTCTGCTGTTTCTGCTTCTTTCCTTCTGTACTCAGAAAACCACAGGTGTGGGTTACACGTATGGGTTACACGTGCGTGTGCAGCTGTATGCGCTGACTGACGTATGAAAACAGAACCACTTCACTGGATTCAAAAAAACAGAATATCGTAAATGAGAACAGAAAAGAACACAAGAAAGAACACAAGAAAGAGGAAACACAGCTGTTTCAAGAAAACCAGTGCATCCCAATCAAAGAGATGATGGTAACATAGAACTCTAGTGCTGTTTCTTTGCCTTTGTCTGTTTTGGTGCTGCTTGCTGATGTTTTTAGTTCATTGCACGATTGGATCGATGTGTGATGACCAGCACGACCTGTCAACCTTTCGACTAGTCTTCCTCAACGTCTTGAACGAAATAGTTTGAAACCTGGTGCTGCGTGAAACTTTTGGTATCCAGATGAAAAAAAGAAATGCACCGGAACAATATACTTCTAAAACCAAGAGAAAAGAAACCACTTACATCAGATTATTTGGGTTTTCGATTTTCTTTCCTAATTTGGATGGTTCAATGGTTGTTCTCATGTAAAGAATCTTTTTATCTGCAGAAAATGAATGTGTGTTACTTAATTGTAACTTGAGGTATACTCTTGATTTTCATAAAAGCCTTCAACTGGAAATATATTGGCAATAATGGTAATTAACTGAGATCAAGTTAAGAGAATCAAAATAAATTGAGACATTAAAATTCCCAAAATAATCATTTGCTATAACACAATGTTTTGGTATTTAAAAGGTCAAAAAACCTCTAAATTTTCTTTAAAAAATGTTTTAATATCATCAAGAGTTTTATTTTAGAAAAGACAGGCTATTATACTTTTTCTATATCTTAGCTGAAAATGTTATTTAATTATAGGAAGTCTTTGTTACTTGTTGCTATTAACATGCTCCTAAAATTCTCCAAATCTTCGCCAGTTATCACAATTATCGATCATTCCTTCACCACTTCGACTCTTATTTCATGCCATGATGGTTGTTCTATTAAATCTGATGCTTTAACTTTTTCAAACACGCCAATCACTCTTACTGACCATTCGTTTTCTACTTCTACAATTTTGTCATGTTCTCAACACTCTTGTTCTGCTGAATCTCAGCTTTCTATTTCTATCTCAAGTTCTGAAATTTCAAATTTTTTGCTGTCATCCAAACCAACAAGTTTAGTGATAAGCTCAACAACACCAAATTCTACCCCATATACTGATATATCTTCATCCCTTATAACCTCCTCAATCTTATCAATACCATCAAGTATTTTAAGTCTATCAACCCCATCAATTCCATCGGTTTCATCTACCTTATCTACTTCCCCAACTTTGTCTAGTTCCCCAACTTTATCAAATACAAAAAGCTCTCTGAGCGATACTAACTCTTCACTCACATCGAGCCAAGTTATCTCTTCGTCTCAAACATGTACACCAATTATTATTACAACTGTTTCCACTAACAGTGATGGTGAAGAAACTATATTTACTACTTCCGCATCATTTTCATTAATCATCTCTGATGAGGCTCTTCAAACTGAATATTGTTCAGATGAACTACCTTTTTCAAAATCTTCTGTTTTGTCAACTATATCTTCCACATACCCTTTATTGCCTCTATGTACCCCAATAACTACAACATATACTAAAATTGATGATTCTGATAACGAAACCACTTTTACTGACCATCTTTCTTATTTATTAGTTACCTCAGCTAATATTGTTTACACTGAATACTGTTCATTTGAACCAGAAATCATATTTGAACCAGCAATTACATCTGAACCACCTTCATGTACTCAAGAAACCCAAATTTATCAAACAACTGATGATGATGGAAATGAAATTGTGGTTACTGAGATAGTTTCTTATTCGTTGATTACAGATGATAATGGCATTGTCCACACTGAATATTGTTTGACTCAACCAAAAACTTCTTCAATCTACTCAACATCATTACTTTATTCAACTTTATCTTTTTCATCAAGTTCATCAAGTTCATCTATGTTATCCCCACAGTTATCATGTACTCCATTAACCACAACTTATGTCACAAAAGATAATAGGGATAAAGAAACAACTGTTAGTGAAACAGTTTCTTATTTGTTAATCACAAATGATGATATTGTGTATACTGAATATTGTTTATATACGGAAACTACTTCTTCAGAAACAACAAAGAGTTTAACACCAGATATTCTGGCTTCTACCACCTTTTCATATCAAACTCCATCATCATGCACTTCCTTTACAACAACATATGTCTTAACTGATAATGATAGTAAAGAGACTACATCTTTTGGTACTGCATCGTACTCTTTATTTACGAGCAATAATATTGTTTATACTAGATATTGTTTGGATGAGACATCCACTTTTTCAGATCTGCCATCATGCACTCCATTAACAACAACATATGCTTCAACTGATAACAAAGGTGAAGGAAAAATGGTCACCACTACTGTATCTTATTCAGTAATTACATCTGATGGTTCAAGTCATGCATATTATTGCAATGTGAATTCAATTTTGCCATCAAATGTACTCTCATCATCGTTTATTTCTTCATCGTTTTCTACAGATGCAACAATCAGTTCAGAAAGCAAGCCCAACACTTCAACTCAACCAGATTCAGAGTATTCAATATCTACGGTTACCACTGCTGGGGACATTGAAACAACAACAATTACCATTGAATCTTGTGGAACTAAAACTTGCGAGACATTGGCTGTTGAAACTGACTTAACCACTTTGATAGTAACTGATGGCACTGTTGTTTCTTATTACACCATATATTGCCCTTTAACTTTAGGTGAATCTGAATTAGCACAATACGAAGAAAGCTCTTTTACCATTTCAAAGCCTTTAGCTTCCTGTGAAACTGGTGATTGTGAAACTAAAATTCCTTGCAGTAGCCTCGAATGCTCTACTTTATCATTAACCACAGAGATAATTGTATCATCCAGCAGTTTTAATTCTACTGAGATTGTCTTGACTTCTCTTGTACCTACTTTAATAGAAGCCAATCTTGGAACATATACTTCTGTTGGTTATTTTTCTCTTTTGATGGGTTTTGCCTTGTTATTAGTTTGAATTTGGTTTGATCAGTTTTTACAACACTTTCAATTTTAATTTTATACTTGCTTATCTGTTGCGAATTTTATTTTGTTATTCTTCTGCTTCACTTTTATATTTGGATTATTCAATTTTCTTTCATATTTTTTTTTTTACAGTACCTTTTTAATTAGTAAAAAATTTAGTTGTTTAATAGAGTTATTTTTCATAAATTAAAAAAAAAAATCATTGAATAGAGCAGAAAATAGTACAATTAAATCATAAGTAGAGTAGTGATGAAAAAAAAATAATTGAAAAAACAATATAAAAATTTGTATTAAGATTAAAATATAGATAAGTAAAAGTATTGAAAATAATTAATGAGATGACAATGAGGTAACTGATAATCAATAAATTGAATAAGTTAAAACAAAAAATAAAAAAAAACTTTAAAAATGAAACTTAAACAAATGAAAAATTTATTGTTTAACTGAACCATTGACTTAATAGGTCTTGTGGATACTTGGAAAGTAAACTCATTGCTTCTTCTTGAGAGATATATCCTAATAAATTTTTTGTTGCATCAATCAAAGTTTTCCCGGTTTTTGTTTTCGTAATATTGGAATTAATTAAAACCTGAATAATACTTTCTAAAACAGCTGCAATATTTTTTTTAATGCTAGGGTGATTGTTATTAATTAATTTAACTAAGAACGAGTAACTTGTAAGAATACAATCTTGTTCTTCAATAACAGGGAGTGATTGAATCCAATTCTCAACAATCAAATCAAAGTTGGAGACGGTTGAGCCATATTCATTTAAAATTTTAGCAAGAGCTGAAATAGCGTTTTCAGTTGCTGATATATTCTCAATGCTTTTAGAACCTTCACTTTGAATTATTTTAAATAGCAATTGTAATGTAGCAAGGCAAAAGGACTGATAATTTTGACCACCATATTGAGCAGCAACTCCAACCACATAACAGGCTGCTTGACGAATAGATGGGTGGTTAGAAAGATCCAATGCTTGGCCAATTTGATTCACAAATACACTATGGAAATTATAGGAATCCTTTCCACAATACTCAATTAGATCTGCTACTATGCAAATACCACAGTTTTTAATGAAAATATTGGAGTCATCAAGAAAAGTTAAAACTGTTGGAATTAGTTTTTCAAAGTACAGTAAGAATTTTGTTTTAGAATTTTTGAAAACTGAAGAAAGAGCAGAGTTGATTTCATCTAGTAAATCTTCATCAGCATCTTCATTATCACTATCGTAGCCCTCGTCATATTCATCTTCGTTGTAGCCCTCAGCATTTGGGTCATCTTCATCATTTGACCTACTATGCTTTATTCTTGAATAAGCAGTTTGCAAAGTTTTATCAACTGCAGTAACAAAAGACTCGAATTGATTATCATTTAAACAATTTGATCCAAAATTCGAAACACAGGTGGCGAAACATCTATAATACTCACTCAAGAGATAATTGACAGGTTCTTCAGATAATGACTGGAATAACTTATCGGTTGTTTCTTGCCATATATTAATTAAATCTTGTGGATCATTCTGGGATTTTATACAGTTGAGCATTGCAGGAATGGCTTCGATGGCAGCTTCTCTGACTCCGTCATGTAAATAAAAATCTAGAGCTGGGAATAAAATTTCTTTTAAAATTGAACGAGCAAAAGCTGAAAAATGTTCTTTCAAGACTTCAGCATAACCTTTTAATAATTCGATTGCGACCACTTTGTCATCTAGAGCCGAAGTGTGCAAGGCAATTTTTTTGCCGTGAACATCTAAGATTTCCCAATCTTCATCGTCATTGATATCATCATCGTCAACATCTTCAATTGCTTTAAGACTTTGACCTTGTTTAGCTTGGATTAATAAAGGGGGTAGAATTTTGTTCAAGTAAGGTAAGAATTCAACGCCGACAACGCTGCAAAGTCTGCTCCAACTTTGTTGCAAATAAGATAAAACTGGGTCATCGTCATTAACTTGGTGGTTTAGAATTTGGTCTTGGATGGTTTCGAAGATTTGTAAAACTTGATGTTGATGTGTTTGAAATTTTTCTTTTCCAACGGCTAGAGCAATAAGGGATAAGCATTCTACACTTTTAGCTTTGATTAGTTGATTTTCTGCTTGAAAGTCATTATTAAGAATAACATTGATCAAAATTGGAGTTAAAGCGTCGTAGTATTTGATGAACTTCTTTTCAGCAGCATCGGCAATGACAGATATAGTGGTTAGGACCTGTTCTTGGACATATTTATGATGGCTTTGTAGGAGAGTGACTAGATTAGTTAATAGGTCATCCAAGTAAGGTTCTAAAAGTTCTTTTGTTGCATTTTCAGAAAAGTTGACTAAAGCGGCAGCAGCGTGAGCTTGGACTCTGGGAGAAGATTCATTAGTTAATTTTGAGATCAAAGAAGGTAAGATTTGGTTAGCACTGGTTGATTGAATAGTTGTAGCAAAATCGGTTGACATTTGGCCTAAAGCATTGCAGCAAGCATATTGAACTCTTGGATGAGGGTCGTTCATTAGAGGTAAGATCATTTCTAAAAGTTTTGGAATTTCAGTTATAAGAACATCAGCACAACCCTCGACAGCAGCAGAAAGAGCCATTAAGGCAGCTTGTCGTTCTCTCCATTGAGCTGAGTTGATCATTTGAGGTAGGAACTCGAATAAAATAGGAGCTAAGAATTTGCCTCTAACACTTAGAGAGACACGATCAATTGAATTTCTAGCAGCGTCGTATTCAATTTCTTCGTCTGGGTCGTCAATGTCGTCATTATTGTTCCATTCAGCGGCTTCTTCGTCGTCAGGGCAAATTTCAGTTAGCATTGACAAGTTGATTAGGATAATCTCTTGACAGTAGTTTGGAAAGGATTTGACCATTTTAGGAGCAGATTCACTAAAGGTTGTCAATAATTCTAAGGCAGTTAATCTAGTGTTGGAGTCAAAGTTTTTGTTTTTACAAATCAAAGAGGAAAATTCGATTAATTGATTGAACATTGGCTTGAACAATTTTGGGGCCAACTGGACTAGATCAATTAGATTTTCTAGAATGGTGTTTAAGGAGTCTTCTTTGTCGTCGGATAGAAATGATGGCAAGATATTTAGTAGGTTTGGCAAGAGGGGAGTAATTAGAGGCCATTTTTCCTTGGGGACTATTTTAAAAAAAGAGGCAAAAGCAGTGACAGAGGAGGTTTTAATTGAATCGTCGTTGTCTTGAAAGGCCGAGTTGAATAAAGGTAGGATTTCGTTGATATTTGAGCTGTCGATTAAATCTGGGTTTGAAGAGAGGATTCTAAAAGCAGAATCTTTAAAACTTGAGTTGTCGTTTTGGTGTAGAGCTTTAAAGATGATTGAAATTAGCTCAGGCCATTGGCTTTCGTTATTTATAATGATTTTGGAGACCTCTGAGATTGAATCAGCAACTTTGTGTCTCAAATCGTTTGAGATATTGGGGTTAACAAAAGACTGTAAAAGGATGTTACAGATTTTTGATTTGGAGTCATTTGAGATGATGTTAAAATTTGATTCAATTAGCACAGAGACACTGGAGTTATTGATAGGGGATTTTGTAGCCAATCTTCTGAACAAGACTATGGAAAAGGTCTGGAGTTGAATGTTGTCAGAGGAAGCAGCTTGCTGGGCCAAGTATAAGAGGAGGTATTCAAGATTTGGTGGTAAAAGCCAGGTTGAATTTAGCAAAGTTTCTGATTGTGATCTGATGGCGTTATCAGTGGAAAGAAGGCCCTGTAGGAGATTGGAGAGAGCGACTTCAGTTTCTAAATACATGGTTGGAAATGTGGAAGAACAGAGAGGAGCAGCAGTGCAACGAGAATATACTTGTCCTTTGAAGAGATGAGGGGGTAGACAGTCAAGAGAAGCTATGGGATACAAGATATAAGATCTGGAGAACCACGCAAAAGAAAACAGTCAAAGCTAAAAAGCGCCAAACAAGACAGCGCCAGAAAAAAACAGGAGAAAACAGCGAGATCCGGCAGAGGCACACAATACACCGGCACACTCAGAAACAGCACAGGAAGCAGAAGCAGTAGTCTAGCGATGGGCAGCACCAGAATTCCACAAGCAGTAGCTATATAACAGCCAGAGAAAAGCAGTTTGGTTGGAGAAAAATAGGTGAAAATTCCAAATCAACAACAAATTTTCAGTTTTTCAATGCCCACATCCGCTTTGGACAGGGCCCTGCACATCTGGGCTGAAACCGCACGTGGAGGGGCCTTACACATCCCAACCAGATATTGCCTTTTTGGGAAGAGACCAACAGTATGGAAGATCAGCTGACTGTTTTTTTTTTATTTTTTTTATTTTTTTAAATTTCACTTTTTGGTGGAGGAAATTTTTCATTAGTAAAAACAGAGAAAAGATTGGTGAATTGGCAGATTGTGCTCTATTTTGCTTTTTATTTCTGTGCTTCTGTATTTTATTGTTATATTAGTGTGTTGGGAAGAATGGCTGACGAGATTATTTGGCAGGTGGTAAACCAGAGCTTTTGTGCTTTCAAATTGAAGACTACAAAAGAGCAGAATTTCTGTCGTAACGAATACAACGTCAGTGGGTTGTGTTCAAGGCAGTCCTGCCCACTAGCAAACTCCAAATACGCTACAATCAAGCAGATCGATGGCAAGTTGTACTTGTACATGAAAACCGTTGAAAGACAGCATACTCCATCGAAGCTCTGGGAACGAATTCGTTTGTCCAAAAACTACCAGACTGCTCTCAAACAGATCGACCAGCATCTACTTTACTGGAACAAATTCTCCATTCACAAATGCAAACAGAGGCTAACCAAGTTGACCCAGGTCATGATAACAGAGAGACGCTTGCTCTTGAAGGAAAATGACCAGGAGAGACATTTGGTCGGTGTCAAACACAAAATCAAAAGAAGAGAGGAAAATAGAGAGAGAAAAGCATTGGCTGCTGCTAGAATTGAAAAAGCTATTGAAAAGGAATTGCTAAACAGATTGAAATCCGGTGCTTATGGCGACAAACCGCTAAATGTCAATGAAGAGATATGGAAAAAAGTGCTAAATCAAGTCAATGATGAAATCGAGAATCAAATCGAAAATGAAAATGAAAACGAACTAGAAAATGACTACGACGAGAATGAGGATGAAGAAAGTGATATAGGAGAAATCGAATATGTTGAAGATGACGGTGAGCAGGACATGGTAAATATCGAAGATTTGGAAAAAATGCTAGACGATGGTATATCTGACCAACAGTTCTCCGATGATGATCAAAGCGATGACTCTTCTGATGAAAATTACGACTTTTCTGAAAGCGAATTGGAATTATCCGACGAAGAAGATGACACCATAACTAAAACCAAAAGAAATTCAAAGAAAAGATCTAAAACCAAAAATGATTCTAAGAAATCAAAAATACGTCGTATACCTAGAATGGAAGTGGAAATTGAATATGAACATGATCAAAATCAATTGCTAAATTCGAATCCAATTCATGCTTAACACTATAACATTCCGAATAAACATTGCATCTCATTCATACTACTATTCATTGTAAACTATGCAAAACTACACTATAAATTAAACTAAATTAAACTCAATAAGAAGGATAAAAAATACAAAACTAAAAAAGAAATAGAAGACGTTCTTTTTTTGTAATCAAAACCAGCATTTTCACTCTCACTTTTGGATCCACTGCTTTGATTTGATTCTGTATCATTCAATAAATTTGAGACAGAACTACTAATTGTAGAAGAATCTAAACTTTCAGGTTCTGATGCACTTTTTAATGCACTGTCTTCTGTTGCACTTCCACTGCTCAGAGTTGACGCTTTTGTCAGCTCAACTGATGAACTAACAGTTGCAACCATTTCTAAAGTACTGGCATCAAATGTAGTAGTAGCAAAGTACGCTTCAAACCCATCACAGTAAATCCCCTTCAACTGTCCAAGATTACTAGTATCGATTTTGCTTGAACAAGTGGCACACTGATAAAACGCTTTCCAAAACTCGTTTGTTTCTGATAACCCACACAAACACTCGAGAGCCTGCTGAACTTCGCTCTCGTTATACCCTGTGCATGTTGAACTCTCATATCCAGTTATAACCCCATTACATAAATTGCTACTGCAAAAAGATGATATATACGATTCCAAATACCCTGTTAAATCACTATCCCTCTTCTCATTTAAAACCCCCAAAGATAGTCCAGCAAAGGACAACAAACCTAACAACAATAACTGAGACTTCATTCTATGGACTTTGCCGTAATATTCTGTTGTTGTTTTTTTGCTCACTGTTTATAACTCCAATCGATAAATATGAAACTGAGATAAAACAACTAAACCACAGCACATTTATATGCAGTTCAAATTGTAAAAAAACAACAAGTCATTAACAATTGAAAAAGAAACCCATCATTGCACACCTGTTTTGCAGTCAATCTGTTGGCTATCATGTTCATACAAATCTGTTGAATTTCCTCTTTGGGGATTCAATGAGATTAAGCTATTTCACACACAAACCTTATCAGCCAGAATTGTCTCCAATCAAAAGAGACAACCAAGGAAAAGAAAAAAGCATCTAAAACTACCTCTCAAACCACAACTCAAAACACTGAACATCACATCTCTTTCATACCACTGTTTCTAAACTGGTGCTTTTCTCATTACGGGCCTGAATTCTGTGCGACCAATCAAATTCGCGGACGGAAGCTACAAAAACCGGTAAATGTTGAACAAATGTCTAAAAAGTAGTATATACTTAAGAAATGGTTACCGAAACCCAGAAAGCGTGTTATTCATTATCTATTTATACTTAATGATAACTAATGGTAATTTATTGGTTATAAAAGATATTGAGCAAAATCATAGAACAAAACAAAGTCCAACGTGGAAAAGAAGGTTATTTTTGAATTTTCGTAAAAAGGAGAATTAAAAAAATGAAAATAAAAATTAGCAAAATCTTACAAAGCAAAGAAATAAACAAAAAAACTCAGAAAATAGAACAAAAATGGGTCAGAATAGCTGAAAATGTCTACCAAAGTTGATTCTCTTCAAAGTAATCGATTCTCTTGTCATTTTTCAAGACCATTCTAGCAACACCAGAACGCAAATCATCAGACATTTTTGGATGACCACAAGTCATAACAGCAACTGAACCTGGAGCTGTGTCGATTTCGTCTTCAAGGATTTTGAGGGTATTTGGTCTGCCTTTTTCAAAGTGGATATATGAAAGAGCCTCGATTTGGGAAATTCTCTGCTGGACATCTACAGGCTCATCACCTTTTTCATTGCTGCCCTTAGAGATTGATCCTGCTTCTGAAGAACACTCACTGGCTCCAAAGTTTGGCATGTCACCACCTCTGGTACAGTAAATATAAACCTCACATCTGTCTTTATAATGTCCCAATTTTGCTAATTCATCATAGAACCATTCAAGATTCTTCCATTCTCTAATTGTCCAGTATAATCTGACTTGTTTATCGGATGTACGAGAAGCTAAATCTAAAGCATGGGCATATGGACCTGGAATACCATTACCACCAGCAATCAAAAGGGTCTTGGAGTATTTTCTAGTTGGTTGATGATGACCATATGGACCTTCAACTGTGACTCTGATATCAGCACAATGGTCTGGTTGTTTCATCAAATAGTTATAGATGTATAAAGTGACACCTTCCTTGACTTTGATATAGAAAACAATATGTTGTTCATCACCATCAGATTCAACAATGGTAAATGGATGAGATTCCCACCATCTTGCTGGTCTGAAGAAATAAATATAACAGAAGGAACCTGGGAAGGCTTTCCAGTAACTTGGTTTTGGAACAATGATTTTAATAGTATCGTCTCCAATGATTTTGCAATTAACTTTAGGGAAACCAAAGGCACAACAACGAACAATTCTAATAAATCTGTCAAAACACCAAATAGCACCTGCACAAAATTCCCATTCGTGGTATGAACGAAGTTTCCAGCAATGAATCCATAATCCAATAAGGCAGAAAACACCAAATATAAGATGCACAAAAGCAAAGAAATCATAGTAATTCTTTCTGAAATACCAGACAGCTTGGAAACACATTCCTACGGCAAAAGCAGTTGAAATCATACCCCAATACCAATATGGTCTCTTAATTGCATTCTTTATATTACCATTGATAATAGACATTGCCATATAAGCCCAACTATGAATGAATGCCAAAATAGTGAAAGCACGAGCAATCCAACGATGGAAAGCACTGAATGAAGCTTGGTTAATACCTGTTAATGAGATCAAAAAGTTGTTTCTACCAGCAAAAAGAAAAACCAATGGGAAAATCCAGACTCCTGTAACACCAGTTCTAATACCAATCAAACCATATATTTCCAATGTTTTCGTGGCACGAGATGTACTACCACCTGGAATTGTATAAATGTGTGAAACATTAAAAGCCAATTCTATAGCATAAAACCCCAAAATAACTAATGACTCAAATCTAGTTGGAATAAGACCAATATCCAATTTTCCAAAAAGCCATTTGGAATCAACATGATTTTTATCAAAGGTAGCAGGAAGAATAACAGTTGCTCTCCATGCACGAGTGATTGGACCAGTACATTTTGCAACAAAATTGGGGAATAAAATTCTTGACCAGTGGAAAACAGAACAAAGAGCTAAAACACAACCCCAATAAGCAATAGACGCTATACCATATAACCAGCCGTAATAACTGTTCTCATATCTAACTTTGTTGGATTGGTAGTATCTTCTAACATAATCAGCATCATGGTAAATTGGCGAATAAAAGTAATCTTCAGATACATTATAGTCTTTAAGTTCTGAAACATCAACCAAATAACGAGTGGCATTCTTATAAATAGATTGAAGCTTTTCATGGGTGTAATTTACTTTTTGAGTGGCACAATTTTCAATAACATAGTCTTCGACTTTTACTGGATCATTCATTTGGCTATAGAGACAGTAAAGCATTGATCCCATAGCAGCAGTTGAGTTACATGCACAATCGGTAGTAACACTATATCCTCTACCTGCTTTTTTTTGTGCATCACAATATAAAACATTAGATGTAACTCCTGAGAAACAACTCATATACCACAAATATTCATCTGTATATGTTTCACCATAAGCAATAGCAGGTGCTATTAGAGAAGAAAAGGCCAAAAATATGGCACTGTTTATCTTCATTTTGATTATAATTATATTTGGAATTAATTTCTTGTGATTTGTTTAAGATTTTTTCAAAATTCTCAAAAAACTATAATTAACTAATAAAAAATGATAGATTAGTAATAAAAAACTGATGAGATTCAGGGTGTTTTATATATTTGATGATTCTGTGATATATTTCCTGAAAATCATAATATAGCTGGTTATTTTGCTTACAAAATTTTTTTCTCATTGGTATTAGATACAATTAAAAAGATTCATAAAGGAATAAAAACATAACTAGGCTTGCTGATTTTGCTATCAATTTAATCAATCATAAAATTATCAGTTGTTTTTCCCTAAGAATTAAAATTTTAAATTAATTTTTTTGTTTCAATAATACAAAATAAAAGATATTTCATTTGTTAATTTTAAAAAGTCTGATGAAAACGATATTAGTTTAAAAAATCGTTATAACTTAAGTGATTCTTATAACCTAATATGCCTTTAAGACTGTATCGTAATTATAGGAGCTGATAAAGTTTAACTGATTCACTTGGTTAAATTTTTTGTAAATTAAATCAACTACTGAAAAAAATACAAAATTCAAATTCTTTTAATTAGCGAGGAACTAGAATTTCAATGTGAATATATTTAATGAGGTATTAAATTAAGCTCAAATAATAATGTTTTAATTGATTCTTTTTTAATTGTTTTTTTGTAATTTTTTTTGCATTTTTTTGATCGATTTTGATTTTATAATTTTTAATTAAATGTTAGAACATGAATATTATAAGGTTACTCAAAATAAAATACATTAAAGTTCGCTTTAGTGTATTAAAATAGTTGAATAGGCAATGGTATTAATACCTTAGTGATTTTTTTTATAACTGTGAATAAAATAATTATGAATATGAATATTTTAATTTTTAATTCTTTAATTGTTGTTTTTTTTGTTAAAGAATACAGTTCAAATAATTTATGAATTTTAATCGAAAATGAATGAAATGAAAATATTCAGTAGTTGAAATAACCAACAAAAACAAGTTTTTTCTATCGAGACAAACACATAAAGAAATAAATTGTGAGTAGAATAAGAATGGAATAGGAATGAGAGAGAAATATTGAAGATTTTGAAATCGAATATTATTATTAGATTTGCTTATTGGATGAAGTCGTTTGAGACTCAGAAGAAAATTCGGCAAATGTTGAGGACAGAAAAACTTAAAAGACAAGCTTTCCTAGGGAACAAAGTTTATATAAGTTAAATGCTAAAAAAAGGTTGGTTAAGATTAGAATGAATCAAATTGAGTCTACCTGAACCAACTTGATTGATCCGAAGTAAATCTTTTTCCAAGTTTTAATGTTAAACAAATGGAGTTTGATAAATTCACCTAACATGAGAAACCTAAGTTGTCGTTTTTACTAAGCAGTGTTTTTTTCTGTGTTGTTTTTGCTTTATGTGCTTTCTACTTTGCTCAGTGAGTATTTGATAAAACAAAAGATAAACGTTTAATTAAATTCTTAAGGGAATTCAAATACAAAGACGCCTCGCTATAGTACTGTGGTATCCTAATCAGCTATATATCACTATAAAACATTTTTCCTTGAAAACCAAAGAGAGTCTTCTTTGATAAAATTATATTGATTAGATTGATTAGATGATTTTGATTTTGATTTTGATTTGTTGGATGACATAGGTTGTGTAGATTACATAGGTTGTTGTTCTTTGTTTATGACTTGATTAATTATCTTTTTCTTTTTATCGAGGAACTTAGTGCCAAATCCAGGCTTGTAGATAGATAAACATTGCTTAACATATTACAATTATCAACTGATTTTGCAACAAATTCTTTTGGATTTTATTGGTTTGAAGTTTGAAGAAATCTAGAGGATTATATTGGTTTTGAATTTAGTATAATCTAAAAGATCAGTCAACATATAATACAGGACAACTTAATTCTGAAGAGGGTGTGGTTTAAAAATAGACAACTTTAAGTCAGATGCTTGATTGTTTTGACAGAATTGATTGGATTATTTTGTGATAAAAGATATGAAATAAAACTGGGGAAGCTTTATTGAGACAAATTTTAAAATTGTAGATGGGCAAATTGTTTTGAAGAAGCTTTAACAAATTGAATTGTCTGGATTTTGATCCTCTTTTGGTATGTTTCTGCTTTCCCACGCAAAGAAAACATCTATAATGAAGAGGAAAGAACCCAACGAGTTGGCTGTAATTCTGAACAATGCAATACTTAAAACATCTGGAATTAAGAACCCATTTTTTTTTTTGGTCTGCAAGGACTTTGACTATTTTATGTTGGAGAAGTTGTAAGCACAGATCCAGACAATTCCTTAAAAACCCTAACATCATAATAAAACCACTTATATCCGTTTAACGAATCTGCATTTAAGGTATCTCAAAACTCAATGTGAGACAAAGCAAGGAAAACCTATTAAAGCAAGCCAAGAAAGCTAAGAAAAACCATCAAAAATGCATTAATTTACTTTTTAAATTTATGATCCAGGCATATTAATTTCCGGCATCAAAGAATACTTTTGCACTATAGCATAACAGCCAATCATTATAAGCAGATTATTAAATGAAAAGTGCTGGTTTTTGCAAATAAAACGTTCTTTTCGTTGTTTTTATGTTGGTGTTAAGGCGATATCTGCGAAAAATAAGGTAAATGCAAAAGGCTTTCTACACAAGATTGATTCAGCCAGAAGAATTTAAAATTTTCACTGGGGATTGCAAAACAAAGAGGAATTTCAGTGTAGTTTGATAAAAGGTTATAAAGTAAGACCCTTTATTGAACTAGAAAGCTAGTTGAATTAAAGCTACAGACTATCTCCCTTAAATTCTATTAAAGTATTTAAAGGCTTTTCCGCGGCCCACATCCATGGATTTGATTGATAATGGCAAGAATTTTCATACTTATCTTGAAGAATTTAACCAAGTAAAAGAATATTTCTGGCTATTCAAGTATTTAGCGTTACTAAAACTCTATCGCTGCATTTTCCAATCTAAGGTTCCGACGGCAGCTCTATTACCAGCAGCATTGCTGATTCCATTACCAGTTCCATTACCAGTCTCATCGCCAATTAAACAAAGATTAAAAACCATTACCAACACCAAATCAATCATATTGATTATCTCTGGATGAAGCAACTTCACCTAATGAAGAATTTTAAGGTGAGCATGGAACTTCGTTCCAAAATATCCGCATCAGGTGCTCGTGAGTAGCTTTCAAACCACATACAAAATGCATAAATATGCAAATTTACGCTTTATTAATGCGACCCATATTCATGGATGCTAAAAAGAACACCTACTGTTCTTTCTCAGAAAGGTAATTTTCGATACTAGTGATAGGTCAAAATTTTGTTTTAATCTATTAAAAAATAAAAAAAAGCGAGTTTTTGCTGTTTATACTGAAGTTAGGCTATAAAATTTAAAAAGGGCAAAAATCTGGTAAATAAAAATGACTATGAACTATTTATTGATGCTAAAAATGCCTTTTTATGGAATAAAAAAATAATGCTTCAGAATAGAAAAAAAAAATATGAAATATGAAAAACCCCCAAGAAAAATATAAAATAAAAATAATACTAAAGCATGCTGATTATTGTTAAAGATAGGAAACTTATGATAAAAGTAGAAAACGATTTTATTTCGTTATTTGAAACGCCAATATTGGAGGATACAGAAACAATATCTGAAGAAACAGAAGCCTCAAGTTTCTTGATATTCATTGTCTCCTTTACAACAAAGGAAGTTAAGGTTGATGAGACCACACTTTTTTGTGAATTGGAACCTACAGTTTTATAATCACAACTGTCAGGGTCTAATTTACTAAAAGCAGTGCTACAAACACTCCAAAATGATTTGAGATCAACCGAATTATGAACTTTAGTTTTATATTTTGAGCACTCATAATCCTCTTCTTTGTAGATTTCCAAGTTTTCAGGTTTATATTCAAACGAAGCACATTTATAGAAACTCAGCCAGTAATCATTGTCTAAATTACACAAGCAGTGGAAATAAGAATCAAAAACATCGTCGTCATGAAAATACGATATATCATATGGACCACATTGACTTTCAGCAAAAGAATAGCTATTTTCGCAAGCGTCTTTCCATTTTTCTTGACTAGAATCATCTGGTAAAACGTCAAAACCGATTTCTTCAATATTGGAAGCTGAACACATTACAGCTTTATCATTCAATATCTCTGCTGCATTTAAGGGAGGGGTGCAATGGGTGCATTCATAAAATGATCTCCAATAATCGTCACTTTCAGAACATATACATTTCATGTAATCTTGATAATGACCAGCATACGCAATACAATTCGATTCTAATGCAAGAGTAATATAATTTTGACAAAGTGGTTCACAAGCTGTGTTTCCAAAATAGCCATTCAAGTCTCTTTTAGATTTACCATTGGTGTAAGACCGGCTTATACTAGTCACAAAATCTTTTTTATCAATTGCAGGTGAAGCTATAGTTGATGAAGAAAGGAAAAGGAAAGAAATTAAGAAAAGATTTCTCATTTTTAATGGCACTTTTTATTACTATTATTGCTATTACTATTCTTATATTGCGTTTTTTTTGCTGTGTAAAAACTTATTTTGGATTTGATATTTAAAACTAGGAGTAAATAGGATACTTATATATTTGCTGAAAACTGAATAAATTAATTAATTTATATCCATAATAGGTCTGAGTACTTTTTCGCGCAAACTGACTTTGTTTTGTTGGCTAGTATAAATAACAGTTGGTAATTCATTGATCAAAAAAAGCAAAAACTATGCTACAATTTTGATCAAAAAGAATAGAAATGACTTGAATCAAATAACTACTATTGTTTATTTTTGTTTTTATTCTGGTCATATCTAAATATTTTCAAATATATAATCCAAATTTAGTAAATGGCTTCATAATATTATTACGATATAAGTACCAGTACCATATTTAGTAAAGCTTAATACTTGGAAAAAAGCCTTTGTTTCATAATTTAAGCTCCAACACTCATCAAATTCATCAAATCAAATAATAAAGATTTTGAATTTTACTGTTATCTCGTGAAAAAATGCAAGATAAAAACAAGACCGTTTCCAGAAAGAATAGACAAAAGAAAGGATAATATCTTTTAAGGAAAAAATATTATTCAAGTTATTCTTTACAAAAGAGTGTTTAAAGATATTAAAGCAATTTAAAATGTTAATAGAAATTTCTTTCAATTTCAATGATTTAGACAAAAAAGGTATTAATTGGTTTTATTCCTTCTGAATGGCTGTGAAGATCAGCTTGGAGAAATAATTTCGTCTTACTATAGATCTCGGATCCCGGATTATATTGGGCTTCTGCTCTTGCATCATTTGGTTTAGACATAAAGAGTATCCCATTTCAAAAGGGTACCCATACCAATGTCTGAGATTTTACGGCTACCTTGTCAATCGTGAACAATTAGATAACAACAAAACGTTGCGGTTCAACGGGTTGTGCAATCTGAAAAACGTGATCTGAAAAACATGGTCCAATATAAAACAGAAGCTACTGCACGTTAAAGCAGTGTTTTGTTCCGGTTCGAATTGACTGTGGCTTAAATATGCTCCACCAGCTTTCGAACCCTAATTTTTGTTCCATTGGGTATATTTTCAGAGAAGTTTTGGCTGCTCAAAAATTGGCAACAATACTCAGAATAACTGCTATATTTCTCTTCCTAAACGATGTGTATGCTGCATTTGTTGTACTCTTATTAGCTACAACTCACTAAAAAAGTGCAGCAAAATAAATTCAGAATGCATTAGGAACACACCAGGAGTTCAAAATTGTAATTGTGATTGAACTCCAACATAAATGGTTTGCAAGGCACATTTCTAGTTAAGCTATTTTTGTAATGGTGTTATTGGTACAGCCAATTTTCAGATTAGTATCATCGATACCTTCTGTTCTTTCGGCAATGTTTATAACTTGATATGTTTGAGGAAAATAGGGCTCGCTAAGTGTGACAGCACAAGAACACAATTTACACGAGCTTTCAAAGGAAACACCACATAACCTTTAAAAAGAATCCTTAAATTAGGATCTTTGTATTCCATGTTATTGCACTTTCAAGTTTATAAATCAATGATGCTAATTTTTAGGTCTTTATCATTGGAAAAAACAACACACAATAAATTAAACCAGCATTAAAATTAATGAAAATTGTAATTGTCCGTCTTATGAATGATATCAATCAAATTGAATCTACTTAACCAGGTTTTAAAAGTTGTCAAAACAGTTTTAAGTTGCTTTTGAGATTATTCCTGTTTTGAAAGTGGTTTATTCAAGAAAGGTTCTCTGTTCTAGATCAAAATAATTTAGTACTAACAGGATCTCCCGTAACTATCGGGATGCAATGTCCTGAAAAAACTTCAAAATCAAAGAAAAGGTAAACCGGGATGATTTAACATCTAACATATATTTTAAATAGAGTATTAAAATTAAACAAGTTGAAAAAAAGAAATTAACAATGCTAACTAACAATAAAATTAAGATTAACAAGCGATTTTCAAATATATTAAAAAAAATTTTAATTAAACATTAATCAAATTAGATCATTCCAAAAATTGTCAAAGACAAAAAACTAATAATCATTGAAAAAGATTTCATACTGCTATTTGAAGAACCATAATTAGAAGATGTTTCTGTAGACAGAGCGCTTAATTCATTTTTAGATGAAGCACCAGACTCAACTGCACTCTCAGACTCAGCTTCAGTTTCTTCTGAATCAACCAAAAAAGAAGTTACAATTGAACTGGTTTTTTGGCTTAAAGAGCTTGATAAGCCTGATGAGCTTGATAGATAGACCTCAATTTGACTTGAGCTTTCTCTTGGAGCAAAAATATATTCTGAAGTATAAGCAACGGTAATCAAACTAACTGTTTTATCTCCAGAAGTAGTCTTTGAAACAGAAATACTATTAGAGGTTTCTTCATGATCATTGTTCTAGTAATAATCATCGTAGTAAGCTGAACTATAACTACTCTAATAAGATGAGAGATCGACTGATGAATATGTTTGAGTTATATAATAGGAGCAATCATAATACTTTTCTTTGAAATTTTCAATATCCAGATTAATTGTCTGAGAGTTGTAGTAATAATTGGTGCAGTTGTAATAATTCAACCAATAAGTATCATCAATGTTACACAAATAATTACGATATGTGTGATGAACATCAGAATCATCAGAATAAATGAATTCATATGGACCACATTGAGCCTTCTCAATTGAATACATATTATCACAAGCATCGTCCCAATTCTCTATAAAAACAGAACCATCGCTATATGAATAAGGATCGTAATAAGTGTTGCTGGAATCTGAAGAAGAACTGCTACCTCCTCCATTGTTACCTGTAAAACTTGAGGAATCACGGAAAAACGATTTTATATTTTGGACATCTAAAGCATCTGGTGAAGAGAAACAATATGAACATTGATAAAATGAAATCCAGAAATCATCACTTTTCAAGCAAACGCAATGTAAATAATCCTGGTAATACCCAGTAGCATAAAAAGTGCAACTTGATTCTTCTGTTATACTGTCATATTTGTAACATAGAGATTCACATTCTAAGGTTGAATATCCAGTATACCCATCAATAGCTCTTTTACTGATATGTCTTAATCTACCAAAAGCAATAGTTCCTCCAGCTTCTCCCAGAGTTGTAGAAAATGTTAGAGAAAGGAAAAGCACCAAAGAAAAAATTAACCTAATCATTATTGCAGATATTCCAAAGTAAATTCACCACAATCTAAAACTCATTCTGAAAAAAAAAAAAAAATAATTAATGATTTTTATGACTTGTGAGAAGAGAATGTAACCAAAGTATTGATTTAAAAATAGTTTGGTTGAACTCAAAGTTAAAAGCGTTAAAGAGGATGATATTTCTTTTATGACAACGATACCGTATTCGATAGTGTTACGAACACGATGAACAATCGTACACTCAAAAAGCCATATATTCAAGCACAATCGTGATTGGTCACGAACAGACAACTTCGAAACCATATTTAAGACATTAGCTTAAACAGACATCGGTAACCTCTTGATGGGTTTTGCAACTTAAGCACTCTTTTTCGATCAAATTACTTTGTTCTCTGTGTAGGCTTCTACATCAGGATCAATCTATTCAGTCCTCAAACACCTCAAACCTTCTAAAAGGACAAATTACGATGATTTGATCACAAAACAAGGAAAAACCGTTTTGAAAACTGCGTTTTTCTATGATAAGAAGTTGTTTTTTTGGTCTGCATTAATTCAATTAAAGGAAATGGCTTTCGTTGAAAAATTGTTTGATTCCAAAAAATTACCACTTGTAGCAAATTATTTGTTTCCATCAAGAGCATCGTAGCAAGTTGAGTGTTTTCCAGAGAAAATATTTAATAGTACCATATATGAAAACTTGGTAAACACAGATAAGTCACAGGTTGAAATTCTATGTTATTCATTTAAAATTAACCATAAAAGTCATATCATTTTCTTCAAAACCCCTCGATGATTTTCAAAAGATAAATTTCTCATACCTTTTCCAAAAGGGCAGAAAATGCTTTATCCACCCACAACCATGGTTTTTTCCCCCATTGGCTAATTATGCATGATTATACATGAACATAAATTTTTTTTTTTTCATGAATTTGTTTTGGATACTTGCAAGTGTTTAATAAAAATTTATACAATTTCCAGGAAAATGGACATCTTCAAGTTATTATCAAGAGGCTCTAGCATAAAACATAACACAGGAAGTGTGCAAACTAAAAAATCTTCAGCAAGACAAAAAGCAATCGAGGGTGATTTTAATCAACAAATCGATAAAGAGTTAGATTTCTTTCATACAAGAAAGTTGGTTGAAAAACAAACAAGCAAAGAAAACGATAATCCAAACAATCAGGATGATAGCCAACCAAACAATACTTTAAAATTTGAAACAGATCAATATGAAGGTGAAGGTGAAGGTGAAGATAAAAACAATGACGAAAGTGAAATTGAAGATAAAATCCCCATGAAAATCACAACTAAACAACAGGCTTTAAATTTACGAAAATCATATAAATGCAAAATATCTGGGGACGATATTCCTTTACCAATTGCATCATTTGAAGATTTGATTTCTAGGTTTAAATTCAATAAAACTTTATTAAATAACTTGATCGAATCTGGTTTTGATAAGCCAACACCAATTCAATCCGAAACCATTCCAATTTTTCAATTTAATAGAGACTTAATCGCCTGTGCACCCACAGGTTCAGGTAAAACGTTGGCTTTTTTACTTCCTTTGATACAGAAATTATTAGACGATAACTTATCAAATTTGAAAGCCAAATCAGATTCTTTAAAAGGCATCAAGGCCCTAATAATATCTCCAACTAAAGAGTTAGCAAATCAAATTTTTAACGAATCATTAAAATTAATCAATAATTTCAGAAAAACCGAAAGATTAAATATTGGTTTATTATCAAAATCATTAGCTTCAAAATTTAAAAATAAAATTATAAACAATGATAAATATGACATTTTAATTACTACTCCCTTAAGATTGATTGATTTATTAAACCACGATAACTCAATTTCATTGAGTAACATAAAATATTTGGTTTTTGATGAAGCCGATAAATTGTTTGATAAAAATTTCTTGGAACAATCTGATAATATTCTTTCCAAATGTAATAATGGTAACAAAAATTTTCAAAAACTCATGTTTAGTGCAACAATTCCTTCTTCTGTTGAAGAGATCGCTCGAAACATAATGATATCTCCTATAAGAGTTATAATAGGTAACAAAGAATCTGCAAATGATAAAATTGAACAAAAGGTTTTATTTTGTGGTTCTGAAGAAGGAAAATTGTTAGCTATCAGACAAATGATACAAAACTCAGAGTTTAAACCACCTGTGATAATATTTTTGCAGTCTGTAATTAGAGTAAAGGCTTTATTTCACGAGTTGTTATACGATAGATTAAATGTTGATTATATAACTGCTGAAAGAACCCAGTTGCAAAGAGATAAAGTCATAGAGAGGTTCAAAAATGGTGATATTTGGTGTTTGATCTGTACTGATGTTTTAAGTCGTGGTATCGATTTTAAGGGTGTTAATCTTGTTATTAATTATGATGTCCCCAACTCTGCACAGTCATATATTCATAGAATTGGTAGAACTGCTAGAGGTAACCAGTTTGGAAAGGCTGTCACTTTTTTTACCAAAGAAGATTCTGAGTCTATTAGAACAATTATCAACGTTATGAAACATTCTGGCTCTGAGTATAGTGAATGGCTAGAAAAGATTCCCAAGCTTTCGAAAAAACAGAAAAAGAATTTTAAAAAGAACTCGATTGATAGAAAAGAAATATCTACTGTTCCTAAGATTATAAGAAAAAAGAGAAAGCAACATAAAGAGATGGTTGAAGCTTCAAAAAGAAGAAAACATATAAATAATGACAAAGCTTTTGGGAAAAATGTCACAGGAGACAGCGATATTGAATAGCCCTTTATTTTGAAATTTATTTTTTGTGTATTATAATTTATAAAACGTATTAGCTGATTTTTCTAGTAAATATCCAGTAAACCCATACAACATAACATGATTCCAAAACATTAAGCATTATTAATCTGTAATACGAAATAAACATAAAACAAAAAAAAACCAAAGATGAAATAAAATAAAATAAAATAAAATAAAATAAAATAAAATAAAATAAAATAAAAAGAAGTGAATTTTTATAACAAAAAACAACTTGTTTATGTTGTTCATCTTTACTTTTTTTTTAATTTCCATATTATACTCATACACTAACCAGTTATTATACAAAACAAAAAAAAATAAAAAATTAATAAGTAATGAAAAAAATGTAATTATAGGAAACTTAATGTTAATTCCTTGTAGGTAATGGTGGTTTCCTTGGTGGCAATGGAACTGGTCTGTCGCTAAGCTGATTATATGACATAGGTTCAAGTAAGTTATCATTGCTAACCGATGCTAAGTTCAACGATCCAATTTTACTTGGAGGAACAAATTGTGATGGCGAGTGAGCCATGGGAAAAGAGATTTCAGGTTTATAGAATTTCTCGTCAATGTTAAAACCATCATCTTCTTTATTCTTGTCATTTTCTTGAAATTCATTCTGACTTTTGGTCTGACCAAATAAGTTTTGAGTGGATATAGACAAAGTCATATTTCTTGATGGCAAAGGAGGCACAGGAGGTGGAGGAGTATTGCTTCTATTATTTCCAACTAAATTGTTATTACTCTTTTTCCGTATTATTCTCCTTGACTGAATCATTTCAGGGGGTTTATAACTCCCTCCTTTTTCAATATTTGCCAAATTGTTATAGCTATCAAGCATTTCTGGAGGCTCCATTAAAGGACCATCTTGCGTCTTTTCTTTAAAGTACCATTTACCAATTTTCTTGATAGAACTTGAAACGTAATTGTTATTTGTTTCATTTTGAGTTGGTTGAGGTGAGGATAAAAACCCAGCAATTGATCTTGAGCTTTTGGATTTTCTAACCGATTTCATTGTTGGTGTATCAGTTTCAAATTCGATATCTTTTGAATTTGAGCTCTTCAAGTCATTCAAGTCATTCAAATTTTCTGTGTCTTCTGGTTCCTCAGACAGCACTTCAAAGTTGGAATTATTAATATTGTTTTCATTTTGTGTAGATTTTGAATATGGAATAAATGAACCATCAGCTAAAAACTGTTCTTTTGATAATTCAACAGTTGACGTCGTTTTATTTATTTTAGTTTGTGTTTGTGGCAGAGGATCCTTTATGCTTATTGAATTTGATCTTGAAAACGATTTTCTCATTTTTCTTTTGGTACTTATTGAAATAGCAGAACTGTCATCATTTGACTTGACATCTCCATTTTCTGATTGATATGGATCTGTATTGGATCGATTTCTTATATCTGGTGATAACAAAGCACCAGGAGCAATATTATTCACAGAACTGCTCCTCTTAATTGAGGAGCTATAACCACTTGCACCACTACTGGACGAAATGTCACTTTTGAAAGTGTGAGCGTCTTGGTAATCTTTAGAACTCTCATTATCAACAAAACTATTAACTTTATTCATAGAAACACCATTGACATTGTTATTATTAACTTTCAAGTTATTGTTGCCATTAACATTGTTTGTATTATTAGTATTATCAGTATTATTAGTACTAGTAGTACTAGTAGTTGTATTAGTATTTGTTTTATTGAGAGAAGTTTGAGTGGGTGTTTTATTGTTGGGTTGCTGTTGTTGTTGTTCTTTTTTTGAATCAGGTCGAACAGATTTGTCCCAAATGCCTGCTCTATAAATTTCGTTTTCTGTGTTAAAAAATGATAAATCATCCATTAATGGATAGACTAAAGATTCATTGATGGCTTCTTTAATTTTATTTTCAATCACTTTCGTGATCATTGTGTAAGTGATTTGCCTAGCGGAAACAATGGGTTCAACAGTTAGATCGATTTTAGGAGGTTTTTCAAAAGAATACCAAATTCTAGAAGAAGGTGGGGGTTTTAATTCAAAGATCAATTTGCCTTCGATTTTATTTATAGTTACTCTTAAGGATAAGGAGACTTCTTTTTTAGAAAATCTTTTACCAAAACTAATGTTTGCTTTAGTTGAGACTTCAAGAGATAATTCACCGTTATAGCTGACATAACTTTGAGCCGACAATTTACCTTCTGGAGATAATTCTTTTAGTTTAGGATATATAAAATAAGGAGCAGACTTACCTAAATTAATTTTGTTGATTTTAAAATCATCTAAAAAGCCAGGCTTATTAATCTTTGATAATTTTTTTTTAATTTTATTAGTAATGAAATTCTCAAATTCTTTGGTACCATTGACGGCTAAAAACAATCTTCCAAGAAAGGCGTTTAACCACCTAGTTTCCAATTGACCTTCTGAGCTATATAAGCTTTGAATTAAATTGATCATGTTTGAAGTCTTTGGGTGCAAAGTTTTTGCATAAATTAAAGGATCTAAGCAAGAAACTTTTTTTTCGGGAATTAAAGGAAATGGGATATTATTTTCTGATTTTTTAGTAGCATTGACTAGAGAAAAATACCAATCTTCTTTATCGTAACAGTTTTCAGTGAAGATATAAAAAGCTGAACCCTTTGGAGGGAGTTCATAGCTTAATAGGATATCTAAAGTGGATAAATTTTTCTTATAACAATGATTTTCCATGAAATCTTTGTCCAAGGAGATGGCAGAGTTTGTTGGGGGCATGAAAGAGTTTAGATCAGATTTGTTGTTGTTGATATCTTTTCTTAGGACACAAATTGCTACTTTTCTTGTAAATAGTTCAGCATCTAGCAAGTGTCTTGGCCATAGGGTTACAATATGGTTTGCTAAAACAATGACATGTAGTAGATCATTTTTCAAATCATCTTTGTAAAGAAAAAGATTTCCGTGTCTTAGGACAGCATAGAATCTATTTTTTTTTGAATTTTTAGTATTTTTTTTTGAATTGTCGTTGTCTAATTCTTGGATGTTGTTGATATCATCATCTGAATTGAAAGACTTATCGAATTTTGAAGATTTTGATTTGACGAGTTTGTATAGAGTAGTGTAGACAGATTTTCCTGTGTGGGAGGTAGATGAAGGGTCATTTAGGGTATCAGTGGTATTTGAAGTGGATAATGAGTTTGAGGTGGTGGTTTTTGTGAGATTTCTAAGTAAGCTTTTTTTTGTATTATCAATATCATGGATTGAGATATTAAAGGGTTTTTTATCGTTATAGTTTTCGTTATTGGTGTTATCATTAGAGGAATTGTTTTCATTGTTGATATTGTTAGGAGAATTATTATTATTATTATTGTTATTGTTATTGTTATTGTTATTGTTATTATTATTAGTAGTAGTATTATTTGTATTTGTAGTAGAGTTGAAGATATTATTATTATTATTATTATTATTATTATTATTATTATTATTGTTATTGTTATTGTTATTATTACTATTCTTGTTATTATCATCTATAATATCGTTTATATTTGAATTTGAATTTAAATTAGATTTGAATTTTGAGTTTGGAGGCATTATGGCATTTAAGTTGACAATTATATTTTGAGATTGTAAAGAATCAAAGTAATCAGTTGATAAGATCAACCAGCCAGTTTTGAAACCATTGACACCGAAATTTTTTTTTTCTTCAAATTCTGTTGCTTTTAGTTCATCATATGGAATTGAGTCTTTGTTGTCAAAGTAGTTTAGCATGATTTGATTTTGGTGGTTTAATTTTTGATTTGACAAGAGTAAATCATTTTTGTGCAAACTTTTGATTTCATCGATTTTGGGTAAATACCATAGCAAGAAGTAAAATGAAGATACTAGGAGTAAAGGAATAAAGGTTAAGCCACCGATAATATAGATAAAAAAGTATAGAATAAAAGAGGCCATTTTGGATTCTTTCTTCGTTGCTTTTTATGTAAACCCAACAAATGCACCGGTGAATCAAGACAGAAAACAGAAATCTCCCCCCCAAAAAAAAACCAAGTGGTAAAATACCGAACCAATCAGCCAATTAATGTATGTGATGGATATAATGAAAAATTAATGAGAAAAGAGAAAGGTTAGAAAGTAGATCTTTTTGAAGAGATTTATAATAAAAACAAGTGAGAGGCGAATAGGCAGACAGAGATAACCAAGAGAAAAAAGAAAAAGGACAACCACAAGAAGACAGCAAACAATGGAAAAGACAGAAACAACACAATGTTGACAATAGCAGTTTGCAGTAATCGATTGTTACCCAAAGAAAGGAAGAGCAAGTTTACAGCTTCTACTCGAGCTCAGAAATAAACAGAAGAAAGCTTCAGAAAAGACTCCAAAAACAGCAGACTCTGGCAAAAGCAACATCCAACACCCAAACCACTGCTGTGGGTCGGCGCCTTTGTGGCTCGTGAGACGGAGCCAGCAGTGTGGGTGTGCGTCATATCCAGCAACTCGGCTGCGAGCGGATGTTTGTGCGCAGTGCACCACAACGTTGTGCGGCGTGCATATTGAGCCCAACATGACGGTAAGATAACGCTAGCTGCAGCGGTTGTGCGCACTATATATATAAGATTTGTGTCCCGCTGTTACGTGCGTTGCAGTGCGTAGAGTTTGCGAGAGCCGCAGATTTGGCAGCAAAGTTTGCTGGAGGGCCTCATGGTTGATGGAGGCATAGGGCATTTGTGAGAGAATAGAAGATTACGGTTGGGAGTTGGAATTAGATGTGACTGGTAGCTGTTTGCACTGCGTTGGGGTGGTTGTTGGCGTTGTTGGAGAAGGCGATATTGTCGTTGTTGCGTGGTCTCTGGCCTATGGTTGCTTTATGGCCTTAATGGGCATTTGCCAGATATCAACAGTCACCTATCTCTCTCTCCTGACCATATTTGCTGTTTGCTGGATGATTTCTGCCGTTTTGTATAAACAACTATTACCAATTTTCCAACTTCTCAAGGCCCCATTCACTAACGGTTTTCGTTTATTTGATCACTGATTTCTAAAATTCAAATGAATACTGACTTGTTTTAGATTTCTACTGATTGAACCAACACTCCATACGGAACAAACAAAAAATCAATAAAATTAAAATAAGTGGAAAAAAAAAATCGGCTAAATGGCTTGATAATTTTCTGGTGTCTTAGTTTTCATATTCTATTATCTAATTTTTTGTTCGGACTTGATATCTTATGTCGTAAATACCAAATGAAACCAAATAATAATTCAAAATTAAATTCAATTAATTTAAAAACGATTCCAGAAAAAAAAAATTTCAATCTAATGCCTTGGATTTTTTCTTGTGTCTTGAATTTTAATTTATTTTATCTTCACAATCAGTTGAATTTGGGCTTATTTTTTTCCAATTTTCTTGTTATTATTCCTGTTATTTCTATTATTCCTATAATATTCCTTATAATATTTTTATCATTGCTCCCCTTGTTGTTGATTATGAGGTAAACTAAGTATAAAAAGAAAGGCACGATATCCGTACGGAACTAAAATTTAGACTTCCTTCTTTGCTACTTTCACTTCTTGCTGCTTCCTTTGATCTAATTCATTTCATTTAATCTTCGCAATAAGTTAATTTCAAAACTCTATGTTGCTTGATTAATTTTGATGCCAACTGATATCCTATTCTATTCGACTTCGACTGACATGTATGTCTTTCTTTTTAGCTTCTTTATTATCCGTATGAATGCCTCTCCTCCAATCACCTTTCTCAATTCAATCAACAAGTAACAATTCTATACTACTGGGTTCCCTATTTTTGCTACTTTACTTTACTCATACTAGCTTCTCCATAATCTACAATCTAACAGCAATCTCTCTTATTATCTCATAGTAATAGGTTTACTTTTTTAATGGGCCTTTTTTCTTTGGTTATCTTGTTTCCAGCTGAAATTTTACCATGACAAAAAAAAGATACTATTTGAAGATAACTAAAAAGAAACACATACTTTCTTAATTTTATCCAAGCAAACGATATCATCTAACATTTATCAATCCCAAAACAATCACTTTGGTAGTTTTATAAATATCCTCATCAATTCCCTCTTTTGTTGGTTTAATTTTTTATTTCTTCTCTATCTTTTTTTCAATTATCTACTAAAGGGTGTTATTTAAATTATCTTAAAAATTAAATTCTTAACTAATTAACCATTTAGTTTTTGTATTTATTTACTTACTTATTTATTTATCAAAGAAAAGAAAAAGAAAAAGAAATCTAAAAAAATCTGAAAAAAATTCGAAATATTTCAAAAATGGCTGATAGCATAAAAGAAAAAAGTAACACTTCTACTTACCATACAGATAGGTCTCCACCTGGCTCTGTAGTTGAAAGCTCTTCCAAATCAAGATGGCAAAACTTCAAAGATTCATTCAAAGAAGTTGATTATGGTGAAATCGATCCTAATATGACTGACATTGAAAAGGCAAACTATGCTACTGCTCACTCTCCATTATCAAGATCATTAAAAAACAGACATTTACAGATGATTGCAATCGGTGGTTCAATTGGTACTGGTTTATTTGTTGGTTCAGGTACTGCTTTGAGAACTGGTGGACCAGCTGCTGTGTTAATTGGTTGGTTATTGGTTGGTGCCATGATGTTTTGTACTGTCCATGCTTTGGGTGAACTTTGTGTTGCCTATCCTGTCTCTGGTGCCTTTTCTGCTTATGCTACAAGATTCATATGTCCAAGTTGGAGTTTTGCAATGGGTTGGAATTA